GTGCACCACAGAGAGTCCTGTCTGTTAGACACCAGATAGAGCACCACAGAGAGTCCTGTCTGTTAGACACAAGATAGTGCACCACAGAGAGCCCTGTCTGTTAGACACCAGATAGTGCACCACAGAGAGCCCTGTCTGTTAGACACCAGATAGTGCACCACAGAGAGCCCTGTCACTTACACCAGATAGTGCACCACAGAGAGTCCTGTCTGTTAGACACCAGATAGTGCACTACAGAGAGTCCTGTCTGTTAGACACCAGATAGTGCACCACAGAGAGCCCTGTCTGTTAGACACCAGATAGAGCACTACAGAGAGCCCTGTCTGTTAGACACCAGATAGAGCACTACAGAGAGCCCTATCTGTTAGACACCAGATAGTGCACCACAGAGAGCCCTGTCTGTTGGAAATAATAAAAGCAGATCTAGAAACTGACCCAGCAAAATATGGATAGATGGAATATCCAAGGCCGTGTATAACAGCATCTATGTAGCACAAAACAAGGTGCTAATCTGATAACTCTTCCATATTCTGAAAATCAGAACAGGACCAGAGAAGAAAAGAATAATTTCATGAAGCTAGACATGACAACATCATAGACATGACAACATCACAGACATGACAACATCACAGACATGACAACATCACGGACATGACAACATTACAGACATGACAACATCATAGACATGACAACATCACAGACATGACAACATCACAGACATGAGAACATCACAGACATGACAACATCATAGACATGACAACATCATAGACATGACAACATCACAGACATGAGAACATCACAGACATGACAACATCACAGACATGACAACATCATAGACATGACAACATCATAGACATGACAACATCACAGACATGAGAACATCACAGACATGACAACATCACAGACATGACAACATCATAGACATGACAACATCACAGACATGAGAACATCACAGACATGACAACATCACAGACATGAGAACATCACAGACATGACAACATCATAGACATGACAACATCATAGACATGACAACATCACAGACATGAGAACATCATAGACATGACAACATCACAGACATGAGAACATCACAGACATGACAACATCATAGACATGACAACATCACAGACATGACAACATCATAGACATGACAACATCACAGACATGACAACATCATAGACATGACAACATCACAGACATGAGAACATCACAGACATGACAACATTACAGACATGACAACATTACAGACATGACAACATTACAGACTTGACAACATTACAGACATGACAACATCACAGACATGACAACATCACAGACTTGACAACATCACAGACATGACAACATTACAGACATGACAATATCACAGACATGACAACATCATAGACATGACAACATCACAGACATGACAACATCACAGACATGACAACATTACAGACATGACAACATCACAGACATGACAACATCATAGACATGACATCACAGACAGACATGACATTTGAAAAAAAGACTGGCACAACATCACAGACATGACACACATCACAGACATGACAACATTACAGACATGACAACATCACAGACACTTGACAACATCACAGACATGACAACATCATAGACATGACAACATCACAGACATGACAACATCATTTGTATGCAAATGAACCCACACAGAGATTAAAAATGATAAAACATGGTATATTGTGATTACTCGTGTTCTCATTCATAATTTATGTATGCGAGTCCGTATGTATTACATGGATTCTTGATTATAATGTATGCATGAATAGATCGAGTGTACGATGCCAACTTAAGTTTTAAGTGCACAAGATTGAGAAAAGGTTATTTAAAGTTCTAGGTGAATGATAATATTCAGTCTTGTTTTCAATCTGGTCTTATGGTGTTTGGAATGCCTGAGTTCAATGTATCCTGAGAAGAACGAGGGCATGTATTCAAGCCACCGGCCTGAGGAAACCTGGCCAATCAATCCAAGACAACATGAAATGCAGGCGAGATTGTCTGCTGAGCTGAGCAGTTTATGAAAGCTGAGCTGAGCAGTTTATGAAAGCTGAGCTGAGCAGTTTATGAAAGCTGATTTGGGAGCAAGGAAGAGCAAGCATGAGATGTGCTGACTGAGAATCATGTACGACTGATGACAGTAAGTAGAATGTATCTGAATCCAGCTAGTCCCCTAGATGGCAAACCTCTGGTGTGTTGACTGAGAATCATGTACGACTGATGACAGTAAGTAGAATGTATCTGAATCCAGCTAGTCCCCTAGATGGCAAACCTCTGGTGTGTTGACTGAGAATCATGTACGACTGATGACAGTAAGTAGAATGTATCTGAATCCAGCTAGTCCCCTAGATGGCAAACCTCTGGTGTGTTGACTGAGAATCATGTACGACTGATGACAGTAAGTAGAATGTATCTGAATCCAGCTAGTCCCCTAGATGGCAAACCTCTGGTGTGTTGACTGAGAATCATGTACGACTGATGACAGTAAGTAGAATGTATCTGAATCCAGCTAGTCCCCTAGATGGCAAACCTCTGGTGTGTTGACTGAGAGGAACATCGCTGGAGTAATAAACGGAGTCGTTAATAGCTGTTCACTGTTTCTCAAAGTTTGTTCATGTTTCACGTTGAAGTGTCTGGCAATGTGTCAAAGCAGGCTGCATGCTAAGAGCCCAGAGAGTCACTGCATAAACAGATATGAACAAATAATGACAACTCATAGAAAACTCATAGAAAAAAAAACAAGTCAGAGTCTGAGTGCATCTACCTTAGAGGCAACAAACCAACATTCTGCATATAAATGTGTCAGATCTGTAAAACAGATGTGCACACTACACTCAGGTTCTCAAACAGGACTACAGTCCAGAGTGGAGTAAACAACCAGAACTTTCCGCCGGAGTTTACAGCAGGTCAACACGAAGAAGAAAAAGAAACAAATGAACACACTCATTTCTATATAACTTATATAAATCTTGTGCCAATGAATGTTTAAACAAACAAACGAACAGAGGTACGGAACCAACAAACTGTAGAAACAAACAATAAATACAACCCACCTGGCGATCTGCTGTCTGAAAGCATTCAGGAATGTATCAGGTCGGAAGAGCTCACTCAAGTCCAGGGTTTCTCTCAGCAATGACCCAGACTCTGCCCGCTCCACCCAGGTTTGGATTGCAGCAGCACGGGTCACTAACCCACGCAGGTACTGTACTGGATCTTCAGGGCCATCCCACTTGCTGAGCCAGTCAAGTGGAGTCTGTCGACAGAGTACTAACTATTAACTCCGTGCATCAACTGTGCCACTTGAGAAGATTAAACAATGTATCCTCCACTTACCTTCAGTAACCGAGATTTACAAGCCCAGATTAAATAATGTGGATATGCTATATATTAGGACACCATATCAAAAAGACATTTCTTTAACCTCAGATTAAATAATGTGGATATGCTATATATTAGGACACCATATCAAAAAGACATTTCTTTAACCTCAGATTAAATAATGTGGATATGCTATATATTAGGACACCATATCAAAAAGACATTTCTTTAACCTCAGATTAAATAATGTGGATATGCTATATATTAGGACACCATATCAAAAAAGACATTTCTTTAACCTCAGATTAAATAATGTGGATATGCTATATATTAGGACACCATATCAAAAAGACATTTCTTTAACCTCAGATTAAATAATGTGGATATGCTATATATTAGGACACCATATCAAAAAGACATTTCTTTAACCTCAGATTAAATAATGTGGATATGCTATATATTAGGACACCATATCAAAAAGACATTTCTTTAACCTCAGATTAAATAACATGGCTCTAATATCTCTCTGTGTGGGTTCGGGTGCCCCACGGGTGAAAGGGATGGGAGGACAAAGAGACCCACTGCCTCCCTAACAAGCATGTCGTAGGAGGCATGCGAACAACTGTCTGCATACAATTAGGCCACAACTGTAAAAACAGTGCACATGCACAACTTGGGTTCGTCAAAAAAGCCAAATTCTAGAAATGGATGAACAGCCAGGACTTTCCACCAGGGTTTATAGCCGGTGTGCGCAAACAAACAAACAACGTATGTAACAATGCAAATACTGAGTGGTGTTTTAGAATAAGTAGCCACATTTCTATAGGTGAAACAAGAGATCATATGATTCATTGTTTGATGCAAATGAATAATTCCTGATCACATATGGCAAGTGTGTTGGGACTGAAAGAATTAACCAATGGGCAAAATTTGCGGCCAATGAAATTGACTCATAAATAAATTATTATCAGCATACCAGATTTACCTTCTTTAGTTCACTTCTATAATTGTCAGCAAAATTATTTTTAATAAAACAAGCTCTATTAAGACAGTCCATCGGAAACACCTAAATAGTCCCCTGCTGGTTACACCTCACCTAGATAGTGTAAGATACAAGAGGAACAGGATTCTAGGACGTTCGCTGACCACACCATTTGTAACTTGAATCATGACCTGAATAACTTAATCTGAAAGCAGCAGTAACATACCAAGAAGAAGAAGAAGAAGAAAGCTGACATCCTTCATGATCTCAACATTGAGGAGAACTGGCTCATAAACAGCATCCTGTCCCGAAAGCGTAGGTATTTTGGTCACATTAAATTTCATGGTGACCTGGAGGAAACAGTGATGGAGGGTACAGAGGCAGACCTCCATGAATGTGGATTCAGGACATTGAGGATGCATTGGCTATGAAAGTACATAGGGCTGGAAAATTTGGCTAGAGAGACACTTTCAGGTGTGCTGTGATGACAGCAACATTCTGTCCAGGACCTACTGATTTATGATGAGTGGTAAAATACATTTTTGTCACAATGAGTGTTTCTTACAAGGATGGAAACTATCACATCAACACATGATATATTTACTATATGTAACTGCAACTAACAAAAACAGCAGCAGCAGCAATAACAACAACAGCAGCAGCAACAGCAACAAAAATAAGTTTGCAGTACCTCCTGGTTGAGTAGAGCAGCCGCCAGATTCTGTACATCTGTTGTCAGGAGTTGTGTGCCCCTGATAACCTTGCTGAGGGCGGCCAGAGAAGCATGGACTGACTGGACCAGCTTGACAGAGTTGTAGCGTTCCAACAAGATGAAGGTCAGCACCGGAGAGTTGTGGCTGTCCTTCTCTGATGGAGGCGATACTTTTGACTGAATCAAGTTGTGGCCCTTTTAAAGATTAAGCAAATGTTTATTGACCTATTTGTTTATATGTTGGTCATATAAATAAATGGAAAAACAACGATAACCAAGTCACCCCAAGAATGTAAGTTTTCTGACTTTTAAGGGTTTTGATGACACGTCTTTCTGCAGCGGCTAATAAGACTATTTAAAAGCTTTGGTACTGGTTGAAACTACACAGTGTGCAGATATAGTGGGTGTGATTATAATTAACTAAAATGAGAAAAAAATCAATATTTTTGGGGGGTCATTGCGACGTCATAATAAATGTATGATGATGTCACTTTGCTCTGTGTGACTGTGTTCAATAAAAAAACAGAATGTGCATGCAAAACCCAAGTTCTGGAACAAAGACTTAAGTCAAGAAGTGAACGAACGACCAGAACTTTCCATCAGACTTTATAGCTGGTAAATACAAAGAAGAAGAAGTTTCACATTTTTTTAACTGGAAAACCCAGTGATTTTCTTTAATGAAAACACTATACCAGAGGTTCTCAACCTTCCTAATGCCGCGACCCTTTAAGACAGTTCCTTATGTTGTGGCGACCCCAACCATAAAATTATTTTCGTTGCTACTTCATAACTTCAATAAATATGTGTTTTCCGTTGGTCTTAGGTGACCCCTGTGAAATGGTAGTTGGACCCACAAAAGGGTCACGACTCGTAGGTTGAGAACCGTTGCACTATACAATGATGAACTAAACAAAAAACATTTCACAATAAATGAAAACTCATTCTGTGAATGTTAGACATCCCCACGTGGGATTATGAATGCCACATGGGTGGTGGTGGTGGGGGGTGGGGGGGGGGGGGGGGGGGGGAGGAGATCCACTGCTCTTAAAGTCAAAGGTTAAAGTTGAGAAGATCTACTTCACTGCACCAGGTTTTTATCCCAGATGCCTTGGTTTTCCCCTGGAGAATGGCTAGCCACCTGCCAAGATCAATCATCACACAAAGCACAAACTCCATAGCTATGGTGATGATCCCCAAGGATCTCCGTGAAAATTGCACTAAATAGCTGAATGACGCAGTTGTGAAATGATCCCATGACCTTCACAGTACAAGGCAAATGTCTTGACCACTTTGCCACACTAGTAAACATGTTGTAAAAGGCGACTTGTTAGGGTTGGGCTGAAATAGGATATTATGGGCCACATAACAAAATGTGCCAACTGTCCTCTGAAAGGCAAGCGCAGAAGAAGAAGAAAAAGAAGTACATGATGAAGAAGAAGAAGAAGGTCAGACTGGTCTGTCTACTTAGTCCTCAACATCGGAGCCAATGAAACTTACTTTAGCAACAGTGTACACATCTCTTTATCTTCTGTACTTGCATTAACTCTTTGAGTCCCAGGGAGCGCATCATACTCTCATAGGTTCTTACCTAGGAGCCCAATGAATGCATGATGTGTCGATTTTAGTCTCTCTTTACTACCCATTGGGCCTGTAATGCTAAACCCCCTGGGACTCAAAGAGTTACCATTACCTGGTTGAGTTTCTTCCACAAGCTCAGTATTGGTCCAAGCTCAGTTGCCCAAACCTCCTTGTCAAACTTGACAGCCTTGGAGTCTAACCTCTGGAGCACACGCAGCTGCGTCACCACCTGCATGCTGGTGATTCTCTGGGTTGACCTTTCAATGTTCTCTGGCAACCCAAAGTAAGAAGGTTTGTCAAACTCTGGCAGGCCCTCTATCACGTCCATGTAGTCCTGAAAGTAACAACACCACCAGCTACATCAACAACTACGAAAGTCTAATTTATCTACTGTGTGAGTTCTTATCCTGGGATGCACAAAACTCTAAAGAATCCATAGATTTCTGCAAACTGATCTCTTGAAGTCCTAGATTTTCCCTGTGCAGTTTCCATGGTCCCATTTCTGTGGGAAGGGATCGACCCACTGCCCCAACAAAACATGCAATAACAGATAACTAATTTGCAGAAATTGGATTTGTTGGGCTGAAAGATGCAAATGTCACAGCCTAGCTGTAAACTATAACATAATCACTTTTTAAAGGTGAATGCATAAGAAGAAACAGTTCCTTTGAAGTCGAAGTGCATCTACCTGAGAGGAAAAGAACCAACAGTCTGCATACAAGCAAGTCAGCGCTGTAAAATGCAATTGCACACAAAACACAGGCTTGGAACAAGATTAAAGTCTAGAAGTAGATGAACAAACAGAACTTTCTGTTTGAGTTTACAGCTTGTGGACACAAAGAAGGAAAAGGAGGAGGAGAAGGAAAAATTGCAGATCTGACATCAAGTGTCGACAGTGGACAATATCTCCTCTCATAGTCACATAACACTGTGTGTCATATCACCAGTTTCTGTCGACTGCCAGGCCAGTTCTCTCAACTTTACAAGTCAGAGGCACTGAACCAGATGTTTTTATTTCTGAGACTCATTCACTGATTTAAATTTTGGATTAAGGTCTTTCCTGGTCTGCCATTTGGAAGAGTCGTGACCCCTTTTTTGTGGGTCGAATGACCCTTTCACAGGGGTCACAAAACACCATAGAAAAACAAATATTCACCGAAGTCAGGAAGCAGTAACAATAATAATTGTTTGTTTGGGGGTTGCCACCACATGAGGAACTATATTAAAGGTCAGGGCATTAGGAAGGTTGAGAGCCACTGTGTTAGATCTTACTGAATGAATCCAGAATTGACATGACTGCACTCAGGACATTCCTACATGTGCTCCACCCCCATCTTCAGTAGCCAACGAAGAGTTGACATGCTAATAGTACCAGTTGCAACCTGATTAAAGGTCCACCTCTGTTTCCTCTTCAATTCTGAATCTCTTCCAGAATCTCTACGAATCCACACCCCCCCCCCCCCCCCTCGGCCCCTGCCCCCAGTTCTTATTGTATGTACATACCACTGGGTGATGAGGTGCTTTGCATGGTCTCCACGCGTACATTGGGGCAAGCAGAAAGTTTGTGCAACAAGTGACGGCACGAGATACTTGTGGCTGGTCGAGTAAGCGAAGGGAAGCCCGAGCAGGACTTGTGGTCAGTTGGTTACCAGAAGTAGTAGAAGACGATTGTGTTAATAGAAGATGTAGTTCTTATGTCGTGTGAATGACCAGTGTTTGAATATGTTGCAAGCGATGTAAGTGTAAATAATCGTTGGAGCATGTTGAATAAATGCAACAGAATAAACTGATAGCATGTAAAAGGAAGCTGAGCGGCCTTTGTGTTATCAGTCCTAGACGTTAGAGCAGTGCAAGTAGACATGTTGCAGTAATCTTATAAAGCTGAACCGTGGCGAAGCAGATACGTTGTAAGCCAAGGTTCATCTCACACTGTAGGGATAATAATAATATTTTAAAAAGCATGAGTGGAAAACTTTCAAAAATGTCATGTATAATTTATAGTCTATTTCCCAATCTGGGGGTTCCAGGACCATATAGTGGGAGTTGACTAACTGGGCGAATCCTTCAAAGTTGGAATACATCTGCCTGAGAGGCAATGAACCAAGAGTCTGCTTGCAAATAAGCCAGATCTGTGAAACTGTGAAACACTCAGGTTCTGGAACAAAACTAAAGTGTGGAGGTGGACGAAAACCTGGAACTTTCAGCCAGTGAAGAAAAAGGGACTGACACCAAGAAAAGGAAACACCCACCCTGATATTGGTCGACACCGGCAGCTTACAAGGACCTAGCCTCTTGTTCTTGCCTTGCTGGGAAATGACTGAGGCGCTGAAAAACTGCTGCAGGTATGACACCATAACTCTCATGTCAAACGGGTTGTCCACTCGGCCTCCGTAGATGGCAAACTCAAACAGACCATGTATGAATTTCCACCGTATAGAGTCCTGGCCTGTTGTAACAGATGAAAATATATCAGACTAGAATTTATATAAACTCTTGTTTGTCAATAAGAAAACAATGACTTCATTGTAACATTTAAATTCACAGCATCAATAATACTTGTTTACATTTTGAATATATAGTGTCCTGCTATCATTCAGAATACACACCATCTTCTTGCAATTCCTATAAGTGAAAAGACAATCTGCATGTCAGGCAGATTTTGTCATAAATGTCTATCAAATGTCATCGCTCCATGATGTTCTAAAAAGATTATTGTTGTGCTGTGTTAGTTTACAGCATGGTCATGTCATTTGCATCTTTTGGCCAATATCACAAAAATGGGTCAGCCGGATATTTGCATTTTTTCTCTCTGCAAATAAACAAATGTTTGTGTGTTCTGCTATTTTGTGAGCTCAGGGTCCAAATTATATATAGTTACTTTAATGGCACCCTGTTGACACACAAGCAGATACCTCGGAGTACTAAAGTGAATCTCATCAAAACTATTTTTGGCCAATACTATGCTATCAATGCCAAACAATGGACACTTACATAATCCAGTGAACGTAAAATTGTGACAACAGAGATGAAATGCCTTAGAAGAGCTGCAGTAGTTTCAAGGAAAGACAGAATATGAAATCATGAAATCAGACGAATGCTAGGAATAAAGCCAGTTTTACAGGTCATTAAAGAACAACAAAATAAGTAGTTTGGAAACCTAACAAGAATGCCCTGGTACTATCCTCCACAGCGAGCCACACTAAAATGTTACAACGGGTATAGAGTGAGGAAGACCTCGGAAATAATGGAGTGATGGCATTAGGAACAGCCTTACAGAAATGAACATCAGTCTTAATAGTGCTCTTGACAGAGCTCATCAACGAACATTACATCTCCCCCCGACACTTCGATGAGATACAAGGTGGAAGAGAAGAAGAAGAAGAAGAAAACTTTAAAAGCAGTTCTGGAGCGCCAGCCATAGTTTTCCCACCGCTGGTGGAGATACAAACAGAATCACATATCCAAACCAACCTGCTTTACAAAGCCTATCAATGATGTCTGCTCCAGCTCGGAGATCTGATGTTGAGAACTCATAGAATTTAGTCCAGCCTTGGGGAATGTACATTCTGCGCTCCTGGACAACTGCATGGAACCAGGCCAAGGCAAACAGGGCTTGTGACCTTGACACATCACCTCCACGGGCGACATATTCTGGTGTCCAGCTCTCGTAAGTTCTCATGAGATTGCGTTTGATGCCAGGTGGTGACTGAAAGACAATAACCAAGACATCAGAAAATATGGGTCTGGCTTAGAAAATGTGGGTGTCTCAAAAATGTGGGTTTGTCTTAGAAAATGTGGGCCTGTCTTAGAAAATGTGGGTGCCTCTTAGAAAATGTGGGTGTTTCTTAGACAATGTGGCTCTGTCTTTAAAAATGTGGCTGAGCATCCTAGTTAGCTAGCTCAACAACTTTCAGACTAAATCTGATGGACTGGTTGGTTAACATACTATTTTAAGACTGAGACCTAATTCTTAGAGTCTGATGCGTTTTATGTTCACGTCATCTGAGTCCTAAAAATGCTTGTATCTACTAGAGTGAGGGCGCTGTAGAGAGACTAACCCTGTGACATGGTACCTATAGTGCTGTGTCCAATAGGACTGCATTTCAGAGCACTATTTTCCTCTCTCCAGTAACAGACAGCATAGTAAGCAAGGCTAGAAAGTTATCAGACTTGCCATAGAGTTACCAAACTTGATATAAAGTTATCAAATTTGCCAGAAAGTTATCAACCTTTCCAGAAAGTTACCAAACTTGCTAGAAAGTTAACAAACTTGCCAGAAAGTTACCAAATTTGCCATAAAGTTACCAAACTATGCATATTTAGCAACGGTGAACTCCCCTTTTTTTAAAAATTAGATACCTTTCAATTTAGGAATTTAAAAAAAAAAAAACTGTAAATCAATACAAGCAAACAAAACAACACAGACTGTGGACAACCAAGCACAACTGAAATGCCAAGAGTAACTCACAGTAGAAAGTAGCATATAAATAGTTAAAAGTTCTCATCTCTTAACTTCTTTCTTTCCTGTTCTGTTTCAGGTCACCTTGTTTTGATGTTTTTTGTAGTTCCCTAATTTTATTTGATGGATTTCAACATAACAATTGTCCTGCCATGAACAGAATACAAGTGTAGGTCAAACAAGTGTTGTTTTTATGCCAGCGTTGCACCGGACATTTGATGCTAAATGAATATTTGTATAGATCAATCGGTCCTTGATGGATGACGTGGTCAACATCTTGCCGACCACCTTTACATACCAGGACATTTCCTGATTCACAGTTTAGGCTGGGTCAGCCTGGAAGTTATGGTAACTTTTCTTAAATACACCTGGTGCAGATTCAAACCAGGACCTTTAAGCCAGCAGGTGAGTATCTAACCACTGCACTATAGTGGATACAAATGACTGTTAAAAACTAGTTCCCACCTCATAGGTGACCTTGAGACTCGACTGAAGCAAGATGGTCGGGAACTTTGGATGTACTTCTGATGTCAGCCACAGGCGGAAATCGTTGTGTGGAGTCATGATATTGATTTCCTGAGAAAACAGACAATACATAATGTATACAGAACTGTCAGTGTTTTCAAAATTCAATATTAGTATAGCAGTGTCATGGGGACCAAGAGGAAGATAAACACCAGTACCCTACAAGATCTATGCAATGAAGAAAATTGGCTCATAAACAGCGTCTTGTCCTGAAACCTGAGGTATTTCTTTTGTGTTAAATAAATGTTGTGGTGGCCAGGAGAGGACAGTTATGGAGAGGACAGTTATGGAGAGGACAGTTATGGAGGGGACAGTTATGGAGAGGACAGTTATGGAGGGGACAGTTATGGAGGGGACAGTTATGGAGAGGACAGTTATGGAGGGGACAGTTATGGAGAGGACAGTTATGGAGGGGACAGTTATGGAGAGGACAGTTATGGAGGGGACAGTTATGGAGGGGACAGTTATGGAGAGGACAGTTATGGAGAGGACAGTTATGGAGAGGACAGTTATGGAGGGGACAGTTATGGAGAGGACAGTTATGGAGAGGACAGTTATGGAGGGGACAGTTATGGAGGGGACAGTTATGGAGGGGACAGTTATGGAGAGGACAGTTATGGAGGGGACAGTTATGGAGAGGACAGTTATGGAGAGGACAGTTATGGAGAGGACAGTTATGGAGAGGACAGTTATGGAGAGGACAGTTATGGAGGGGACAGTTATGGAGGGGACAGTTATGGAGGGGACAGTTATGGAGGGGACAGTTATGGAGGGGACAGTTATGGAGGGAACAGTTATGGAGGGGACAGTTATGGAGAGGACAGTTATGGAGGGGACAGTTATGGAGAGGACAGTTATGGAGAGGACAGTTATGGAGAGGACAGTTATGGAGAGGACAGTTATGGAGGGGACAGTTATGGAGGGGACAGTTATGGAGAGGACAGTTATGGAGAGGACAGTTATGGAGGGGACAGTTATGGAGGGGACAGTTATGGAGGGGACAGTTATGGAGGGGACAGTTATGGAGAGGACAGTTATGGAGAGGACAGTTATGGAGGGGACAGTTATGGAGAGGACAGTTATGGAGGGGACAGTTATGGAGGGGACAGTTATGGAGAGGACAGTTATGGAGGGGACAGTTATGGAGGGGACAGTTATGGAGGGGACAGTTATGGAGGGGACAGTTATGGAGAGGACAGTTATGGAGGGGACAGTTATGGAGGGGACAGTTATGGAGAGGACAGTTATGGAGAGGACAGTTATGGAGAGGACAGTTATGGAGGGGACAGTTATGTAGAGGACAGTTATGAAGGGGACAGTTATGGAGGGGACAGTTATGGAGGGGACAGTTATGGAGAGGACAGTTATGGAGAGGACAGTTATGGAGAGGACAGTTATGGAGGGGACAGTTATGGAGGGGACAGTTATGGAGGGGTCAGTTATGGAGGGGACAGTTATGGAGAGGACAGTTATGGAGAGGACAGTTATGGAGGGGACAGTTATGGAGGGGACAGTTATGGAGAGGACAGTTATGGAGGGGACAGTTATGGAGGGGACAGTTATGGAGAGGACAGTTATGGAGGGGACAGTTATGGAGGGGACAGTTATGGAGAGGACAGTTATGGAGGGGACAGTTATGGAGAGGACAGTTATGGAGAGGACAGTTATGGAGGGGACAGTTATGGAGGGGACAGTTATGGAGAGGACAGTTATGGAGGGGACAGTTATGGAGGGGACAGTTATGGAGAGGACAGTTATAGAGAGGACAGTTATGGAGGGGACAGTTATGGAGAGGACAGTTATGGAGAGGACAGTTATGGAGAGGACAGTTATGGAGAGGACAGTTATGGAGAGGACAGTTATGGAGGGGACAGTTATGGAGGGGACAGTTATGGAGGGGACAGTTATGGAGAGGACAGTTATGGAGGGGACAGTTATGGAGGGGACAGTTATGGAGGGGACAGTTATGGAGAGGACAGTTATGGAGAGGACAGTTATGGAGAGGACAGTTATGGAGAGGACAGTTATGGAGAGGACAGTTATGGAGAGGACAGTTATGGAAAGGACAGTTATGGAGGGGACAGTCAGCAGCAGAACTCGGCAAAGATGAATACAGGACACTGAAGATGCATTAGCTATGAAAGCACATGGGGCTGGAGAACTGGTTAGAGAAAGAGAGACTTTCAGCCATGCTGTGATAAAAGCAGTGTTCTGTAAAGGACCAACTGACTGATGAAGATAGTAATGTCTGTTCAAATATTATTTGCAAAGTCATCAGCGGGGGTCTTCATGGTTCAAGTGGTCATTGTTGTGTTTCTCTCAGTTCACCAGTGCAATTTTTACGGCAATCCTTGGGGGGTATCACTAGAGCTACAGAGTTCATGCTTTGTGCAATGGTCTTGTTAAGCAGCTAGCCATCTGGCAGAGACAGACTGACCCATACGGGATAAAACCCAGGTCAATGAAGTTGACAGTCTTCATCAGTGACTGGGTGCCCCATTGGCTTGTGGGTAGACAACTATGTCGCCAGTCGAGACACTGTATGGGACTGTCTCCTTTGATCGCATCAACACTACAGGAGTCCTTTTCAGGGCTTCTATTGATGTGCAATGCTAAGCTATTTTATATGGCACACATAACCTAGCCACAATTGCAACCTAAAGCTCCCCCTTTAGGCATGCTGGTTAAATGTAGTGATCTTTAAATTTTATTTTTTAGCAAAACAACGGAACGTCTTGACATTTAACATTAAAGTGGTAATGTCCTAACATTCCCACAATGCTCACTGCAAATCTTCATGGCCTTAAATACAGGGTCAGTTCAGAGAGTCCTGGAGGGTGAGGCCGCACATCTAACCCTTTCAGATAAGGGCGAATATAAAGAGGTTAAAGACCATAGCCGGATATAGCACACTGTTGACCACATAGTAATTCCCAAATAAAAACTGTTTATATATATATATATATATATATATATATATATATATATATATATATATATATATATATATATATATATATATATATATATATTTATATATATATATATCCAGAAACCATGAGTTGTAAACCCTTTGGCTTGGTACTAAGCATTTATCAACCCTTCAGCCATGATTCCATGATCATCATCATGTAGCAGGTCCTTTGCAGAACGTCTCTCTCATCAAAGTCTGCCTGAAAGAAACTCGGTCTCTCGCCAGTTCTCCTGCCTCATGTACTTTCATACTCAAGGAGTCACTTATATTCTGTGCCCATCTTCGTGTCGGTCGGCCCCTGCCCTCCTTCCTGGTACCATGCCTTCTGCTATAGTCTTTTCCGATCCATTGTGGCGCTTGATATGACCAAACTATTTCAGCTTCCAGGAAAGGATGCTGTTTATTAGCCAATCTTCCTTGATGTTCAAATCTTTTAAGATGTCAATATTTCTCCTCTTCTTTGTCCAAGATATTCTGAGAATCTTTCTATAGCATTTCAGCTCAAAAGCCCTTATTCTCTTTCTTAAGGACTGAGAGCGATTCCATGATAGATACCATAAATCTGCGAAATACGTGGCTTCTGTTCATTTCTTCACAGAACTGTCCAGTATAGCTCAATATATATATGTATATATATATATATATATATATATATATATATATATATATATATATATATATATATATATATATATATATATATATATATATATATATATATATATAAACACATACACACATACCCATATAAATAAAAAAAGAGAGATAAAGAGAGACAGACAGAGAAAGAGACATGTGGAGGCAGAGAGTTGGACAGAGAGATACAGGGAGGATTCACCTATGAGTGGATTCCATTACCTTGTACAGAATCTGCCTGGAGATGTTACATATAAGTCTGTATGACATTCACCTCTCTGAGTTTGAGAGGTGATTAATTTCTAGCTGAGAGACACTTCTCTCTGCAGAAGGAGAAAGAAGAAGAAGAGGAAGAAAGTTACGGTTTAGAAGTTCCAACCTTCTCTAAAACAGGAAGCCATGTTGTGACCAGGTGCAGATTCTTCAGACACAGCCAATCTCCATTCTTGGAGCACTCTCGGAGCAGCTTCAGAGCCACGTCTGCTTGTCCCTGGCCCATGGCCACCTGTTGAAACAATTAATTTATTTTTTGTGTCCGTATTATTTCAATCTTCAGTATTATCAGAAAAACTGTAAGCTATGAGAAGCATTCCATGACTAAAACATCAATATCATCTAATAAATCTTTCAATGACCATCACAATCTGTCAGAAAGATTCTACATCCAGTAGTCCATTTTTATTTCTGCAGCCCTACAACATCAACAGTAAAAACAATATAAAGTCAAGATGCAAGACAGAAACATTGTTTTTAAAAGAAGATTTTGTTGAGATGGGCATGTTGGGCCACAAGATGCAGACACCACTGTCGACAAAAACACAATGCACTAGCCGACCTCTGAAGGGCGAGAGCAGAAGAAGAAACCAAAAGAAGATGAAGTGAAAACTGCATGCACATGTGACTAACCTGATGGTATCTCTCAATGCCAACAACTTCTGCTGCCATTTCCTGCAGCTCCTGTGAAGGGTCGGCTCCGGCGGAGATGATGACCAGTATGGGTTCTGTCGGGATGGACTCCAGGTGGAGCTTTTTCAGAGTGACCGATGGAGGTGAGAGTTCTTTCATGCCTGTCAGGTGATAGGAAAATATTCACACTGCCTGTCAGGTGATGGGATAACATTTCTATCACATGTCAGAACATAGGATATCATTTCTGTCACCTGTCAGAACATAGGATAACATTTCTATCACCTGTCAGAACACAGGATAACATTTCTATCACCTGTCAGAACATAGGATAACAATTCTATCACCTGTCAGAACACAGGATAACATTTCTATCACCTGTCAGAACACATGATATCATTTCTATCTCCTTTCAGAACACAGAATAACATTTCTATCACCTGTCAGAACAACGGATAAAATTTTTATCACCTGTCAGAAAACAGGATAACATTTCTATCACCTGTCAGAAAACAGGATAACATTTCTATACAAAACACAGGATAAAATTCAGGATTGTATACTGAGCACTGTATGAGTACTGAGACAACAAAACTTTCATAGAGAAACACAAAACTGTGTTCACCGAAGCTAAAATATTGGGACAAAAGCAATCATATGACAAAGAGATAAATACACAGATGACTTAGTCATACCCAAAAAGTGATACTAGCACACAGACCTCAAGCATAGACCAGAATGTGGTGATTGTGCGATATGGGGAACTATGACTGTCCCTGTTTATTAGCATGGCATGTGATGATGACAACAGTAGATTCCTGGAATCAGAGGCATAGGTCGACCAGCAGGAAGGTGGAAACAAGATACTAGCGACATTCTGCAAAGGACCTGCAACATGATGATGATGACAACATGTAACTGCACTTATGATCAAATATCTTCTGTCTTCTTGTGTTGTCACACTATATTACCAGATTGTAGCCCAGTGTTGTGGTTTTCTCTATTTGTCCTGCTCCTCTTGGGTAGCTTGGGATGGTTTTATTCATCTATTTTTTTTTTGCAGGTTTCAGTGACATCATCCATCCATTTCTTTCTTGGTCTTTTTCTCACCTTCAGCCAAGATATTCTGTTGTAGAGGGTCTCAAGTACAGTCTGATCTAGCTGTGTTCTTACAAGATACTGGTTTTTGTGACCCTGTCCTTTCTCAGAAATTTCGACAGACATAAACATACATCAGTCAACAGTATTCCCCATGTGGATTCCAGTGCCCTTTTGTCTGGGAAAAAAGAATAGACCCAGGGTTCTCTCCCCCCCCCCCTTCTCCAACAAGCATGTTGCAAAATTAGGGGTATTTCCTTTTAAGTCTAATGCATCTGCCCGAGATGCGAGGAACCAACAGTCAGCATATAAATAAACTAGATCTGTAAAATGGATGTGCACATAAAACTCAAGTTTTGGAACGACACTAAAGTTCAGAAGTTGATGAACAACCAGAATTTTCTGCAGCAGTTTACAGCTGGTGAACGTTAAGAAGAAGAATCACAAGTAACTTACCGAGAGCCCGGCAGGCAAACACAAGTAACTTACCAAGAGCCCGGCAGACAAACACAAGTAACTAACCGAGAGCCCGGCAGACAAACACAAGTAACTTACCGAGAGCCCGGCAGGCAAACACACTCATGGCACTCAGAAGTCGGTCAGGTCTGAAGGTCTGAACCACCAGTACTTGTTGAAACAAGGATATCCTCTTCTCTATGGATGATGGGAACTCCAGCTCACACTGACTGCTGCGTGAGAAGTTTGACCACAGACCGGAATCTTCCAGATCCAAGCTCTGACACAGTCTCGGAAAGTTTGCCTGGCAGTCACAATAAGAACGTGATAATTTAGTTTCACTTTAAGACCTTCAACTTAAGATAATTGTGTTCTACCTATGACATTTCATTTCTTGGAAGATTAGATTGTCTCTCACCTTTGCGTCTCCATTATTTTTTCTTTTTCCTGTCTTTTTTCCAATCATTTGTTTTGCTTCCTTTTGTATTTCACTCCTGATTCTCCCTTTCCTTTCATGTATCCTGCACTGTTTTCTTTGTCTGTCTGTCTTACGTATGTATATATGTATGCACACACCACCCATGTTTTCTATGAATTTTACTTGATATTCATATCATGTATGTGGTTATGTGAACACAGCATGCTTCTTAGATAAAATACACCTACTGTGTGAAAGATGAGTGTCTGAAGGGCTGAATTATGACTGGCCTGTGCGTCCAATTTGTGACCATTTAAAAGTAAAGTTCACTCTGTTCATTGTCTCTCTCCCCATATATATATATATATATATATATATATATATATATATATATATATATATATATATATATATATATATATATATATATATATATATATATATATATATATATATATATATAGAGAGAGAGAGAGAGAGAGAGAGAGAGAGAGAGAGAGAGAGAGAGAGAGAGAGAGAGAGCGAGTGAGAGAAACTCATGCACTCTTGCAGGCGCACACACACACAAAAACACACACACTGCCCACTTTGTTTTTCCCCATAGTTCAATAGGGTGATGTGTCAACTTTCTTTTAAATTAAGTATTCATCATGATCAAATGTAAATTTTCTAATGCAATAAAGCTTTTTTTTTTTTTTGTAAGCATATTTAAATGTAAAGAAGCACCCATGTAATAAAAAATCCACACAAGAAAGTATCCATATGAGAGAAGATTAATATAAGAAATTATCCATGTTTTAAAGTATCGCTGTACAAAAGTATTCGCATAAGAGAATACCCACATAATTGTGTCTACATAATAAATTATCTACAAGATTAAGATTTTCACTTAAGATTTTATCCATGTAAAAAAACATCCCTGCAAGAAAGTATCCACACATGAATATACCACACTAGGAAGTATCCATGTAAAACAGGTATCCATGCAAGAAAGTAGCCAACAAGAAAGAATCCACATACAGTGTCACTAGGTTGTGTCTGTTGCAACAAAACTAAAGTACCTTGAAAGCCGTGAATGCAGACTGCCTCTCCTGATCCACCCAGGCTGGAGTCTTGGCCCCATCACCTTTGACGTCTGCCACCAGCATGCCAGTAAAGGCTTCCCACTCCTGGCAAAGGACAATGTATGTCAGTTATTGTCTACAGGGTGAAGATAACTCAGAGGTAGATACTGTGACATTAAAAGTAAAATTAAATGTTACTACTTCTATAAATGCAAGGTAAAAAAGGACAATTTTTCTAGCCCTGAGGCTTATTGGGCATATAGGGTTAGACCTAATTTTAAGACCAATCAGTACTCGGTGGGTAATTTGGTCAACATCAGGCTGGAAGCTTAAACTTTCCAGGACTTTACCTGGTACCCATTTTAGGCTAGGTTGATCTAGGAGTCATGGTCATTTAATACAACATTTTTTTAAAGTCCATCTCCGTTTAGATTTAGGGTCAGTTACTTCAAATTTTCATGACAGAAGCCAGTATTTGGGGTCAGTTACTTCAAATTTTCATGTCAGAAGCCAGTATTTGGGGTCAGTTACTCCAAATTTTCATGACAGAAGCCAGTATTTGGGGTCAGTTACTTCAAATTTTCATGACAGAAGCCAGTATTTGGGGTCAGTTACTTCAAATTTTCATGACAGAAGCCAGTATTTGGGGTCAGTTACTTCAAATTTTCATGACAGAAGCCAGTATTTGGGGTCAGTTACTCCAAATTTTCATGACAGAAGCCAGTATTTGGGGTCAGTTACTTCAAATTTTCATGTCAGAAGCCTGTATTTGGGGTCATTTACTCCAAATTTTCATGACAGAAGCCAGTATTTGGGGTCAGTTACTTCAAATTTTCATGTCAGAAGCCAGTATTTGGGGTCAGTTACTCCAAATGTTCATGTCAGAAGCCAGTATTTGGGGTCAGTTACTTCAAATTTTCATGACAGAAGCCAGTATTTGGGGTCAGTTACTCCAAATTTTCATGACAAGCCAGTATTTGGGGTCAGTTACTCCAAATTTTCATGACAGAAGCCAGTATTTGGGGTCAGTTACTTCAAATTTTCATGTCAGAAGCCAGTATTTGGGGGTCCAATACTGCAAATTTTTATAATGTGAAGCCAGTATTTGTGTCAACTGATGCATGCTTTTATGATAGCATTATTCTTTCATCATGTAATAAAAGGAGAGACAGAGAACTAAGCGGGGGCTGGAAAGTTCAGCAAGTGAAGAAGCTGATAAATTATGCTTAACAGTTACAGCTTTTATGATGGAGAAATATCACCAATTAGGTTTAAAAACAAGTATCCAAGAAAGGTGACCGGCCACCCATACCCATTTTCCCCCCAGGACTTGCTTCCACAAGAAAGGGTCAGTGTATCATATTCAGACAAAAGACAGGGCACAACTGGCTTCACAAACAAATGTTCCAGTTATTTGGTATAGGAAAAATAGAGATATATCCCTGCAATTTGGCACCTGAAAATGCTCAGCAAGTATTCCAAAACTGTAGACTGTTTGCTATTAACAGCGAGGCAATCTGGCATGTTCAGTGAAAATAAAGCTGCATGGTACACTGGGATATTTGGACTGCACGATAGCTTTGATTGGGGCTACCGGTCTCCAGGCGCAAGTTTTTCTGACATAATGATCAAAGAACAAAGTTGATCCAGAACACAAAAAGTTATATGAATGTCTATACCATCTGGTAGGCCTCTACCAACCACACCATTACAATTACAATAAACTTACTTTTCACAAATTAATTTTAACAGTGCTTGAAATATATGGTTGAAGAACTTACAAAAAAACCCAACAAATGAAATTTAAAAAAAAATTTTTTTGCAAAAACTGTACCAGACAAATAAACAAAACAAAACAAAACTTAATCAAAGCTTATAAAAAAAAAAGACTGCCAAAAACAAATCTTACATTTTCCTCAAAGATTTCTGGTCTGTAGCCATGGACCAAGTGCATGGCAAACATCATGCGATCGGCCTTAAACAGGGAGCGGCACACGTACTGGTAGACCAGCATCAGAAGCTTGCTGTTCAAAGTCTTGATTCTCAGCTCAGTCCCACTGCCATCCTGCAAGACGAGATGTGTTCGTATCCATAACATACCTCACTACTTCTAGAGAATGATAAATAGTAACCATTCATGCACATCCATATACATGTGTTAAGGAGGGAGGAGATTAAAAGGGGCCGAAATATTGGGGAAAAAGTAAGAAAGTTAAAATGAGCGGACAAGGGAGAGAGAAAAGAGAAAAAAGCCGGGGTGAGAGAAAAATAGGGAAAGATGAGGAAGAGCGGAGGGAAGAAGTGGTAAGACAGAAGGGGTAGGAGAGGAAAAAATTTGAGTGGAAAAAGAAAGATGGAGTTGAGACAACAGGAACAGGTGAGAGAGAAAGAGGGGAGGAGAGATAAATTAAGGGAGGAAAGAGACAGCAAGATGGGAGAAGATAGAAGGTAAAATAGAGAAATCAGATAAAGGAGAGAAAAAGGGATGTGAAGAAAAAAAAATGGAAAACAAGGGAAGAGATGAGAAAGATAAGAGGAGGGGAAAAAAAAGCAGCAGGGAGATTAAGATGCAAGAAGAAAGGGAGAGAAAAGAGGGGTTGGAAAGAAAGGGTAGGAGAAAGAGAAGAAACAAGGAGAGAGTTGACCAAGGGTTTATGCTTGACTGGGAGTCCACAGAGACAGAAGACATCATAAATCACAACAAGTCTGCTTGAGCTGGATATGGACATCCTACAAGTAGGCCGATCCACTGTCACCTTCTTCTTCTTTGCCTTCACTGGCTGTAAACTCCAGCGGAAAGTTCTAGTTGTTTGTTCACCTCTGGACTTTAGTACTGTTCCAGAACCTGCGTGTTGCCTGTACATTCATTTTATAGATCTGATTTGTTTGAATGCAGAATCTTGTTTCCTTGCCTTTGAGGCAGACGCACTCCAACTTTGAAGTATGTACCCAATTAGTTGACTCAAATGTCATGCTTGTTGGGGAGGCAATGGGTCTATTCTGGTCCCCCCCCCCCCCCCACACACACACACAATGGGGCCCTGGAATCCACATGGCAAGTTCCATCTTCAGATGTAGAAAAGTAAAGGATGTAAGGAAAAGACCCTTTTATACCCCTGGCCTACCAGAGATTTGATGCTAGAATCAAATGTTTATGGAGCACATGGCACACATTTGCTGATGTGGTCGACATTACACTGGAGAACAGTCAAAGCCATATGATTGGTCACAAAGACTCTGAGATACCAAGTATGGAAGACTCACATGTTTGGCCTGTAGTGCTCTCTGAAACAACCGGAGGAAGGAGGCCAAGGAGAACCTGTACATGTTGTTGATCTTGGCCAGGTCTGAGATGACAAAAAACAGGCAGCTTCCGCTCTCGGCCAGAGGCAGGTAGGTGTTGCGCTCCTGGTCCAAGGAGGCTTGCAGTCGGACGGATTCTGTCAGCGAGTCTGTGATTGTGATGCTGCTGGCTTTAGTCTTGTTCAGTGAGTCCAGCAGCTCCTTGTTCTCTAGGATGTTTCCCTTGGCACTGGCCAGTTCCTACATTCAAAGAAACACAGTCATTCTGCTAACTAGCTCTTATATTATAATGAAATGCCCAGTTGCTAAAAAGCTACAATATGCTATGATTGTGAAATCTTTAGTTGCTAAAATTATAATAGGTTAAAGGTTTAAAGCGAGAGGATCGGTGTCATTGCATGGGGTTGAATCCCATATGGCTCGGTCTCTCTGCAAAACAGTGGCCACGTGCTGCACAAAGTAGCAAAAAGTCGGTAGCTCTGGGGGTGATCCCCAGGTCTCTCTGTAGAAACTGCACTTGTGAACTTTGTCTAGGATCATAGAATTCTAGACTCTTAACTTACATAACATACAATAATCACTGTATAATCAATTTCTATAAATAAAATAAAATATAAATGTTCTATTTCTCAGAACACCACAAGTAAAGAGTTAAGGATTCAGAAATTTGGGATTAAAATATCTTTCTTCTTCTTTGTATGAATGTAGATCAATACATGTATATTTCTGTTCAGAAACTTTGGATTAAAATACCTTTCTTGGATATGAAAGTGCAAGAGGCGGGAGAGCTGGTGAGAGACTTATTTTTTTTCTTCAGGCAGACCATGATGAAAGCGATGTTCTTAAAAGACTTTCTACATGTTGATGACTCATTTCTATGAGTCAATACATTTCTATTTGTATTTAGAAATTCGGGATTAAAATATTGTTTGACTTCTATCTATGAGCACTAATCAATACGTCTATCTGTTTAACACCACTTTAATTGTGCAAGGCAGGGAATCCCTCTATAAGCACCAGAGCTAAGACAAACTGCCTAACCGTTCTCACAGAATGAAATAGCAACCTGCTGTGAGTATTTTGCAAATAAACGTCATGTCTGTACAGACGTTAGCAGTGACTAAATAATAAGAGAATATGGACCAAAGCAAAGGGTGGTCATTGAGAAAAGTCAAATCAGTTGTGTGAAGTAAATATCTCTGTAAAAGAAAATAGCTCCAAATTCGTTGACACAGGGTATATAACCTCTCCTCTATGCTACTATATCGCCTTTATCTCATTAAACACAGACCAGTGAAGTCAAATCACACACAAAACCAGCAGCAAGCAATGGCAAATGCCTTGCTCAGAATGCTATTTTATAAACACTATTCCCTTTGAGGGTTCCAGGACCCAATTGTGAGGAAAACAAGAATAAACCCAATGGCTCGCCAACAAGCATGTAACAAGAGTTAACCCTTGAAGTCGGAGTGTATCTGCCTGAGAGGCAAGGAACCAACAGTCTGCCTACAAATAAGTCCTATCTGTTAAAAGAATGTGCATGCAACACGCAGGCTCTGGAAAAAGACTAAAGTCCTGAAGTGGACGAACAACCAGAACTTTCCGCTGGAGTTGACTGCCGGTGAATGCTACGAAAAATAAGATAAACAATCTCAAAGGTCATGAGATACAAGGAACCATGATTGCCTATGCCAGTTAGCAAGGCACTTGATGATGAGAACAATCACTGTGTACAGACCCAAGTCAGCCTATAAACATGTCTTTGATTTATCAGGTCAAACATGCGACGTTTGAATGCTCAATTTAAGTATATACATTTGACTGGTAATAGAGAGATATACCTCCAGTAGAGTGGATTCCAACTTGGCCAGTTGTATTTTCAGCTCCTCCTCCTGCCTCAACAGTTCAGTCTTCCTCTCCTCCAACTCTGGCTTCTCATGCTGCAAGGTGCTTGCCAGCAGCTACAAGAATATATGTCAACAAATAATAATAATGATAATAAATATAACATATAAAGGTGAGGGAAAAAAAGAAGTTGACGGTAGAGGAAGAAGACAAAAAGGAAGGAGGAGTAGAAAAAAGAAAAGGAGAAAAACAGAAACAGATTGAAGAGGGATAAGGATAAAGTAGGAAGGAAAAAAAATAAGGAAGGAAAAAGAAATAAGACAGAAAAAAAGAATCGCTAGAAAATTTACGATGTTGGGTTCCTCTAGAAAACTGTCCTAATATCATTGTTCGTTGTTCATTTTAAAGATGATCTTTATCGCACATTGGACATAATCATAAGTACTTAATATCCTCTTCAGTATGTCTCCAAGCATTTTTAGGCAAACAACACCCATTCTCATTTGGCTGATGTAACGACTTGTGGCTCCCGCATGGTTTTTTTTGTCTCCCAGCTTTAACTGGTACACCCAAGGTATGCAGTCTATTCAGTGACAAATCATTTTCCATGAAAATTAAAGCCTCACAGAGTTTAGTCTCTTGTATGGCATGGATGATGTCTCTCCTGTGTATAGATGGCCCATTTGTGATAGTCGCGCTGCTTAATAATAATGCATTAAACAGATTTAAACTTGGGACTTTTGGGGTTAGAGGCAGACACCACACCTCTATATCATTCCATACTCCAAAACACCAGAGACATGAGAAACATCAGCATAAACAAAAACTGACTACTAAAATGCTCAGAAAGCAGTACTGGTGCCCATGTCAATTAAATAAAAATCATCTGCCCCAATTTTCAATCTTATTGATCCCAGCTACACACCTTTATTGACAACCCCCCCCCCCCCCCCTCCCCGCCTCTTCCCCAAGTGTCATTTCTTATTGGCCTCAAGCATCTGTCTTTATTGTCCACAGAAATCTACCTTTATTGAGCCCCAAGTGTTGATCCTTTCTAAGCCCACTTATAAACTTTTGTTGACCTCAGGCATTTTCCCACACTGACCACATTAATCTTCCCACACTGACCATGGGAATCTTCCTCTACTGACCCCAGGTATTTGTCCTTAATGACCACAAGTTTCTGAAGTTTACTGAGCCCAGGAATATTTCCCATGGTCAAGCAAACTAAAACGTTACCTGTCCGGTCAAGCCAGCCCTGGTTGTTGTAAAGTTGATCTTTGTAATAATGGATGATGCATCAGGAGGAATTTCAGGATTGGGGTTTCTGGTGGCCAGGAACAGCCGGAACTCTTCATTGTAGTCGATGACCTTGTCGCCAACTTGCACCACATACCTGGGCCCTGCATACAACATTGTAGAGTTGACAGATTTCAGAAGATACATTTGATCACATCCAACAGGCATATCACACAAACAGCCAATGATGCAGCATATGAGATGAAAAGATGAGTCTTAAGAACTATACAGAACCATTCCTGATAGATGGGAATGAATTATTAAGATGAGTCTTAAGAACTATACAGAACCATTCCTGATAGATGGGAATGAATTATGAAGATGAGTCTTAAGAGCTATACAGAACCATTCCTGACAGATGGGAATGAATTATGAAGATGAGTCTTAAGAGCTATACAGAACCATTCCTGACAGATGGGAATGAATTATGGAGATGAGTCTTAAGAACTATACAGAACCATTCCTGACAGATGGGAATGAATTATGAAGATGAGTCTTAAGAACTATACAGAACCATTCCTGATAGATGGGAATGAATTATGAAGATGAGTCTTAAGAGCTATACAGAACCATTCCTGACAGATGGGAATGAATTATGAAGATGAGTCTTAAGAACTATACAGAACCATTCCTGACAGATGGGAATGAATTATGAAGATGAGTCTTAAGAGCTATACAGAACCATTCCTGACAGATGGAACTGAATTATAGACAGTCGCCAATTAGTGAAACATTATATGGAAGCAGCAGAGATGTAGTTTTATAGACAAATAATGAGACATCATGGACAGATAAAAACAGCAATCAAAGATGTCTTGACAAAAATGAGCTCATGAAGAGAACTGATTGCCTGCACCAGAAGTGGACATTCTAAATTCTTTGATTCCATGACAAGAAGTGGAGAATAAGTATTTTGTGACAACATGAAACCTGAAGGCTAACAGAGGTAGAGGGAGACAAAATGCTGAAAAATTTGACCTTATACCATGGAGAAACATCAGCATCAGAAATAACTGTCAGTACACAAGAAAAAAAGTTGCAGACAAACGTGATTATAAATGCCACAAAGGAGAGACTATAAGATGATGAAAATAAAGTATAAAAACTTTGACTTGACAGAAAGCATAATTGGCAGGGCTGTAGAATGAGTACATCCCTGTGTGGGGTTCATTTTTTCTGCAAAAAAATAAAAAGTAATCGAACCACAACCTCCCAAACAAGCATGTCGTATAATGCGACTAATTAGGGAAATTTCCAATGAAGTAGGAGTGCAGCTGCCTGAGAGGCATGGAACCAAGAGTATACATACAAATAAGCGGGATCTGTAAAACGGATGTGCATGCAAATTTTAAGTCCTGGAGCAAGACCAAAGTCCAGAAGTGGACGAACAACCAGAATTTTCTGCCCGAGTTAACAGCTGGTGAACTCTAAGATGAAGAGAAAGGAGAATGAAGACTGAACAAACCTTGGGCGGTGAGATCTCCTCGGAGCAGTGGGTACAGAATAGGTTCGACTCCATCCACGTCTTGTATGATTAACGTCTTGCCAAACCTGACAGCCAGCTCTAAGGCAGTGCTGAAGTTTGCATCCTGGACAAGACAAGAGCATGGGATTACTGTAGTATGGATAAAGAGGACTCTGCATACACTGCAAACTATCTAGGGTATGATAACACTTCAGTCACATGCACAAGGGCTCCCTCAGATGAAGACAAACTTGTGGGTTCCTACAGGACAGCAAAGAGGCCAACAACACAATGAACAACAGAACAAACCAGGTATAAGTAACAAGTTGCATCGTAACAACAAAATCTGCCCAAAAAAACTGTAATATACCACTACAAGTGTTCTCTGATAGTGCAGTTTGTCTCGTTTATTAATGGACGAACACACTACGACAATGAACTGGTGATTAATGAATAAACAACAACTCTGTCTGCTACTTCCTGCCAAGTACACTCACACTGCAGTCTCCAAAACACAAATTATACCACAATACATCCCAGTAATCTATGTCCAGATGGTTGTTACTGACAACTGGTGCCAGCCCATGCAGGTACACCCTTCGTGATGTGCTGTGACTATCCTCTGACAGCTCTTTATGCAGGAGACATAATCACCTGAGAAAATTCAGACAGATGCACCAAAACTGGTGTCCAAAATCCAGACTCTTATCTGCTGCCTAATCACTCAAACATAGAACATGAGGACACTCATCCCCACAACCATTATAACACATAATGAACACAGGGCTGACCTCACAACACACAGGACAGCAACTACACCATCCATTCTTGAATATCTTCACTGAATTCTGTGTGATATACAAAATTCAACTGGACAGTCCCTGCATTTCAACAGAAAAAAACACCTTGTGAAGAACTACTGTCGCATGACATGTCCATAAATCTATCCTATTTCACTGACCAAGAGCTGGTGAATCAAAATGCCCCAGGGTTTCCACCCAGCGGTCAGTTTCGTGTGGATCTCACACTCCCATGGAATACCTTTGGTGCCTGCAGTTACTTACATATTAAAGTGAATTAACACACACGAATTAAATGTGTCACCAGATAAGTAAACAATACAGGTTAACAAAAACATTGTAACCTACTATACATGGTTCACTAGACCAGTATAGAACAATAAAAGAGTCACTTGCTCCTGTGCACTGCCCTTGAGGTAAGCAAAGGTCAGTAACAGTGTAGACGACTAAATAAATCTCCTGTGCATTATTAGGGACTCTAAGGGACAGTAACACTGTACACAACCAGGCATGTCATCAAAGGTAGCAAAAGGTAGGGTCGGACCTGGCCACCTCATCCCATACAACACTACAGCCACACACACAAAAACCAATGAAGTACAGTCAAGTTGAACAGTATACTCAAGCTGATCAAAGGAACAAATAATAAAGCCAGCCAAGACAGGGCACAGCGGAGAGGAGGCTTGTCTAGAAAAGAAAGTTGCAAACAAAATGTCTTGTTCAATTTAAAAATAATAACAATAAGAGTAAATGAAACATAAAAATCACAATCTAAACAACCATAAAAATCATAATCTAAACAACATATTAAAATAAACATTTTACAAAATGTAATATTTAATTATTTTCACTTTTATTCTGACACATGGTCAAAAGTGTTGTAGTGCTGTCGTCCACTTATAACACAACTGGATGTCGCTGGATCGATAACAACACAATACAGCTGGATAAGATGAAAACACATACCAGTAATTCAGCATTCATGTTTTTTGCTGCATATTAAATTTTTTTTTTAAATCTGATGCAGCTTAATTATAACTGACATGAAGTTTCACTTGAAGTTGGATTTCACTGTAAAAAGATAGCTGTAGTGAAACAAATGTGTTAAATTGCTATGGAGAATGTGCGCTGTTATACACATGTGAGACATGGACAAAAAGCAGATAAGCTGAAAAAAAGTTACTCACAACAAAGATGCAATGTTTGAGAATAATGCAAAGAATACCATATAATGATAGGGAAAACATGAGGCAGTCCTCCTCGAGACAGATAAAAGCAGTAAATTGTTTAGAAAAATTTGATATGATGCAAACGGCATTTTTCAGACCAGTTATAATAAGGAATGGACTCAATAAATTGATAAAGCCTGGAAAGTCAGACAGAAAAAAAGAGCAGGGGAAAGCAAAGAGGTAAATGTTCGGATGGTTTGACCACTTGGATGGGGGCCAGACAAGAACACTGACCAGATCTGTGATTCTGGTGATCATGTGAGATGGAAAAACATGACAGTCTACGCTTACCAGGATATCACATGATGATGATTGATTTTAAAATGTGACTTCCACACACACAAAAATGATTTTTTTTCCTCTATAATTTTTCATAATTGAAAAACGAAACTGAGAATCAAATGATACTGCCAGTAACAGACAAGATACGAGCTTGGCATATCCAAGCTATCAAGTTGTACAACATAGATGGAGCCACATGAAAACGATCTCACCTGCTGGTTGATGACTTCCAGTCGGTTCTGCTTGAGGTGAACTTTCAGCCATTCTGTCGCTCTTGAAGATGGATCAACCAAAAATGGCCGCTGTGAACTCTGAATGCAATAGTTTAAAAAAAAAATGTAATAATTTATTAACTTTAATTAACAGATCCAGCATCTGATTATACATCTCTCTCTATCTTTCAAACAAAACATTACAAACATTAACAGGCAAAGAGAGAGGGAGGGAGAGAGAAATCCTACAAGAAACATGATCAAATCTTCATATCTGTAAAAAAATTAACACCAGGAACAACAGAAATCAACAAAATCACTAACCAGTGAGGGTGAAAGGTCAGGAAATAACCAATCTCATTTTTTTATAAAGCAAAGTAAAAATAGGTCACCTGGCTATATCTGGACAATACATATATAGTTATATGACTCATTTGTCTTCTACAAAACTGTGAACATATTGTCACGTATTTAGTTGCTAAAACACAACTTCTATTACAGCCCGTATTTAATACCTTTACGGTGAAGGCAGAGGAGTGTTTAAGCCTGAGGATTTAAGGCCATATGGCTAATGCTGTGGCCACGGATTGTGCAGGTTATGATTTTATTTTTGGTCCTGACAGAAAAACCCAACTTTACAGAGTATTTGAACCTGGGTCTCCAACATGACAGTGTTGCGTTCTCAGCCATTCCGACAGCAGCTCCTTGAAACACAACAATCATGTACATGTATGCAAGGCAAGTCATTTGCTTAACAGAATGCTGATTTAAGAATCCACATCACTGCACACCAGACATACCCACAGATGCTCCGTCTCCCACAGAAAATGTTTTAAGGTTTAAATGCTAACTGTTCCCGTAGCATACTGATTATACACATGTTGTTTTCTTCCTCTCATACGTCCCTCCTTGCCGGATCCATGCCTGATTCCTCGTTCCCACATTTGTACATGTGTTATTTCATCTAACCTCAGGTCTTCTATCAACATTCAATCATAAATGGTCATCAGAATGCCTCCCTTTTCCAGTACAAGAGTGTTCCTGTAGTTTTCACTTTTGTAGCCAGAGGATATGCTCTTTCATTCCCTTGTACACCTCCATATCCAGGACAGTATGTCCACATGATTGCCTGTAATGCTGAAATGCTGATGCTTGATATCCACCCATGTCACATTTGTCCATTCTGAACCTTCAGCAGTAATGACTGAGAATCAGACACTATAATTTCTCTGGTTAATGTTCCGGAAAAAGATCCCGTTACTTTACTCAAAGTCATTTACACAAATTTGCTGACACAGTGAAAAGATTTTTTTTTTTAAACATAAAAGACCTTTTTTACACCAATGGCACATGAGGCATATGATGCCAGACTCAAATGTTATAGGCCAGTTGAGACTTCATGGGCAACGTGGTCAACATCACATGTGGCTGCCTTTACTACCCAGGACAATTACATGGTACACATTTTTGGCTGGGTCGACCTGGGAGCCAAGGTCACTTTTAAAAAAAAAATCCACCTTGATACAGATTTGAACTGAAGACCTTCAGTCTAGCAGGTGAGTGAACTGAGCAAAATAAAAGTGAAGGACCCCCTTTTCCATGTTTTCAAGCATATAGGGCTAGACCTATATTTTTACAGACCAATCGGCACTCAGCGGGAGATGTGGTAAAACTTCTAGGCTGGGTCAACTGGAAGCCAAGGATCAATGCAGAATTAAACCTGCAACCTTTGAGCCTGAGGTGAGCACCTAGCAGCTACACCACGGCGGCTCTCAGTACTGAGTAAAACTAGCATTTCAATTATAGATATGTGCAGTTAACAAATGTGGACATAAAGTTAACACTACCAAAGCCTACTTTTCAATTTAATAGTTGATGAGTTAAGTAACTAACAGAACTGCAAGTAAAAAAACTTTTTCAGTAAAATTTAACACTAAAATAAACAAACAAAGAAACAAACAAATAAAGAACATAGATAAAACTTCACTCCAGATAAGCAGATCTTAACATCAAATATAGAACTGAATGGGGTAAGCAAGTGAAAATACTAAAAGAACAAGAAACCGATAGTAATGAAGTTTAAAAAGAAATAACAAGAATTCAAACACGTGAGTTGAAGATACAATAATTATTTCATAAAACTGTGATGTGAAAATGGTGGATAACAAAATATAAGATAAAACCTGAAGAAATCAAGCTATCTTCAGCATTTAAACACTGTTTTAATTGACAGAACTTATGGGTTACTTATTTGGCTTTATTACATTTCAGTTATAGCTAAGTATTCATTCTGTCAGCATTAAAGTCTATAGTTAAGCACCAGCAAGAAAAAGAAAGTCTTCATCCCTATAGCAATAACAAGGATGTGAGTTGTTGATCACCTCGTAGTCATTAAAGAAGAAACTAGGGGCTTCAGAGCTAAACTGCTTTAGAAAGATTATGCCCAACCATCATCATAGCCCTCTTGTGGACACAGATACACATCCTCAGTCTTGCTGTCAAAGGATAATCTACTTGCGTAAATGAGTGCAATAACCGGATACTGACTTGAAAGTGCAAAACACTGCATCATGTCAAAGTCAGATGACTTAGCTCAGCTCACAGAAAACAACTGACCACAACACTGATCAGAGCCAGGAACTCACATTCCAGAAGGAAAGCTTCCAACAAACTGAACTGAAACTTCTCAAGGTTAACTCGTGTCTTTGCGTCAAGTTACAAGCTTAGTTCACGGTTATGTTAGGGGTCTTCACTAGATACACTGTGACTCTCTCTTCACGTATATTTCACAGCTCTGGGAGGAAAAGCCCTGTGACTGTGTTTACTCATACTCACACATATATTAGACAATTTCATAAACAAATGATCACACTTGTTTATATTCCACTAATTACCATAACTATACAATAAACACATGACAATCTGTAAAACTGATGTATACGCAAAACTCAAATTCTGAACAAGACCAAATTCAAGAAGTGGAAGAACTTTTGGCAGGAGTTTATAGCCAGTGAGTTCTGAGAAGAAGAAAAACAAGAAGAAATGTTTGTACTGTGTGATCATTAACTCCCCTACTAAAAAACTGATAGAAATTCTGGGTTAAAACAATAAATAAAAAAATAAAAAATAAAAGATCCACAAAACAAAGAAAGAAATGCATCTCATTCAAGTCAGTCTTACCCCGACTGGAATGTCTTGCAGCTGTTTGATTATATATATATACAACAAACAATCACAGCCAGGAAACAAGTATATATGCATATAAGTTTCATTGAATATTTCAAAGAATAAAAAGTTATAAAGGAAAAAAAAAAGAGTACTTAAAGCTGAAAATCAGCTACACTCAAAAGTAACTTCCTGTTTTATCAGGGCAAAACCATGTTCATAACCATGTCCTTTTGTCTTCACAAATTTGGACTAATCAATTTATCTTGGTCACTTGAATGTAGTGAATAACAATAACAACAGTGACAGCAATAGCAAGTACAATAACAATTATAATATGGAGCACTGTAAGCAACAGTAATCTCATTATATTGTAAGACACACACAAGAAAAGTTTTTGCTTCAAATTCTTTACTGGCATTTCCCAAAATAGCTCTTCACCGCTCCGATAATCCTCTTTTCTTCTTGCCAGTGCTCCCTCCTTAAACTCTAGTGAAAAGTCCTGGTTGTTTATCCACTTCTGGACTTTAGTTTTGTTCCGGAACTTGAGTTTTGCATGCACATCTGTTTTACAAATCTAGCTTATTTGTGTGCAAATTGTTGGCTCTCCATCCCTCAGGCAGCTGTGCTTCAATTTAGATGGAAATGTTGAACCTATCTATGTTGGCCAGACTTCTGGTAGAAAACTTGTTTCTAGGATGACTACGGAGTGCTGTAGATTAGTGTTGACTAATGTCAGCCCTGATCCTCATGCACACGACTTGTGATTTAGCCTATGCATACCATTTAAAGAGTTACTTGGCAAAAACTCACAAAACAGAGACACAGACAAAACAAGCCAACTTTTACCTGTAAAATGACTAATGCATTCTCCATAGACAGGTCATCTGATGGTAACCCCTCACTCTTCCAGATGAGCTGTTCACTTTCTGTAGACAGGAACTGTCGGAGGTCGAACTTATCCACTCCTACAACACTCTGCCACTGTCGCAGGAACTCCCGCCTTTCATCTTCAGGAGCAGCAGAAAGATAAGTGATGAACGCCGCAGCTAGCAGAGCTCTCCTGGGCAACACTTCAAGCTCTGATGAGAGTTCACCCACCTGAAGTGCATTTTATGCAGAAGAGAACATATAATATTTAGATAATTTATCTTAACAGTGTATTTTGTGCAGAACACAACATAATGCTCAGAGAATTTGTCATATTTTATGCAGCACATTACACATATTGCTCAGATAATTTAATTTATCAGTGGATGTTATGCAGAACCCAGCAAATAATGCTCAGATAACTTGTCTTATCAGTTTATCTGACACAGAACACAAAATACAAAGCAAAGAGAATGTTGTCTTACTACATTTTATTGAGGAAGAACACAACATGTAATACTCTGATAACTTGTCTTATATTTTACATAGAACACAATATACAATGACCAGAAGATGTATCTTATTATATTTTATAGAGAACACAACAGACAATGACCAGAAGATGTATCTTATTATATTTTATAGAGAACACAACATACAATGACCAGAAGATGTATCTTATTATATTTTATAGAGAACACAACAGACAATGACCAGAAGATGTATCTTATTATATTTTATAGAGAACACAACACACAATGACCAGAAGATGTATCTTATTATATTTTATAGAGAACACAACACACAATGCTCAGATAATGTAACTTATCAGTGTATTTTATACAGAACACATAATACTGCTTCTGTGTTCATCTGAAGATGTAACTGTGTTGTGATCATTTTCAGCATGGTTGTGATATCTGCACCTTTTGGCCAACACATCCAGCCTCTGCAGGCATTTGTTGACCGGGTAAGCCTACCCAGTAAACATATAATTCAATAATCAACTGTGATGCCTAGTGGCACAAAACAGACAGTGACAAAAGAAAGAAGACAAATATAAAATAAAGCTTGGAGAATTTATCCGTGTATTTTAGGCTGAACAGAACACATAATCCTCAGATAATGTACCATTATCTGTGTATTTTATGCAGACAACAACATATAATACTCAGAGAAATAAGCTAAAAGTATCAACAGAACCAAAGTTCTAAAAGTACTATCCTCACTTCCTCACCTGTTGATTCCAGCGGCGGTACTCTCCCTCCAACTTGGACACCAATGTTTCAGCAGCCTCTATGGTCTCATTCTCCTTGTCCAGTTTGATCTTCAGTTCTGCAGCTTCTTTGGTGAGAGTTTCGAACCTGGTTCTCAGGGAAGCCACTTTACGGTCAACCTCCCCAACAGCCTGGCTCAGTCTGGCCAGGCGAGCTTCTGCTTTCTCCAGATTTCTGAATATGAGAAAACACATCGCTGATAAACACACATTTCAGAACATTATTGAGAACATGTAAATCTGGAAAGAGAGCTGTGCCTGCGGCAACAAGACAGGTTAACGAAGCTGAGAGTGATGAACTGCTAGGGAAACCCTGAGAAAGTATGTTGGTGAGAAATCTTAGCTGGTCACTGCAGCGCTTTAAGACATCATATATCTATCAGTCTATCAGATATCTGCAAGTCCATCCTGTTAATCCATCTACTCCAGTCTATTCAGTTAGTCTATCAAATATCTACTCCATTAATTCTGCTAATTTAATCCTCAGCTTCCTGAGCTACCAGATACTTTCTCAGCTGACTGAGCCATCACCTACCTTCTCAGCTCACTGAGCCATCACCTACCTTCTCAGCTCACTGAGCCATCACCTACCTTCTCAGCTTACTGAGCCATCACCTACCTTCTAAGCTCACAGAGCCATTGGGCTATCACTTAAATATTTACCTCATTAAGATAGCCCTGACCTTCTCAGATCATTGAGTTATCACATACTTTCTCAGTATCACTAAGCCATGACCTACCTTCTCAGCTCATTCTGCTCCTGCTCCAGAGGCTCCACCTTCTCCAGGACATAAGAGTACTGCACATTGGCCCTCACCCAGGCTGCCAGCGGCTCCGCTGCCTGCGACGCTCTCTTTGCATTCTGTCACACATGAATATATTTACATATATTTACATCTGTTTGACGTCATATAACTGACGACTGGAGGGAAAGAAAAAACTGTCAAAGTACTATAGAGTGTTTAGCAAAGGAAGGGCAAGAAAGAATACAATCAAACTACTACTGGTAGCATCAGAACTGGAACTCAGTGCTGGCTGCTGAAGATAGGGATGAAGCGCTTAGGGGAATGTCCCGTGGGTGGTGTTGTCGGTTATTAACTAAATGCCTCTACTCTTGTACATTGTGTGCAAGTGATACCTGGATAATAAGTAGAGAAACTTGAGAAGCTTATGATGTCAGCAGAAATGTGGACTTCTGGGAACACGTTGACATTAATTGGGACTCTCAAAGAAAGGGATCCTTTTAATGCCACCTACATGATACTAGACTCATATTTTATAGACCAATTACCATTTGATGGGTGATGCGGTGAATATCAAGCCGGGCACCTTTACGGTGCTTTATCAGTATCCTACCCCAAATAGGGGAAATCTACAGGTCATGGGACAGTCTAATATTTCAGGGGGTGGTAGATAGGCTGCATGCAGTCGTGGGACCTAAGCTGCATGTAGTCCTGGGACCTAGGCTGCACTCTCTTGTGGGATGTAGGTGGGTTGGGGTAAGGGCTAGTACTACATGTTTTGGGGTCGTTAAAAGCATCAGAAAGCTGGAAAATCCAGTGTTACCACCCTCTAAAATGTTGGACTGTCCTGTGACATCATCTGGGGTAGGATATTAATAAAGCACCACCTTTACTTTGTAGGACACTGCCAGAGGTTTCCACTTTGGGCTGGGTCGACCTACGAGCTAAGATAAATTTTTTTGAAAAATATCAACCACCAAGAGGATTCAAATTCAATAGCTAGGGGTCTGCAGGTCACTGTGTAGCTACTATGCCACTGCAGCTGTCAACGTTAATTGTGGGGAGACAAACAAACAAACGAACACACGAGGCGATCCTGATACTGTTGAGTACGTCTCTGAAAAATATTCTTGTCAACGTTCAGTCCACAATACCATCAACACCCACCAGATATGTCTATATGCATTCTTCTCTCCTCCACTGTAAATCCAACACCCCTATGCAAGTCTTCTAGCAGACTTGATGTCCTGCCCCCCCCCCCCCCCCAACTGATTTTCAATTTGAATACCTGCATTCAGGTAAGTGACATTGATACATTCAGCTGAAAGTTCTTGTTTCTCCTTCCTCTTCCTCTGTGTTTATCCAAAGTCGAAATGTGCTGTTCCTGTTTAGAGCATGGCTGCAATATTTGCTCCTTTTTGGCAACACAACCAATTTCTGCAGGAATTAGTTGACCAGGTTAATTTTCCTGGAAGCCCTTGTTTGAAATGGCTTCCTTAAGTGAGTAACCACTCATCCTTCAGATGACCCACTGATATAGTGCTAGTTGTGGCTAGTCTGTTTAGCCTTTCATTGCCCATTATCTTCCACAGAAAAAAAAGGTAATTAAATGACCTTGCCTCCCAGGTCGACCCAGCCTTAAGTAGATACCAGGTAAAATCCTGGGAAGTAAAGGTCGCTGGCATGATGCTGACCACACCTCTCATTGAGTGTCGATTTAATGACACAAATATGAGACTAGCACATATGCCTGATGTGCTAAAGAGTCCTTTACTTACTCACTTTATCTTCTGTTGTTCTCTACTCCTAGAATGCCTCGCGGCAAGAGAACAGGAAGAGTCCCCTGGAATGGGCCCTTTTGTTCACTTCATATAAAGTATTTTTCAGTGTCTCTGATATTTCTGCGGTCCATAGTTTGCATGGCAGACCTCTGGATCTGTTACCACTGTATCTGTATAACATTGCTCTCTGTGGTGCCCTGTCTAATGCCAATCTTGTTACATCTCTAAACCATTTGAATTGTTATCTACCTATAAAGTCTACCTAAAAAGTCTACCTTTAAAGTCTACCTATAAAGTCTACCTATAAAGTCTACCTATAAAGTCTACCTATAAAGTCTACCTATAAAGTCTACCTATAAAGTCTACCTAAAAAGTCTACCTATAAAGTCTACCTATAAAGTCTACCTATAAAGTCTACCTATAAAGTCTACCTATAAAGTCTACCTATAAAGTCTACCTATAAAGTCTACCTATAAAGTCTACCTATAAAGTCTACCTATAAAGTTTACCTATAAAGTCTACCTATAAAGTTTACCTATAAAGTCTGTCTATAAAGTTTACCTATAAAGTCTACCTATAAAGTCTACCTATAAATTTTACCTATAAAGTTTACCTATAAAGTCTACCTATAAAGTCTACCTATAAAGTCTACCTATAAAGTCTACCTATAAAGTCTACCTATAAAGTCTACCTATAAAGTTTACCTATAAAGTCAACCTATAAAGTCTACCTATAAAGTCTACCTATAAAGTCTACCTATAAAGTTTATCTATAAAGTTTACCTATAAAGTCTGACTTTAAAGTCTACCTATAAAGTCTACCTATAAAGTCTACCTATATAGTCTACTTATGAACTTACTTTATAATCTGCTCAAAAATGTTCATAATCTTTGTTCAGTTTCTCTGACCGGTTCTTAGTATACAAACAAAAAACTGACCTTTGGATCAAATGAATCTCTGTTTCGTCTCAGTAACTCCTCCGCATTTTTTCTAATCTCTGGGGTAATCTTTCTTGCATCAAAAGTCTGTATCTCTTCCTTGACTCCTCTCTTGGCTAGGAAACTACAAAAATATGTCAGACATGTCATGAATTAGTGTTTACATATTAAAAACTTTCTACATTTAATACTGATTGTTTTCAGAATCGTTCACAGACTAAACACAAGGCAAACTGATGGAGATACATTTGATGCAATACCCCAGAACTGGTTAGAAAAATTTATTTAACTCTTTTGAACTCTTCAAACTGATACAAGAATTTTTACAAAATCTCCACACCTCTTCATACTTTTACAAGAGGTATGATCAAATCTACTCATTTCTTCATACTTTTACAAGAGTTATTATAAACTCTACTCACCTTTTCATAATGATACAAGAAGTATGACAAAATCTACTCACCTCCTTATAATGATACAAGAAGTATGGCAAAATACACTCACCTTCTTATGTTGATACAAGGCAAGACAAATTATACTCACGACTTCATACTTATATAAGAAATATGACAAACTTTTTTTTCCTCTTCATATTTATACAAGAGGTATGACAAAACCTACTCATCTTTTAATGCTAACCCAAGAGATATGAAAAAACCTACTCATCTTCTAATGCTAACCCAAGACATATGACAAAACCTACTCATCTTTCAATGCTGACGCAAGAGATATGACAAAACCTACACATCTTTTAATGCTAACCCAAGAGATATGACAAAACCTACTCATCTTTTAATGCTGACCTAAGTGATATGAAAAAACCTACTCATCTTTTAATGCTGACCCAAGAGATATGACAAAACCTACTCATCTTTCAATGCTGACCCAAGAGATATGACAAAATCTACTCACCTTTTAATGCTGATCTAAAAGATTTAACAAAACCTACTCATCTTCAAATGCTGACCCAAGAGATATGACAAAATCTACTCACCTTTTAATGCTGACTCAAAAGATATAACAAAACCTACTCACCTCTTCATGCTGACCCAAGAAGTATCAAAGATACCCATCAGACACAGAACACCCTCCAGAATATCTCTGATGACATCAGGAGGTGCCCGAAGTGCTCTGATCTCCGACAGAGCTTCTGTTTTGATGCTGCCCACAGCTTTACGTGCTTCCTGCACCAGTGGCTCCACCTTCAGTGCAGAAAGAGAAATAACCATTGTCATGACTAAGTCGGCTCTGTGGCTAGGTTGATGCGAACGCTTTCTAATGCCGTCATGCTGGGTTCGATCCTAGCTGCTGGCTATACGCCTTGCGTTGGTTTTGACAGTGGTATCATGAAAGCCGACCGTCCAGAAAGCAATGGCAAACTACTGGACGTAAATTCGCCTAGAAAAACCACACAACAGCCAGGGACTAAAAGCGATTCAGCATCCAGTGGTACTGAAAACACTAGATCCTCAACTTGCACATGGATCATCTCAGTAATCATATATTAGAGTGAAACATGTGATGTAACTTGTGCATGGAACATCTCAGTAATCACACATTAGAGTGAAACATGTGATGTAACTTGTGCATGGAACATCTCAGTAATCACACATTAGAGTGAAACATTTGATTTTGAACAAAAAACACTGACAACTAAATTTCATGCCTGAACTAAAGAAAAAAAGAAAAATTCTTTCAAAGAACAATATTAGTTACTTTAAAAAATCTATTAGATTGTTTATGAATCTCATAATAAAAAAGTCTATATTATGGTTAACTTTATTCTGCTCAAAGCCAAAGTAGTTATTAACCTTTGTCCCACAAACCCCTTGGAAAACAGTATAATTCCCATGAAATTACCTCCCCTTTTTTGCATTTCCAAAAAAAATCCTTTAAATAAACAACCTGAAACACAGGTCACTAAAACACTAGTTTTCTCTTGCCCTCTGTCTGTCTGTCTGTCTCTCTCTCTCTCTCTCACAGGCATGTACACACGCAGGCACGCACACACGCATGCATGAACACGCACACACACACATTTGTTTGTTCAGAAAACTTGAACGAGAGTAATTAATAAACATGAACAGAGTAAAGAATTAACTGGATTTCCTTCCCTTCGGACTAACAAAAATGTTCCGGGTGACTCACACTGAGGCCTATAACTTCTTCTGAATTCCAAAACTAAAAATATGCGTAAATTATGATGTCAAAATGCCTTTAAATAGCAATTTTTTCACAATAAAACTAGCCTAAATGTTATTTTTACTAAATAAAAAATATTTTCATCGCGACCACCTAAATCCTGCACATGTGCTAACACCACTAATGGTTTTAGCTAGGTGTCCTAGAAACACACGTCTGGAGAAATGCCAGGTAAGCAGCATTTAGAGGTGGGACTGACTCACTATTGAATGTGACAGATTTGTGGCTTTTTGGGGCGAAAGAGTTAATGCACTAAATGGAAAAACCTATAATTGCATAAAGTTAAAAAAAAAAACATTAGTAAAAGTAATGGACCCTTTGTATGGCAGCAGCACATCTAGCATATGATGTGTGACACATATTTTTACAGACAAATCGATTTCTAGTAGGTGATGTCATCAACATCACGCTAGTTGCCTTTAATTCCCAGGAAATTAGCTAGTCTTCATTTTTAGCTGGGCCGACCTAAAAGCCAAGCTCAATTCAGGAAAAATCTGCCTTGCTGCTGATTGGAACCTAAAACCTTTGGGCCAGCAGGCATATAATATTTCACTACTGCTTGTAGCTGGTCAGTAAACTGTGAGTTTGTCACATCCTTCTTTCCCAGACCATGGTGAGCCATGACACATTATGACAACACATCTTGTCGAAGCCAACAAACGAAAACTGTCTAACATATAAACATGTATAAACACCTGAGCCATCTCTTGGTCGATGGCTGCCTTCCTTTTTTCTAAGATTCTGTTCTCCTCTGCAGCCTTCCTTTTCAGCTCCTCCATCTCAACTTTCTGGTCTCCTGCATTCTGCATGGCCATCTAGAGACACACAGATATAAATTACAGACTTGAGTGAGAAGTAGAACATCTCAACTTTCTGGTCTCCTGCATTCTGCATAGCCATCTAAAGACACACAGATATAAATTACAGACTTGAGTTAGAAGTAGAACAGAGCACTTATGGGTTAATACCCTTGTGCCATGATGTTGATCTGTTGTATAAATCAAACCAAACCAAACCAGAGATATAAAGATCTGAGGTGATTAGAAACAATATCTAAATGATTATAATGAAAAAAAGGACTGCAAATAAAATGCTTTGTCTACTAAACCAAGCAGTCTTGTGATGCCATAACATACACCAAAAGAGAAGAGGGATGTAAATCACGAGGTAGACCAAGAACAAGATGAAGAGATAACAGAGACACTCTACAAGAGTATGATGTTTCGATGGTCGAAGTGGCCAAAAGAGCAAGAAGCCTATCCATATATAGACACCCTTAACACCCAAAGAAGAAGAGGAAGTGAAGAAGAAGAAGAAGAAGAAGAAGAAGAAGAAGAAGAAGAAGAAGAAGAAGAATGAGCACAAACAAAAACAAACAAAATAAAAGTGTTTAAAAAGACAAAACTAAAATATCTACACAACATTAGCGAGATGTGACAGTGTGCAGGTACTGCACAGACCAGAAATGTATGACCTGTTTCTATCTATTATATGTGCGGCTGTGGACTAGAGGGAGCCACCAGACACTTGCCTGCAAATCCAAAGGTCATCAGTTTAGGTCCTAAAAAAGCTGAAAATTGTTTTCAAAATGACCTTGGCTCCCGTCCTTAAATAAGTTCTAGGTAAAGCCATAGGAAGTAAAGGTGACTGTTGTAAAGTTGAGCATATCACCTACCGAGTGCTTGCTGGTCTATAAAAAATAGGTTTAGCCCTATATGCCCAATACGCCTGAAAGTGTGGAAAAGCATCGTTTACTTTATTCTGTGGCTTAGATAGATGTTATATGAACAAGTTTCTCAATCTTCCAAATGTCAGAGCTCAGTTTCTGCAAGGGGCAGTTTTTATCTAACGATTTTTCTCTCAGCTTTCCTGAAATGGTACGAGAGTCGCACCATAGAAGAGATTGAAGCTCGTAATATCCTCAGAGATAGCAAGGGTCGCATTTAACCTACATTAAAATAATTAATTAATAATACCTAATTAATCATATTTAATATGTAGCTGAAAAAGTACAGGGAGTGGAAAAAAAGGGGGAAAAGAAGAGGAAGGAGGAGAAGATGAAGAAAATGAAGATGCAAAAGAAAAAGGAGAATTAAAAGAAGGTGAGTACATGGAAGACGAAGGAGAAATCAAGTTGTAGGTCAGTGATTATGAAGAAACATTAAAAAGTAAACTAAAAAAGACTCTGATGTATTAAACCATTAAACAGGAAAATATCACCTGAGACAGCACCATAATTTTATTTTATTTAGCAGCATTTAATACCCCAACATAAAAAAAAAATAAACCAAATGTGAGTGCTTACAGTGATCTCTCTGAGGGCGGCATCAGCTTCTGATTGTTTCTCTGCCAGTTGTACACTCTGCTCTCCAGCTTTCTTCTTCAGGTCATCCACCAGCAACTTGGCATCGTTCAGTTTAGACACACCAGTCTAGAACAGATCAAGTGTAGCAGCATCAGTCACAAGTCAGTGCCATGACTAACTGACAATGGCACCATGATTGATTAACTCTAGCACCATGACTGATGGGCAGCAGTACCATGACTAATTAAATATAGCTAATGACTGATTGACAACGTCACTTTATGCAGATTCACTGCAGTCGAGTTTCCCCATACTTGCTCCGTTTCTGTGTCAGTAAATATCAAATGAAATGTCCCTGACTGTGCCAAAGCCAACAGTTGCCACCAGAAATGCTGTTGACTGACTGACTGACTTTCTACCCCACCAGGACATCACACAAGCGATACACACCCAATGACACAAAGTGCCACCATGTGGGTGAGGATCACTGTGGAGAGGTCCCAGAAACCGCGTTCAGCCTTTAGGCCATATTTATGACCAGGCTATATTGTGGCCCCCAGCAAGAGCCAAAGTAGGGCTTGAAATAACGAAAAATTCCATCCTAAAAAGGACAGGAAGTTTTAATAACTATATGTACAGAGAGAAATGCAGTTTACCCTTGATGGAGGTGGTTAGGCACGATAAGTTGGCTATACACACGTAGAATTATTACATAAGGTATTTCACCAGCTCATAAATAAAATAGCTACCGGCCATATTAAAAACCACAGCACAAACGCTGCACAAATGAAAGGCATTCCATTGAAAAAGACAGCTCACAGGGCTACACCAAGCACTAAACTCAGTAGCTCAGCAACAAAATCGTAGACTACCATCCTTATGTGGAAACTACATTAGTAAAGTGCTGTCGGAAGCAACATTAATTTCGAAGCTTAACATTATTCTGCCATGCCTAATCCTCCATTTTAGACTGGAAGTTCACTATATGTGACTGATGGCCAGAATCATGACTGATTAACTATTGCGACATGACTGACAACAGAACCATGACTGAAAGCCAGCACCAAGACTGCCTGACTAAGTATAGCATCATGACTGATTGACAACAGCACCATGAATGACTGACAACAGCACCATGGCCAACTGGCAATGGAACCATGACTTATTTACCATAGCACAATGAATGACTGACAACAGCACCATGACTGACAGCCAGCACCAAGACTGCCTGACTAAGTACAGCATCATGACTGATTGACAAGTAAGTTGTGGGTTCGAGCCCTGACGGAGCCAGACTTTTTTTTTTCAGGAATGACCCTGGCTGACAAGCTGACCCAGCCTTGAGTGTGTACCAGGTGCAGTCCAGGGAAGCAAAGGCGACCGGCATGATGTTGACCACATCACCCACTAAGTGCCAACTGGTCTATACAAAATAGCTCTAGCAATACGACCGATGGCGCAGACGACCGATGGCGCAGACGACCGATGGTGCAGACGACCGATGGTGTGGACGACCGATGGTGCGGACGACCGATGGTACAGACGACCGATGGTACAGACAACCGATGGTACAGACGACCGATGGTACAGACGACCGATGGTACAGACGACCGATGGTACAGACGACCGATGGTGCAGACGACCGATGGTGTGGACGACCGATGGCGCAGATGACCGATGGCGCAGATGACCGATGGTACAGACAACCGATGGTGTGGACGGCCGATGGCGCAGATGACCGATGGTGTGGACGACCGATGGTGTGGACGGCCGATGGCGCAGATGACCGATGGTGTGGACGACCGATGGTGCAGACAAACGATGGCGCAGACGGCCGATGCCGCAGATGGCCGATGGTACAGACGACCGATTGTGGACGGCCGATGGCCCAGATGGCCGATGGTGTGGACGACCGATAGCGCAGATTACCGATGGTACAGACGGCCGATGGTGCAGATGACCGATGGCGCAGACGACCGATGGTACAGACGGCCGATGGCGCAGATGACCGATGGTACAGACAACCGATGGGGTGGACGGCCGATGGCGCAGATGACCGATGGTGTGGACGACTGATGGTACAGTCGGCTGATGGCGCAGACGACCGATGGCGCAGATGACCGATGGTACAGTCGGCTGATGGCGCAGACGACCGATGGGGCAGATGACCGATGGTACAGACAACCGATGGTACAGTCGGCTGATGGCGCAGACGACCGATGGGGCAGATGACCGATGGTATAGACAACCGATGGTACAGTCGGCTGATGGCGCAGACGACCGATGGGGCAGATGACCGATGGTACAGACAACCGATGGTACAGTCGGCTGATGGCGCAGACGACCGATGGGGCAGATGACCGATGGTATAGACAACCGATGGTACAGTCGGCTGATGGCGCAGACGACCGATGGCGCAGACGACCGATGGCGCAGATGACCGATGGTGCAGACGGCCGATGGTGTGGACGACTGATGGTACAGTCGGCTGATGGCACAGACGACCGATGGCGCAGATGACCGATGGTACAGTCGGCTGATGGCGCAGACGACCGATGGGGCAGATGACCGATGGTACAGACAACCGATGGTACAGTCGGCTGATGGCGCAGACGACCGATGGCGCAGACGACCGATGGCGCAGATGACCGATGGTGCAGACGGCCGATGGTGTGGACGACCGATGGTGCAGACGAACGATGGTGCAGACGGCCGATGCCGCAGACGACCGATGGTGCAGATGACCGATGGCGGGAAAGAGTTGTTTACTTTTTTACTTTTTAGTAAGTAAGTAAAAGTGCTCTTTTCACGCCTCTAGGACATGAAGTAATTACAGTAAAACCTCGTTAACACAATTCCAAGGGACTTGAAAACACATGGTTTGACTAATATACATATGTCCATGCTGAGACCAAAACTTTGTTCATGTTATGTAAAGTGTTCATATTAAGCTAGTTCATGCTGACATGGTTTGACTGTAGTGCTTAACAACACACGAAGGGCAGGGGTTAAGAATACCAGCATTAGAGAGACATTTTGGATAAGACAATGTCTGAATTAAATAGACAGACAAAGAATTCAATGGTTCAGCTTCCCAGTGAGAATGAAGCCAGACCAAACTGGATACAAGACTTTTTACAGTAGAACATCTGGGAGGAAGGCAATGAGAAGACCAAGAAAGAGGTGCATAAATGGTGTGGCTGAAACTGTAAAAAGATTATTAAACTAACCACCCAAGCCACCCGAGAAGCGCAAGACAAATACCGAAAGCACGATACTGGCGTACAGCCTGGTACCAGTGAGACGACACTGGGCTACAACCTGGTACCAGTGAGACGACACTGGGCTACAATCTGGTATCAGTGAGACGACACTGGGCTACAACCTGGTATCAGTGAGACAACACTGGGCTACAGCCTGGTACCAGTGAGACGACACTGGGCTACAAACTGGTACCAGTGAGACGACACTGGGCTACAAACTGGTACCAGTGAGACAACACTGGGCTACAAACTGGTACCAGTGAGACAACACTGGGCTACAACCTGGTACCAGTGAGACGACACTGGGCTACAGCCTGGTACCAGTGAGACGACACTGGGCTACAAACTGGTACCAGTGAGACGACACTGGGCTACAACCTGGTACCAGTGAGACAACACTGGGCTACAACCTGGTACCAGTGAGACGACACTGGGCTACAACCTGGTACCAGTGAGACGACACTGGGCTACAAACTGGTACCAGTGAGACGACACTGGGCTACAACCTGGTACCAGTGAGACGACACTGGGCTACAACCTGGTACCACTGAGACGACACTGGGCTACAAACTGGTACCAGTGAGACGACACTGGGCTACAAACTGGTACCAGTGAGACGACACTGGGCTACAACCTGATACCAGTGAGACGACACTGGGCTACAAACTGGTACCAGTGAGACGACACTGGGCTACAAACTGGTACCAGTGAGACGACACTGGGCTACAACCTGGTACCAGTGAGACGACACTGGGCTACAAACTGGTACCAGTGAGACGACACTGGGCTACAAACTGGTACCAGTGAGACGACACTGGGCTACAACCTGGTACCAGTGAGACGACACTGGGCTACAACCTGGTATCAGTGAGACAACAATGGGTTATAACCTGGTATCAGTGAGACGACACTGGGCTACAACCTGGTATCAGTGAGACAACAATGGGCTACAGCCTGTAATCAGTGAAACGACACTGGCACCTGTTTTACAGATCTGGCTGACCTGTGTGCAGACTGTTGGTTCCTCTCATCTCTGACAAATACACTCGGCCTTAGAAGGAAATGCTCTTAATTAGTTGCCTTTAATTACATGATAGGGTGGGACTGGGGCCGGGGGTGAAAAGGGGGGGGGGGGGGTCAATTCTTTTTCCCTATGCAATTAGGCCTTGAAACACATACATGAAAAAGTATGATATAACAGGGATATGTGCAGGGAAAACCTCAAAATTCAAGATCTCAAAGAACACCACATACTTGCAGGTGGTTCTGCTTCTCCAGAATGCTGCTCTTCTTCTTCTCGTAGACAGACATGTAGGTGTTCAAGAACATGATGTAGCGCCGGGGGCTGGCATTGCAGGACTCATGGATGTGCAGGAAACACTTGAGCATGTCCTCGCCTCCAGACAACTTTTTCTTGTGGGCTTTCTGCTCACCGATGGTGCCCCCTTCTTGTTTAGGTGGCCGAGTTAACATCATTTTTGGCACCTGTCAACATCATTATCAAAAATCCAATAACTTATGGAGAAATACAAGGACATTTGGAGAGAGAAAAACCAACAGAAAAAAAACATCCACGAGACCTCATGAGCAGACTTAAGAGACAACAACAGCCAACAATCTTCCCTCTAAGAACAGGACACTGTAGGCACATCAAATGGGACCACAAACATTTGAGCACATTCTGCAGCCATGCCCATTATACTTACAACTATGAAGAGAAACATGGCCTCAAGAGCGAAGTGCGCAGAGCCAGGTATGGGGAACCAGCCAGGTATGGGGAACCAGCCAGGTATGGGGAACCAGCCAGGTATGGGGAACCAGCCAGGTATGGGGAACCAGCCAGGTATGGGGAACCAGCCAGGTATGGGGAACCAGCCAGGAATGGGGAACCAGCCAGGTATGGGGAACCAGCCAGGTATGGGGAACCAGCCAGGTATGGGGAACCAGCCAGGTATGGGGAACCAGCCAGGTATGGGGAACCACGGAAAACCTGCCACAGTCGTGCAAGTTCATGCAGGGAGCTCACCTGACAGTTTTAACTCAGCACGCGAAACCGGACACCAAGAGAAAGATGATGGAACCTATCCGAGGCTCCCTGTGGGTATGTGCTCTGTACCATGATTTACTCTCCATGATATTTCCAAGCACCAATTTTAGGCTGGTTGAGTCCAGAAGTCCTGGCCAATCCTGGCCAATTGTAAAAGTCAGCTTCAATGGGGATTTGAACTTATAGCCAATGTGCTAGCCACTGTACTACCATGGCTCCAGTAGAAAAGGGAGATGGATACAATATTATTTTCATACACTGAAATACAGCAGGCAAGAGAATGAACAAACAAACACTTTATTTTTAAAAAACAATACACATACTATGAGTATCAAGTACACACACAAACGTGGATGGTAAATGCATACATTCAAATACACAACCATACCAAACATGTCACACACACACATACATACATATGTACATGTGTACACACACACACATATATATACACACACACACATACATGCACACATATACACCACAGCCACATACACATACCATATATACATACAATATACACACACACACATAAATGCATACTACAAAAATAAATATATATGTGTGTATGTATGTATGCATGCATATATGTATGTATGTATGTGTGTGTGTGAATATACACATAGACATTGAAACATACACATGCTCACATATTCAGAGATGGAGGAAGATGTTAGTGAAAAACTTGAACAATTGAGAAAAATAACCAGACACAAACAGACAGAGTGAGTAAGTGTGTGAACAAGTTACCTTCAGCATGCTGTCCCTGCTCCAGTTCTCCATCCACTGCACGCAGCACTGCTTGTACAGGGCTGGGTTGCTGTCACAGTTGACAGTGAAACTGCTGCTGAGACAGTCCATCAGCAGCACAATGTGCAGGTTGTTCAACACTCCTAGGACATCACAGACGTACAACAGGTTATCCATTTATCTTTTGTTCATGGACAAGTTTCATTCTTCTATGACAAACAGTATAGACTGATAGAACATTCTTCTATGATGGGCAGTATAGACTACATTCTTCTTTGATGAACAATATAGACTGATAGAACATTCTTCTATGATGGTCAGTATAGACTACATTCTTCTATGAGGGACAATTTAGACTGATATAAAATTCTCCTATGAATGACAATATGGACTGATATAACATTCTTTTTTGACGGACAGTATGGACTGGTATAACATTCTGCTATGACAGACAATATAGACTGATACAACATTCTGCTATGAAGGACAATATGGACTGATATAACATTGTTCTGTGATGGCCAGTAAATTTTATTATCTTTGGAATGATTCAGAAATGCACAGTGTGTTACTTGGAACTGAAAGAGTTATAAACAAAGTATCAGAGACATAAAAAGAACAGCACAAACGTCTCCAACAAACATTCAAACAGACAAAGGAAGACAATGCGGGATGATTCTTGACAGCCTTGTGTCAGGGGTGTCAACACACAAACTAATACATGCTACTGAGAATCACAGACTGTGGACAGGCAATGCCACACACGCCAGACGGCAATGCACTCAATGATGATGACGAGGATGATCATGACTTGTAACCTGTTTTGCTGTTATTGTTGTCAAGAGTGTTGAGCAGTGACATCACAGTGCAGGTGAACATGGTGATGTCATTATGTGTGCTCAAAGATGGCTGCCCCACATTTGAAGCCCCCTTGTATTACAGACCCTGTTAACACATTCACATTATATGTCATGACGTCATATGTTACCTCTATGACCAAATGATAGCTTAACTATTAATATTTCAAAATGAGCTTCTACTCACGGGAAGCAAAGAAGCTGATCAATGTGCCTCTAAAACCAACTTCTGAGGCTAAGTCTCGAAGTGGAGCCAGCAAGGGCTCTAACTCTTCCTGTGTGTAAAGACCAGGGACCTCTCCTGCTGAGAGCAGGCTGTTGATCAGCTCCAGGAATTGAGGCTCCACCAACTGGTGGTCTTCCAGCAAGAGAACTACCTGTTCACCATCTATCCCTGCCGTCTGCATCACCTGCGCAAATCAAAGAGAAAATAGAGGTCAGAGACAGAAAACAAAACCACTACATACTTCGTCTTCTTCTTCATCTTCATTCACCAGGGGCGGTTGACATGTTGTGATGTGGTTTACAGCTAGGCTGCAATATCTTCACCTTCAGCCCAACACTTCCTTTTATGATATGCTTGTTAGGAGGCAGTAGGTCAATTATTTCTTCCTTCTAATTATTTCCCTTTTGCTACATGTTTACTGGAGGCACGGGTCAATTCTTCTGTCCCCTCAAATGTGCTCCCAGAAACCCCATGGGAAACAACTACATCTAATCTGGCAGGATGGCTTGTGTGCTCTAATGATACAGCTACGCTGCCAGGGGAACTGTGCCCCTAGTAAGTCTAACCATGCCATATAGGACTTGAGAAGTAGGGTCAAATCCAAACTAGCAACCTTATCCTACAGGTTGGGTATTGGGCAAAGGACTGTTAACCCATTATTGTAAACTATCTTGTTAAGTAAACAAGGCTCAAATAAAAAGACGTAGATGACCTAAGGAAACCTGCAGCGGGAAAGTAGAGTGAAAAATGAATGAGCACACAATGACATGGAATACCAGGGACAGAAACACAGCTTACTGACAACATGGAGGCCACTTATGAATGCCTTATGTATCATAAAGATGACTGATTATTTTGAATTGTAGGTTAGTTTGCATAAATATTCACCTCTCAAACCTATTCTTCAATAATGCACAGACAATTCTCTCATAAACGTACACTTTTAAGATCAGTCATGTATATAATCTAACGATACAGTGACAATTCCAGCACAAATTTACACTTAAGATTCATCATGTCCATGGACAATTCCAGCACAAATTTACACTTAAGATTCATCACGCCCATGGACAATTCCAATACAAATTTACACTTAAGATTCATCAAACCCATGGACAATTCCAGCACAAATTTACACTTAAGATTCATCTAACCCATGGACAATTCCACCACAAATTTACACTTAAGATTCATCAAACAAATTTACACTTAAGATTCATCAGGCCCATGGACAATTCTAGCATGCACTTACATTTTTAAGATCCATTCTAAACTGCTTGACTCCATAACTGCGAGACACTTTAGGAGAAAACACCTTCATCAGATGCATGTTAGCTACAACACTGACAGCAGTTCTGCGACCCACCCCACTGCGACCAGCCATCAGCAGGGAACCACCTGGCTTGGTCAGCACTCTGTCCACCCTGGCCATGTTGTCAAAAACCTCACGGAAAATCAGAATGTCCAACTCCCTATTCTCACGACCTGCAGACAGAATAACCTCATAAACTTTTGTCACATTTTGAAAATCTGCATTTAACTCTTTTGTTACTACAGGTCAGTTTAATTAATTAAAAATCAATACCAGCTGTGTTCCTTGATACCAGAAGAGCCAAAATTTAATGTTTATATTGTCTGACTTTCTAACAAGCAAGTGATATTAACCCTTTGAGTACCAGTGGGTTCAGCAATAGAGACCCAAGGGGTGGTAATGCAATGTTGAAGTGTCACAAGTGTAACACGTTAAAACAGACCATACTAGTTCAACTGCCACGTAACATCCATACATTACGCACCAAAGTGATCAGGGATTGTTGATGAATAATATTAGAACACTGGTACAAAAATAAACTGTTACAGTTGAGTCTGGATAAGTAGAAGTCGCTGGGACCTAAGAAAGTGCTTCCACTTATCAGGATTTCTACTTATCCAGACAGTACACAATAGAGAAAATTGCCAGGACTAAGCTGGTCATGTCGACTTAATCGGAATTTGACTTATCCAAGTTCGACTTAAATGGACTCGACTGTAGTAGTTGATTACTGGTAAATAAATAGATTGTATGTTTTGAGAAATTAGTGGGGAAAAAAATAATAATTTGTCCACATACCACCACGGCACTGAAGGAAAACTCGATATAACACATAAAAATTAATCACAAATGAACACAAACCACTAAGTAATGTATAAATAATACATAAACACCATCTGTCTATTAGATCTCATTCCAGAGAAACTTCTACAACATAATAACAGAGAACAAATTTGGTAATTGTACCTGTAGATCTCATTCCAGAGAAACTTCTACAACATAATAACAGAGAACAATCTAGTTATTGTACCTGTAGATCTCATTCCAGAGAAACTTCTACAACATAATAACAGAGAACAATCTGGTTATTGTACCTGTAGATCTCATTCCAGAGAAACTTCTACAACATAATAACAGAGAACAATCTGGTTATTGTACCTGTAGATCTCATTCCAGAGAAACTTCTACAACATAATAACAGAGAACAATCTAGTTATTGTACCTGTACAAGGTACTTCGACGCCACCATGTGAGTTCCGGGGCCCCACTTGGAATGGGGAGTGAGGGGGCACGGTGGGGTGCCCTCTAACAAGCATCTCGTAAAATTTAATTAATTAGAAACACTTCCTTCAAAGTCAATGTATTTCTGCAAAGAACCAACAATCTGCATACAAACAAGCCAGATTTGTAAAATTCAAGTGCATGCAAACTTCGGTTCTAAAACAAGATCACACCCAGACGCAGATGAACAGACAGAACTTTCTGTCGGCATTTACATCTGGTGAATGCTAAGAAAAAGAAAAAGTATGAGGTGCTGAGCTTACTGTAGATCCTGATGCCCTTCTCAATCACAGCTTTCAGATCATCCTCTGAGAGTTTGCCCAGAGGTTTTCCAAATGGTGGAAGAGGTGCACCAGCTCCGATTCCAGAAGCTCCCGATTCTGCTCTGGCTCCCCAGGTCACATAATAAGCATCTGGCGAAGAAACACAGTGAAACAGCAAAACAACATTAGTTCTGTCACACTTAACTCTTTCAGTCACAAGGAATGTGTCATATGTTCATATGTTCATCTGTTCATATGTTTATATGTTCCTATCTAGTAGTCCAGTTAACATACAATGTGTTGATTATATGTTTCTCCTTAACACTGTTGGGCCTCTGATGCTAAACCCCTAGGACTGAAATACTTAAAGTAGTTGGCACCATTAGCTCAACTAGCAGACAACATTAGTTCTGTCACAGCTAAAGTGGCAGGGAGAATTAGTTCTGTCACAGCTAAAGTGGCAGGGAGAATTAGTTCTGTCACAGCTAAAGTGGCAGGGAGAATTAGTTCTGTCACAGCTAAAGTGGCAGGGAGAATTAGTTCTGTCACAGCTAAAGTGGCAGGGAGAATTAGTTCTGTCACAGCTAAAGTGGCAGGGAGAATTAGTTCTGTCACAGCTAAAGTGGCAGGGAGAATTAGTTCTGTCACAGCTAAAGTGGCAGGGAGAATTAGTTCTGTCACAGCTAAAGTGGCAGGCAACATTAGTTCTGTCACAACTAAAGTGGCAGGCAACATCAGTTCTGTCACAACTAAAGTGGCAGGCAACATCAGTTCTGTCACAACTAAAGTGGCAGGCAACATAGATTCTGTCACTACTAAAGTAGCAGGCTACATCAGTTCTGCCACAACTAAAGTAGCAGGCAACATCAGTTTTGTGACAACTAAAGTGACAGGCAAGATCAGTTCTGTGACAACTAAAGTAGCAGGCTACATCAGTTCTGCCACAACTAAAGTAGCAGGCAACATCAGTTTTGTGACAACTAAAGTGACAGGCAAGATTAGTTCTGTCACAACTAAAGTAGCAGACAACATTAGTTCTGTGACAACTAAAGTAGCTGCAACATCAGTTCTACCACAAATAAAGTAGCAGACAACATCAGTTCTGCCACAACTAAAGTAGCAGGCAACATTAGTTCTGTGACAACTAAAGTAGCAGGCAAAATCAGTTCTGCCACAAGTAAAGTAGCAGGCAAAATCAGTTCTGTCACAACTAAATTAGCAGACAACATCAGTTCTGTCACAACTAAAGTAGCAGGCTACATCAGTTCTGCTACAACTAAAGTGGCAGGCAACATCAGTTCTGTCACAACTAAAGTAGCAGGCAACATCAGTTCTGTGACAACTAAAGTGGCAGGCAAGATTAGTTCTGTCACAACTAAAGTAGCAGACAATGTCAGTTCTGTCACAACTAAAGTAGCAGTCAACATCTGTTCTGTCACAACTAAAGTAGCAGACAACATCAGTCCTGTCACAACTAAAGTAGCAGACAACATGAGTCCTGTCACAACTAAAGTGGCAGGCAACTTTAGTTCTGTCATAGCTAAATCAGGAAGTCACATTAATGATGTCACAAGAAAGAACTCTTATCATTTACACTATTAGCAACCTCATCTCGACAAGAATCTGAACTTAAATTTGTCTGTTGTGTCATGGAACAGATTTGTCTGTTGTGTCATGGAACAGATTTGTCTGTTGTGTCATGGAACAGATTTGTCTGTTGTGTCTTGGAACAGATTTGAAAAGAAAAAAACACTTTACAAAAGAAATTTAAAAAAAAAAAAAACTTTTAAAATTACAAGACTTACTGTTGAGGTTGTTCAGAACATCCTCTGACCAGTCAGAACGAAGGACGGACTGGAGCATGTTGTCGAACTTGCTGCGATTGTCCAAGCCCACAATTTTGTCCCTGAACAGCCTATGTGCTTCATAAGCCCAGATTTCTAAAACTGTGTCAGCAGAATCTCTTGAACTGCCACCGAGGTCGTAGCGGAGGAAACTCATTGCCCAGCTGGTGAGGTCACGTGGCGTGAACAGGTAATGGTTGTAGTCATCAACAGTGAATCTGGATCTCAACTGAAAACATACAAATGTTTTTACTATGGTGGTACACACATATCTCAGGTGTGTGGGGAAATGAGCAGGCTGATAAGACTGGCTGTTGCTGCTCCTCTGGACAGTGAGCTACTTTACTATAAAGCAAATCTAGTGAAGGCCTTCTGGGATCAAATGGACAGTACAATAGAACAGACAGAGAATCTATAAACTGAAAGACTAATTCAGCAAGGTATGAGCAGAGGTCCTGAAAGATATTCAGCACTGAGGGGGAACAGGCAAACATTTAATCAGGTTACAGTTAGTAATAGCAGCATGTTGAGTCTTCGTTGGTTACTGAGAAGGAGACGGAGCATGGAGTGGGAATATCCAGAAAACAGTGATGTAAATTCTAGAACCTCTGTACAACAACCTACTAAATTAGTATTTCAATGTATGCTCTATTGCACTGTCCATTTGATCTCATAGAGCCTTCACCACACGTCCATCATAAAGTAGCTCACCGCCCAGAGAAGCGTCAGCAGCTAATCTATCAACCTGCTAGTTACCTTGCACACATGTGTGATGACCCTGCTTTGCATGGTCTCCACGAGTACATTGTGGCAAGCAGGAAGTCCGTGCTACAAGTGACGGCACGAGATACTTGTGGCCGGTGGAGTAAGCGAGGCGAAGCCCGAGCTAGCCTCGTGGTCAGTCGATCATGAGAAGTCAGAGTAGACGGTTGTAGTATTTAAAGATGTCGTCTTTATGTCGCGAGAATGGTTAGTGTTCGAATATGTCGCGAGTGAAATAAATGTGAAATAAATGGACGAGAATAAACTGACAGAATGTACCAATGTACCAAGAAGCTGAGCGGCGTTTGTGTTGTCAACCCTAGACGTTAAAGTTGGTGTAAACCAAGGTTCATTCCAAGTAGACCACGATTCATTCCAAGTTGAATCAGAATCATTTCAAGATAGTTAGAAGCGTAACTTCAAGTTTACGTTTTGGTTCATTCCAAGTGGGAGCTTGTCCGAAGGAAATTTGAAACCACGCGGACCTCAATCATATGAAAACAATTTTTCTTCCAAGGTAAGATAAACATGCGGAAAACAGTGTACATCGTCTTCACCCGAGCAGAACCTATAATTAACACAGCAAGCTGCGACAGGTCAGCTGCCGACCAATGAAAACCGGTGTGTCATCTACGCCCTGCCACACACCGGATCACTAAGTTTTGCGAATTCAGGAAGTTTCATGTTTACCGAAGCTACATATCAAAAATATTTTAAATCTTGTTTGTAAATTAAATCAGGTTTGTGACGATTATTTTTTCTCACTGAAACTAGCAGACTATGAACTAATTTTATTTACAAAGGTATGCTAGGTTTTCTTACTGCGGTGACATTTTTTGCATCGATTGTGCGTTTATCAGAATGGCATCTAAAAGGTTGGTAAAAAGTAAGAACACTTTGTCGCAAGTATCTTCAGCGACAACAATGAAAGATGCATCGATAAGTAACCAGAAGATCAAGATGTGCATTTTTTGTAAGTACCAGCACAGTTCTTCAACTATCTGCGACAGAGATCCTAAATATTCAAGTTATATTGAAGACTTGGTCAATAAAAAGTGGCAAAATAAACAAAAGAATAACCTTAAAAAGTGCCACTTCTGTAAGGCATTCGGACATATTGTAAAACACTGTGTTGGGAAACAGATGTTAAAAGACAAGAAAAGATCCTTGTTTGCAAAAACTAATTCAGTTAAAATGGATTCAGAAGGTATTCCTACTCTAGATTGTGGAGCATGCGACTGGTTGAAGAAACAGGGAAAAACATCAGAGCCACATATAATGTTGAGAGGAACAGTCCAATTGAAATGTCCAGGAACTAAAAAGATTAAGAACGAAATCGTGATTGCAGAATTAGAATCCAGCAAGAGCAATACAAGCAAGAAAGTTGAATCCAAAAAGACAACAGCCACTGAAACAGAGAAAAAGTCAAACTCAGAAACAATGAAAATTAATCAAGCAAAGGATATCACTGTTCCAACAATGACATCAGTTGAGACAAAAGCAACTCAGTGTATGAAAAAGACAGATTGTGAAATAATAGATAGGCAAACTGTGGATAAAGAATTTTCATTCTTAGAGGACAATAAATATATAGATTATGATCAATTCCACAGAGCAACAAGTCAAAAATATTGTGTAAAATCAACTAAATGTTTGATAAACAAGAAACCAGCACAAATGCAATTAAATAGAAAATCAAATATCACTTTGGTACGTGAAAATTGTTTAGAAAAATCAGATTATAGCGGAGAAATGGTTTACCGTATAAACAGAGAAGATTTTTTTATGCGATTTTGGACAGCTTATATTTATTTGAAGTCGCCCTATATATCAAGACCATTGAAAGTAGTGGTAACGGACAACATCGGAACAGATGTGATTCTGGGATACAAAGACTTCAACATTAGAGACTGTTCTGATGAAGACATACGAGTCTGGGAACAAAGTCATTTCCATCAACAAAAATAACAGCTGATTCAAGGAAAATTACCATCTTTATTTATCAACTGAAGTATCACTATTTACTAACTTGAAACCATACAGTCCATCATTCTGAACATCATCAATTTAACATATCACCATGCAAGAAGTTTAAGATTATTATCAGTCAGGAAGCTACATAGAACCACCTTCAACCTAACGATCAAGAGTAAACCTGAACAATCATTAAAAATTGATATTTTATCATTCTTCACCTGTAAGATTGTCTTATTTCAACCAAAATCAGAAATCACCAACCTGTACTGTACAGTGAATGAACAGAAACATATCAGCCACTGAATTATTCAAACCTGAAAATCACTATTAAGGAACAAGAAATTATTTTCTCCAGATACCTCAAAATCGACCATTGAAACATTTCAACAGCATCAAATTCTAAGCGACACTTCAAAAGCATCTTTACAATATCAAGATCGTCGAATACCAAACGTATCATAAAATAAAGAATGCGAGAATAATGAAGCATTCCTACAGTTTAAGCGAAGACAACAGACAACCAAAATGTCAGTATTTCTAGTGTTCACACAAGTATTTATTGTGAAAGTTAAATCAAGTTAATTATCTAAAGTGCTTGTGTAAATAAATATTAAATTAATGAAGTATTTTTAAAAAGTGCATAAACACCTGATTTCATTTATAAAAAGCAGACACATACTGTGTGTATTGAACACCTTCCGTTTAATTCTATTATTAATTATTTTATAGGTGGCATATCAGTGTATACAGTCACTGAACACTGATAATAGCATTGTGTTAACTCATTAAATTAAAGTATATTTTTAGTCAGTATATCTCTAAGATTATCAGTTCAAGCATACTAAGATGGACCCCAGAACAGAGCAGACTGTCGAGCAAACCAAGGAATGAGAACCTTGAAAGCAAGCGCCAGAGTACAAGCAAGACACACACAGCCTGCAGGGATGGATCAAGATCAAGAATAGTTAAATGGAATGAATGGGAATGAAAGAGAATAAAACAGGTATGAAAGATGAATGAAAGATTTGTGGGTAGTATTTTAATAGTGTACATGAAGTTTACTTAGGTTAGTAGTTCATTAGGATTATATTAGGATTCATGTAATGACAGTTAGTAGTTCAAAAGTTTAAAAAAAAAAAAAAAAAAATTCTCTCCACAGGAACAGCACAGAAGAATTAGATCAAGATTTAGCGATAGATCATATAGAAATCTTTTTCCACAGAATGACTTTGATAAAAAATATTCAATTTTAAATGTTTAGCACAGGGACATGGTAAATGGGTCCACGACACCCAAGATTATAAACGGCTATAGTTATACTGATGCTGAATAGACATACTGATGGTAAAGAAAGAGTGCACACATCAAAGCACAAGCACAGTAGAGGAGTTGAACTCATCTGTGTCCATCTAAAGGGGGAAAGGTGTCTGGGATTCCTTGGAGTTGAATACTCTGTTAAAGGTGTTATAGACTTGGAGGAAACTCTAAGATCTATGAAAAAATATATCTCAATTATCATTGTTTTCATATTGGATTCCTTGGAGTTGGGTAATTACTCTGTGAAAGGTGAGACCTTGGTCTGAAAAAAATATCTCAACATGCATTTTTTTTTTCTGTGGTAGATTCCTTGGGGTTGGGTAATTACCCTGTAAAAGGTGTTATAGAGGCTTTTGGGAAACTAGAAGCACTATGTTAAATATATCTTACCACTATCATATCAGCTAAGAGTCCTTGGGGTTAAAGACCCTGTGAAAGGTGATGTAGAAATATTGGTTCAATCCAATTTTCTATGTGGTAAATATCTCAAAGCTGACATGATCATCATCACTATCATCATTTCACTTTAAACCCGATAGAGTAGATACAGTGACTAGACAACACTACAGATGCAATAGGTGTAAAGATGGTTTAAACTCTTCACCAGCTCAGTACTAGGAAAAGCATGCAGTAAATATTGAAGGCAGTTTTAAAGGGCAGTAATTGAGGATAATCAGGAACCATAATCCATAGTGGGAATACAATTAAATTGATTACTATATCTGGTTAAATGAAAATGACACTTGATGTTCCATAGTGTCATTTTGTTAAAAAGGGGGGAGAGTGTGATGACCATGCTTTGCATGGTCTCCACGAGTACATTGTGGCAAGCAGGAAGTCCGTGCTACAAGTGACGGCACGAGATACTTGTGGCCGGTGGAGTAAGCGAGGCGAAGCCCGAGCTAGCCTCGTGGTCAGTCGATCATGAGAAGTCAGAGTAGACGGTTGTAGTAATTGAAGATGTAGTTTTTATGTTGTGAATGGTTAGTGTTCGAATATGTCGCGAGTGAAATAAATGTGAAATAAATGGACGAGAATAAACTGACAGAATGTACCAAGAAGCTGAGCGGCATTTGTGTTGTCAACCATAGACGTTAAAGTTGGTGTAAACCAAGGTTCATTCCAAGTAGACCACGATTCATTCCAAGTTGAATCAGAATCATTTCAAGATAGTTGAAAGTGTAACTCCAAGTCTACGTCTTGGTTCATTTCAATTTTGGACAAATGTGGCTTAAAAATGAAAAAAAAACAGAGATCATGATCCGGAGATGCATACCTGTTCATACAGCTGGATCATACTGCCGGCCAGGGCGTGGACTTTGGAAGAGCTGCCCCAGATTGTGTGTGTGGCCAGATGCCTGTGCAGGATGGGCTTCAGGTAGGCAGAATAGATCACCTGCAGCTGCTCACGGTCTGGGTAGCTGAAGAATAATAAATGCACATAAGACAGGTGAGAAGACCAGAGAGGGAGTCTCTCTTGGCAAAGCAGTCAAGATGCTTGCCTTGTGCTTTGAAGGTTATGTGTTCGATTTTTTTTTCGTTTTTTTTTCCAAACCAGTTTGTTTCACTAGTGTCATTTTTACATAGATCCATGTGGATGGTTGCCACAGTTACAGTGTTTGTGCTTTGTGTGACACTCTCGACAGACAGCTAGCCATTCTGCGGAGGGAGATCAAACCATACAGGATAACGCCTGGTGCAATGAAGTCAATCCTCTCAATTCTGACTTTTTTTTAAAAAACTAGTATTATTTTGTAAAAGAAATATTGTAAAAGGTATAAATTATTGTAAAAAATGTACATTATAACCATAAATCACCAAATTTTTTCAAGTTCTAAGGATTAATATTATTTTTTCAACCTCCTAAAAAGAACACACCCAGCACAGTGATGTTACAAACTGGCACAAACCATACACAGTGATGTTACAAACTGGCACAAACCATACACAATCTTACCCAACATTGCAGATGCGAACCACAGAGGTAAACCGAGTCGTCAGCTTGTGTCTGCCCAGTGTTGAGCCAGCGGTCATGCTGGCTACTATCTGGACCCCTTCCAGACCCACCCACTCCAGGTTGGAGTCGTAGAACCCATTGTAGGTCACAACCTAAAATCACCAGGTCAAATATTACAGGCAGGTTAACAACACATCAATGTCACACATGACTAAGGAATTTGTTAAGAGACACTACTTCTTCTTGGCCAAATGAAAGAAGGGCCTGCGTGCCCAATTTGTAACCCTTTGAAAATAAAGTTTGTTTGTTCATTCGTTCGCCTTCACTGAATATAAATTGCCATGGAAAGTTCTGGTTGTTCATCTACTTCTGGACTTTGATCTTGTTGATGGACTTGAGTTTATTGTGCATATCTGTTTTACAGATCTGACATATTTGTGTGCTGACTGTTGCTTCCTTGCACTCTCACTTCAAAGGAAATGGTGATCTTATCTCTGTTGGGAACCTGTTTCTAGCATGACCATGGAGAGATACAGATAAGTCTTGACTAGTATGAGCCCTGAACCCCGCTGCAATACCACATGCGGTTCAGCCCCTCTGCATCCTGCTAAGACATGCACACAATCAACCCCAGGTCGACCTTGTCTAAAATCAAGGGACACATGACCCACTCAGTGGCAAGGGACACATGACCCACTCAGCGGCAAGGGACACATCACCCACTCAGTGTCAAGGGACACATCACCCACTCAGTGTCAAGGGACACATCACCCACTCAGTGGCAAGGGACACATCACCCACTCAGTGTCAAGGGACACATCACCCACTCAGTGTTGAGAGATCTATAAACAAAATTACAGGTCTGACATCATATGCCCTGTTGTGCCTCTGGCGTAAAAAGGGTCCATTACTTTTACAAAATCAACATATCGATCGGAACGTCTTTCAATTAATATTTAACGGAGAATAAAACAAGGTATTTCACAACCATATTGAGTGCATTTATTTATATATATTACAAATCTGCCAATGTTCCCCCTTCTGTGTGGAATATCTTCTAGAACCTCTATTCACCCCCCCCCCCTTTTCCCCCTCCCCATTGAAAAAGTCCTTCATTGTATGGATTTTCTGTTGTTTTCTATTGCATTGTCTGTTTGATCCCAGAAAGCTCAATGATGATCAGAATCTGACTTGAAAGAAGTTAACTCAAAACATTAGGGACCTCCCCTTCCCGTATGACCGACCTGATGCAAGAAGGCAATCATTTGTCATCTACTCCACCCCCCCCCCCCTTTTCCCCATATGACTCACCTGTTGCAAGAATGCGATCATCTGACAGGTACCCCACTTGTCAGGCCTGGGCAGGTTGATGTCCTTAAGGTAAAGGATGAGACGCTCGCAGTCCTTGGGTCTGTACATACGTCCAGTGTTGGTGGAGATGACCATACACATCTGGCTCAGCTTCTGAAGGATGTGGGCAGGACTGGTCTGTGCACTGCAGTGAACCATCGCCAACTGAGTAGATCTTAGTCGCTCAAAGCTGTGGCGCAGGAGAAGTCTGTTGATGTTCAGCAGTAGGGTAAATCATTAGTCATGTATATATCCAACTTAGCTTTTTGAGTGCCAAGGAATGCATTTCACTTTCATAAGTTCCTAGCTCGAAGCCATGTGAGCGCACCATAAGCAGATTTTGTCTTTCTTTACTACCCCTTGGGCATGTGATGCTAAACCCTCTGGGACTCAAAGAGTTAATGATAAGTCCAAAGTATAACCAATAATATTTTTTTTTAAATCCACTAAAAAAATTAACATCTAGTGTTAAGATAATAAAAAATTCTAAGCATCAAAGTTACAGATAAACTTATTACTCAGTTTTCATGGGAAATGTAATGTTAATAAAAATCATGCAAACATTTCTAGAAAACAAAATTTAACACAAAAATTAAATGTACATTATTTTCTAAGTAGAAATCAAAATAAAACAATATTCATCATCATCATCTTCTTCTTCTCCTTCAGATATCTTGTTTGGATTGGACATTGGTGAGCATGACTCTTCATCAGGGCTTTTCTAATAGAAAAAAGGTGCCGGTATTCACCACAGAGTAACTAATAAAAAATGCTGGTATGTACCACTGAGATTCCATTACAGTAGTGTTGAAAAAGACTTTTTTTTTTTAAAATACACCTAAAAAGAGTTTCAGTACTTTGTACCGTTGCATACCAACAAAAACAAAAAAAACTATACCTAAAAAGAGTAACAGTACTTTGTACCGTTGCATACCAACAAAAACAAAAAAAACTATACCTAAAAAGAGTAACAGTACTTTGTACCGTTGCATACCAACAGAAACAAAAAAACCTGCTCTAAACTCTGTATTTATCTCCAGGTGATAATGTTAGCAGTTTTTATATTAATATCTGTGATTGCCTGTTTAAGGGGAGTCGCCGTGGTGCAGTGGCTAGACCCTTGGCTACAGATCGGAAGGTCATGGATTCGAGTCCTAATGGAGCTGGACTGGTTTTTTAAAAAATGACTTTGATTCCCAGGTCGACCTTGCCTGGTCCAGTTCTGGGAAGTAAATGAGGCTGGCGTGATGCTGACCACATTACCCAATTGGTCTATAAAATACAGGTCTAGCCCTATGTGCCCAATATGCCTAAAAACATGGAAAAGGGGTCCTTTTATTTTTTTTTAAATTTTTTTTTTTGCTGACCTGCTTAAGATTTCTAATAAAATTTTGCTCTGTATCAATGCTTCTCTTGCAGAATATTTTGCCATATTCGCCTAACTTCTCTATTTCAGATGTTCATGGTAAACTAAGAGGTAAACAACCTATAATAATGACAGTTTTGGAGTGTACAAGTAACGATGACACTATCATCACCTGTCAAGAAATTCAAGGAGGCCCCACATGAAAACCTTAAAAGTCACTGTCCCTCAGTCACTTGCTGGACTAACAGGCAAGCATCACCAGACTGAACCCTCATTCACTTGCTGGACTGACAGGCAAGCATCACTAGGCTGAACCCTCATTCACTTGCTGGACTGACAGGCAAGCATCACCAGACTGAACCCTCATTCACTGATAAATTTCTATAGGTTTCACTCCTTCAGTGATCAAAAACTGGATAAGAGTGCTGGTCTTATCTGGTGATGTCAAAAGTGGGGTAGCCTTCTTTAAAATGTCATTATAACATCACTGTGTTCATCTGCACTGTGATGTCACCTGCTTAACATACTTGACGTCCTTAACAATAATACTCAAAGGTTACGTGACAATGGCATCGTTAGGGGTACTGTAATTACTTTCACACTTTTTAGGTTTAATTTGAAGCCCCTAATTTTGTTTTTTAATACCCTTTGCCACATCCTTCAGGCCCACAGATGATAAAAGGTTGTCTGTGATCACTGTTCAACCATGGCAGGAAGTAATCTAGAGCTCTCTGAACATCTCCCGTAGGGACGACTGGTAGAGACATGGACGACAGGAAGCTCTCTGCGTTCAGCTCTGTGCCTGGCTGTGAACATACAAAAACATTATAATAAAGAGGCAATGAAATAAACAACATTAAAAACAAGGGGCAATAAAACAAAAAAAGTTATTAAAAACAAGAGACGGTAAAACCAGACTAAAGACATTAAAATTAAATACATTTTTAATAAATTACATGGAATAGAAATCTTTGTTCTAAGATTAGACTTCACAGCTGGATTAAGATTAGATCAGTCAGATTGGACAACATTGCTTTGACATGCTTCTTGGGGCCGGGGGAGGGAGGGGGGGGGGCCCCAGAACCCACACTGAGAGCAGGTAGATGAAAAACTCTAACACTTTTATAAACAGTTAGTGACTCAAAGAGTTGCAAGTATCTTACCTCAGTGTTGTACTGCATCAGTCTGCCAAGTGTAGAATCAAAGTAGGTGTCCAGTGGGCGTCGCTGGTCAGGTGGCATCTCATTCGTCCAAGAGAAAACCTAAAATATCATAGCAACTTTGTTAACAATTTTTAAAACTATAAAGCAATTTTTAAAAAAATGTTGAGTGAATGATGCTCTTTACACCTTTGGCACATCTGACAAATAATGATTGACCAACATTTTTACAGACCACCTGGCAATGAATGAATGATGTGATTAACACAGGGCTGCTGCCTCTACTTTCCAGGCCATTACCTGTAGCCCATTTTAGGCAGGGTCTAACCTGGAGCCTTGATAAGCATTTGAATGCTAGATTAGTGAGGATTATCATCATCACAGCACTTTGGCCAGATCCATAAGTGCTCCAATCTCCTTTTCAGAAGCTCCACAAGTGTAAAACAACTGGTGACGCCTGTTCAGTGTTGACTGATCAAATATGCTGTCCCTTGTTGAAATGTATTTCTTACAGCTGCAGGTTGTACCCCATGTCCATGAGTCTAGACAGGGATATGGAGTCATGCCCTTTGCCACATATGTTTTTGCAATAAGTGTTGTGACCCTTGACCTTTTGACCAGCAGGCTAGTGTAAAGCTACTACACTACCGCTGCTCGTATTAAGAATCATAAGTCATATCACCAGGTAGCCAGTCTTTTGCACAATGTGTACAGCCATGTCGTGCAGAAAATACAAGTTCTCGACCAAACAAGGTCAAAACACACTGAGGGAAACAATGCACCGTTTCTATGGATACAATTACTTTTAAGCTAATCGCTGACAAAAACAATAAATCAGGTGCTGTCCCCTTTAAAGAATGTTGGCTACAACAGATCTCTAACACTCTTATCTTTCATCATGGCTGTACACTCCTCAGACTGCTGTTCATCCATATCTGATGTCATCATCCTACACGTATAAATGTCAGCCGTCTGCTCCCTTGCTTTGACCTTTCCCCTCCAGCGTAATCTTTAAAAATGAGTGTTACGTCCTAATATGGCCAGGCGTCATTTTTTTTTTTAAATTTCCTTCAGCAACTCTCTTTACACCTCTATATTTGATTGCTTTTGTTTTCATGAAATATGACCTATGTTTCTGCATATCCACATTTCTAGATCCTCACTAAAATTTTCTTACCACTGAAACAAAAATAAAACAAAAAAAACACCCCTTCCATTCCCAAAAAACAAACTAACAAATATTGCCTGTATTTACCACTGATGTGGGGTAGGCAGGGTGGTGTTTGAGTCTGAGAATTTTGGGCCGCATAACTTGTATTGTCGCCACAGACTGTGCAGGTTAGAATTTTATTTTTGCCCCCGAAAAAAAAAATCAATGACATTACCAGGGGTTTGAACCTGGGCCTCCTGTATGAGATCCAAGGGTTCCTAACCTTTCAGCCAGCTGCTATTTTCTAACTGCTTGTTTCACAATATATCCACAATATGTTTGCAGAATATCTGTGTGTAATAACGAGTTTATAAATAGTGCAAGTTTTAAGGCAAGATCTTACCTCCTTGGCAAACACCTCCCTAGATCCTTCACTGAGGTTTCCACCCAAACCACGGATTAAACTGACAGCGAAATGGGCCTTGTTGCTGATGTGGTGCAGATGGGAGAGACCATTGAGCACAGTACCCACAAGACTTGTCTCCACAACCCAGTCATTCTATCATCAAATCATAACAGGCGTGGTAATAATGTTGAACAAATGTCAGTATATCAATAATACTTTGCTAAGTGTAGCAAACATGCCCCCTTAAAAGATCATTGTATTTTCAGCATATCTTAAATTTTCCCTAGATATATTACAATGTCTATGATTTATTATTTTGTAGATATGTAAGGATTACTCAAGCACATTCCAGAATTTGTTTTATATATAAACACACACATATGCATACATGGAGAGCCGCCGTAGTGCAGCAGCTAGAAGTTCGCCTGCGGATTTAAAAAAAAAAAAATAATTTTGGCTGCCAGGTCAATGATGATGAGGAGGAAGAAGATGATTATGACAAGGAGGAAGATTATGATGAGGAAAAAGGTGATGATGATAAAGATCATGATAATGATGATGAGAAAGAAGATGATTATGATGAGGACAAGGAAGATGCTGGTGCTGTTATGATTACAATGATGGTAATGCTATTGATGAAGAAATGATGATGATACTACTGAGGACAATAATGATATTGAAGCCACTAGTGATGATGGTAGTGGTGGCAGAAGTAGTTTAACTGATCAATTTCCTGATGTAGTAGTTAACCAAACAGTAAGACACACCTGTTTTAGCACCCACTGCAGTCCGCGATAGAAGTAATCCTCCACCCAGCCGGACAACAAGTGCTGCTCACTCTCAGGTTGAGACTTCAGCCAGGAAGAGACCAGAGCCTTGACGTCAACATCTTCATCGCTGACAAAACAACCACACACATGTCACATATTTGATATACAATTACACAGGTTAAAACCATGAAAAACAATGTCCTCAATCATTTGAACAGAACAGATCATGCTGTTACATCCACATCGTTGTTCATAAACATGCAAGGTGAGGGGGGAGGGGGGGAGTAAAGGGACCGGAGAGGAGTCGTAATCAGTTCTTCTGACTGTTGGGGCATGAAATGATCAATCAATGCAACTGATCAATGAATGACGAGCAGTTTTTTCAGACTGTGATGATGTAGAAAAAAAAAAAAATTATACAAATACTTGTGAACACTCAAAGCCATTTTTCTGTGGCAAAATTTTTTCCCAACCAAACATACTCACCTCAAGAAAATCATGCCCATACGAGAGATGGTGGCCGGGGAAGCCGAGCTCAGATCGTGGGTCTCAAATATAAAATTCACATTTGAACCAAACTGGATTCTCTCCCCGGATGGCATGGTCAGCAGACGGTTGTCATCAAGGACAGAGTTCAAGGACTCAATCCATTCTGGGTCAATGTCACCATCACACACTATCCAAGATTGTACCTCTAAAAATGAAATCATTTTAGTTATATATGATCACATTTCTTAATCTTGTTTTCTTAATATTTCTGTTGTGCCACTAGGCATAAGTTAAATGGTTGATGACCGAGCCGGGGCATGATCAGTAGCTTGGTATGCAATACGGTGAAGACTCAGGCTGTCAGAGGCCAGTTCGGCTATGGGAAGCACAACAGATGTCTTATAGTGAATCATCACGTTTGTACTAGTTGACCTTCAGTACAACTCAGTATGTGAACGAACAGCTCGTTCACGCAATAAGCCGTGCCCAGTTTAGAGGCCATGTCGAGTTCACTCAGCCTGACACAGAGTGCTGCGGATTTAGCCATGAACTCGGCGGAAATACAAAAGGCTTGGTCGAAGCGGGTTTGGGGAGAGTTGTGTGCGGACAGTTGTGGACGACGGTTGTGTGCTGGTCGAGAGAGAGAGAGAGACAGGACAAACGTTTACGACGAGGTAACGTTAGGTTAGTGACGGTTAGGTACAAATAGGATATTCGTATTTAGTGTCTATGATAGGCTGTATTTGTATTTAATGTTGTCGGCTAGATAGTATAGAGAGTTAAGGTTTCTTTGTGTAGTAGGCATTCCATGCAGTATTTGTTGGAGCAGTTAATCAAGGTGATGCAACCTGTAATGGCGATAACACTGCCAGGGCACGCTTAGGCCATACACCTTCCGTGTATCGCTGAAGTCCCGTTTGGCAATAGACGGCGGATTGATTGGCACTGAGACACTGCTAGCTAAGAGTCGTGCTCCCCTAGATCCATGGGAGCTGGCCTGGGGTGATTAGTGAGTGTAAAGCTGTCATCGCCAAGGCAGTTTCGGATGGGAGCTGCTTAGCCCAGCTGAAGTGTTTTCCGTTTCGTTCTTCATTGTACATTAAAGATTATGTGTGTACTCAGCAGGAGTGTTGTCTTAAGTGTGTCTGGGTAGTTGAGTCTGTCAGCTGGCCTACCTAGCGAGCCATATAAAATAAGCAGAGTAGATTAGGTCCCTGACAGATAATGGGGTCATTTCGTCCTTAGGATTTGTATCTGGGATAGCGACAGATTATAGATACCGACAATTTATCTACATTATTAGCAGGACCTGCTACTGACATTCGAGCTCATAGAGGCAACCCACCTGATGATCTGATCTAAACAAACAAAACTGAACACAAAGAAGAAGAAAACCTATCAATAATATAGACTGGCACATAATGATGATAATTTACCTAAAGGCTCCCTGACCACTTGTCTTGCGCTGTAGGTGAGTACTCCGTCTGTCCACTCTCTTGTGTCCATGTCAATATGGCCAAGGAGCTGGGAACAAAAATGTATTCTATACTTTACAGATCTAGACATGCCTTAATTGATGGTCTACATTCTATTCATAATTGAATGCAGGAAAGAGGAAGCAAAAGAAGGATAAAGAGACATAATGAGACATAATGAGACATAATGAGACATAATGAGACAGCATCAAAGTTTGGAACAATTTTTTCCTATAGTGAATTTTAATAATGCTAACATTGTATACCGCATTCTGAGGTGAACCATTTGCATAAGGATATACATAATTTATTGCCTGGCATATTTTGCTGTGTCCCGTCAGGTGCATTACAACAGAGTTTTTCAAAAGAAAAATTAGTTATGTGTCCTTCAAGGGATGTTGCAGAATCAACCCCAGCAATTTTTGCCTGATTTTATTAGGTATATTACATTCAGTAGTTTGCCAGTGCTTTCTGAAAGGTTGACTCATGATACCACTGTTGAAATCACAACAGGTGGTCTGCTGCCAAATCGCTCACTGCTGGGATCAAACCTAGCATCCTGGAATTACAAAGTTTGTTTGTAACTCCTAAGCCACAGACACAACAGAGTAAAATTAACATATAATGAAGCAGCACAAAAAATGAATCATTTCCACTCAAATACACAAATCACATTCTCTTATTTAGATTAACTGTATATCTGATAACAGGAAGTTCAAGATGACCGCATGTTCCACACTGAGTGACAAGCTTCCAACTGTGTGACAAGCTTCCAACTGTGTGACAAGCTTCCAACTGTGTGACAAGCTTCCAACTGTGTGACAAGCTTCCAACTGTGTGACAAGCTTCCAACTGAGTGACAAGCTTCCAACTGTGTGACAAGCTTCCAACTGAGTGACAAGCTTCCAACTGAGTGACAAGCTTCCAACTGAGTGACAAGCTTCCAACTGTGTGACAAGCTTCCAACTGAGTGACAAGCTTCCAACAGAGTGACAAGCTTCCAACTGAGTGACAAGCTTCCAACTGTGTGACACTTTCAGTGGGCATCAAAACAACATGAGGAAAACTAGTGAAAGATACAAGACATCAACAGTCTGTGATAGCAGCAACATTTGTTAGCTGATAAAATTCCTCCACATTTTAACCACTTCTGTTGACACCTGCGTGTTGCCCATCCAGCATGATCCCTCCTAAGCCTGCCCTTCTTTCACTCCAAAGGAAACTTCACACAAGTATGATTGGAATAAAGCATGCTACAGAAGCTGTCAGAAACCAGTGCTTTGCCCACCTCTCTGAGTTTCCCTCCTAGACCAGTAGCAAACCAAATAATGTAGATTGCCTTTTTGTGAGGTAGGTAATCAGTGTACAATTCTAAGCCTCATTGACACAGATGACACCTCTTTGGTCTCTCTCAGTTAATGTCTTTGTTTAGTTCTAAAGATTCAGCTTATTAAGCTTAGAGTAGTATCCCCATAATATATCTTCTTCTTCTGTGTTTGCAACTAAAAGGGTGGTTGGTACATTGTGCTGTGGCTCACAGCTAGGCTGCAATATTTACGCCTTTCAACCCAACCCATCTGATTTCTGCACACTCATAATTTTTCTTCTTCTGCCTTTCTAGCCCCTAATGGAGCATAGACCCTCAACCAACTCCCGTCAAGTCGTAAACTCATTAGTAGTTGTTTTTTAAGTTAGGCAAGGGTGGGTTGATTTATTCTGCCCCTCCCCCCACCTTTCCCACCAAAATGTAGCCCTGGAATCCATACGGAAAAGTATATAACAAATTTATTCGATTGCATATTAACTACCAAGATAATGTTGATGCTATTTACCTGTGTCCTTGGCATTGCTTTGGGGTTCATCACATACTGCTTGACCTCTCTGCCGAGCTTGATCATTGCCAGACGCAGAATCTTCCAGAGGGTTGTCTTTCCAGACCCACTTGGTCCCACGATAACTACACCCATTCTTTGTCGAAGCTGCTCATACAGCTCTAGGGCTTTCTTCACCTGATGGGAAAATTGATAACTGCCATTATATCGTTCAATAAATCATTACAATGATGTCTTTATTAGAAAATGCTTCCTCATAAGTTGTCTGGGACTTAATATCTTTCAAAATATTTAGAAGAATCATTTTGGCTGCTCAATGAATTTTTAAGCATTTATCTTCTTTGTCCTTCTTTAAAGGGTGGTTTACAGCTAGGCTGCGATATTTGCACCTTCCGGTCTAACAAATCTGATTTCAGCCAAGCCCTAATAAGTTTACTCTTAAAACACTATTACTAAGCAGCAGTATAATAACATAGTAAACAGACAGACATCACTGATTGGGTCCCCAAAAAAGTCAGTGGCTCAAAGGCTGCGAATGTGCTTCATAATACCAGGGCGCCAAATTCAATATCAGCTGCGGACGATTTGTCTTGTGTTGGTTTTGACAGTGGTTCAGAAAGCTGACCGTTCGGAGGAGGAGGGGGGGGGGGGGGGGGGGGGGGGGGAGACAAAAACACTGAACTGATCTGTGATTTTGCTGATCGTGTGAGATGGTGAAACAAGAAAGCCTATGTTTACTGGCATGGCACATGATGATGATAACATTTTAGCTGTAGCACAAGAAAGACTTGGGCGGCGTGATGCTGTTCACATCATCCATCAAGTGCCCATTGTTCTATAAAATATAGGTCTAGCTCTAAATGCCCTATATGCCTGAAGGCGTGGACAAGGGACCTTTACTTACAAGGGCTATCGGATTTATTATGCAACACACAAACAAGACAACACAAACAGTAGCAACTAGCCTGTTTCTCGTTAACAATGAGGTTATGTTCGGCACACACTTCTCTGAATGCTGTCCCCAGGGTCTCGTATTCAATGTCCTTGAACTCAATCCCTGGAAAGACATCCTTGACCAAGGAATCAAACCTGAAGCCGTCCGAGAAGGTCAGTTTGGACAAGGTATTGATTCTCAGGGCCTGCACAACCAGTTTAGCCTCCAGAGCACTGTCCATCTTGTTGCCTAGTTTTGTTTTTAAAAGGAAGAGAAGCAAAAGATCTATAAGCATCACATATGTTAAGGTGCTATATGGAACCTGTAATGTTAAATAGCACACACATGTTAAAGTGCTATATGGAACCTGTAATGTTAAATAGCACACATATGTTAAAGTGCTATATGGAACCTGTAATGTTAAATATCACACATATGTTAAAGTGCTATATGGAACCTGTAATGTTAAATAGCACACATATGTTAAAGTGCTATATGGAACCTGTAATGTTAAATAGCACACATATGTTAAAGTGCTATATGGAACCTTTAATGTTAAATAGCACACATATGTTAAAGTGCTATATGGAACCTGTAATGTTAAATATCACACATATGTTAAAGTGCTATATGGAACCTGTAATGTTAAATAGCACACATATGTTAAAGTGCTATATGGAACCTGTAATGTTAAATAGCACACACATGTTAAAGTGCTATATGGAACCTGTAATGTTAAATAGCACACACATGTTAAAGTGCTATATGGAACCTGTAATGTTAAATAGCACACATATGTTAAAGTGCTATATGAAACCTGTAATGTTAAATAGCACACATATGTTAAAGTGCTATATGGAACCTGTAATGTTAAATAGCACACACATGTTAAGGTGCTATATGGAACCTGTAATGTTAAATAGCACACATATGTTAAAGTGCTATATGGAACCTGTAATGTTAAATAGCACACACATGTTAAAGTGCTATATGGAACCTGTAATGTTAAATAGCACACACATGTTAAAGTGCTATATGGAACCTGTAATGTTAAATAGCACACACATGTTAAAGTGCTATATGGAACCTGTAATGTTAAATAGCACACATATGTTAAAGTGCTATATGGAACCTGTAATGTTAAATAGCACACATATGTTAAAGTGCTATATGGAACCTTGAATGTTAAATAGCACACACATGTTAAAGTGCTATATGGAACCTGTAATGTTAAATAGCACACATATGTTAAAGTGCTTTATGGAACCTTTAATGTTAAATAGCACACATATGTTAAAGTGCTATATGGAACCTGTAATGTTAAATAGCACACATATGTTAAAGTGCTATATGGAACCTGTAATGTTAAATAGCATACATATGTTAAAGTGCTATATGGAACCTGTAATCTTAAATAGCACACATATGTTAAAGTGCTATATGGAACCTGTAATCTTAAATAGCACACACATGTTAAAGTGCTATATGGAACCTGTAATGTTAAATAGCACACACATGTTAAAGTGCTATATGGAACCTGTAATGTTAAATAGCACACACATGTTAAAGTGCTATATGGAACCTGTAATGTTAAATAGCACACATATGTTAAAGTGCTTTATGGAACCTTTAATGTTAAATATCAGACATATGTTATAATCATATATAGAACTTGCAATGTTAAACACATCACACACAAACACACACACACACACACACACACACATATATATATATATATATATATATATATATATATATATATATATATATATATATATATATATATATATATATATATATATATATATATATATATATATATATATATATAAATATATATATATATATATGTTATAGTGCTGTATAGAACCTGTAATATTAAATATCACACATATGTTAAAGTGCTATATAGAACCTGTAATATTAAATATCACACATATGTTAAAGTGCTATATAGAACCTGTAATGTTAAATATCACACATATGTTATAGTCCTATAAGAACCTGTAATGTTAAATGCATAGGGAGGTATGCGGTGGAGATATGGTTCTTTAGAAGAAAATAAAGAACATGCCGGAGCGAGAGAAACACAAATGAAGCAGTACTCTTCAAGAAAGATGAAGATGATAATTAGAAAAACTAGACACAGTCCGTGTTTGTCAGACATGTTCTGAGAAGGAACAGACTAGAAAACTTGGTAACAACTGACAAGATGAACTGAAATAGAGCAAGGCCTGTCTTCAAGGCACTTGACGATGATGATGTCTCCACAATAAAGGTTGGCTGTAATCCACTGTTGCCTTTAGTGATATTATCTGGTGGGTCTCCAACCTCTTCCATGGTGAGACTCTTCTACCACCATCTGAAAACCCTGAGAACTCTTTATTAAACTACTCGGCAATTAATCAAAGTCTGTTAGATCGAGGACCTGTGGAATCCATTTATCAACCTCAAACCAGAAGTTAGCCAGTCTGTAGCCTGTTCGTGGCAGAATCTTGCTCCCATAACAACCTTCTGGAAAATTTCTCGATCAGAAGCAATCTGGAGATCATCCGCCACATCTTGCACTGTTTTCTCTTTGGCCTTCCTCTTCCGCTTTTCCCAGGCATATGCCCCTCCATTATTGTTTTTTGTTTTCTTTCATGGCTGTTAGGTTTCTTAGCAAATTTTGCAGAAGTCAGTTTGCCATTGCTTTCCTTCTGGGCATGGACTATACTAGTCGGTGACCATAGCCACTGTTTCTACTGATGAGATTGTCTGCCTATCGCCGCATGGTGCATGACCATAACCAACAACAATCTATCGGCTGCTCTCGCACTCCATCCACCACATCCATCACAGAGTAGCACAAAGTATTGATTACAGCAAAACTATACAAGATTGTCCCCAGCACAGGAGACATACCTTGTCCAGTCCGTCGTGCATTCTGCAGCAAGTGACCACAACCACTGACTACCGTCTTCAGAGCTCTGAGTCCCCAGTCGTAGTGCTGCTGTGTGGTCAGCAGCTCCCTAAAACAATAATAATAAATTTTTTTAAGTTCACATTAGAAAGGGTCTTCATTGCATTTAAATAACAGTTAATCAGGTAATCACAGTTCTGGCTTTATAGTCAATAAGTCATCCCATCGTTGTCTGTTCCTGTGCCAACGAAAAGCACACAGAATGCCCATCACTGTTCCTTGTGAAAAGATTGATACCAACTACAGTCTTAGCAAATCCAACTCATGCATACACATGTAATGCATAAGGTAGCAGTCAAAAATACTAACATAAACATTGTTGATGGAAACATCTGTTACAACAGATCAGTAGTTGCACATGCCTTTAAACGCATAAGGCACCTTCAGCTTTCTGGCAACAGGTTTATCGCCATTTTCTGAATTTGCAGTTTACAACACAGACAACAATAGGCACAGTCAAAAAGTATTCCATACACTCAAATTAGTAGCTGGGCAACAGAACTATATCCTTTCAGTCTATATAGGGAGGAAAATATAACAGCTTACTAGTGTCAAAAGCAAAAACTTGCCATGACTAAAAAAAAACAAAAAAACAAGCCCATCCACCATACTGACCAGAAGTCAAATAAAAGGATAACAACATAAACAGACTGCACAATTTACTGCCTGGCATATTTCTCTGACAGTTAACTCTAGGAGCCAGGAAAGCCCAGTTAGTAAATATTATGATGTTCTTTAACCCTGTGACTCCAAGATGCCACTATTCCAGCATCGCGGTCCACTAAAAATCCCAGAAGAAGCCACAAATTTGACATTGCTGCACTGGTCAGTCTGTCAACCTCAGACCAGCCTAGTTAACAGCACTTTTTTCTTTGCGCCTGTGCAATGTTTAGGAGATGTAGTTGTGAGTATATCAAAAAAAATAATATTCGGTGGATTTTATTTTGAAAATAATTACCTTTTCAAGCAATGATGGTGTCATAATTCTCATTTAGCCTTTAGTAGTCGCATAGCAATGAGGTCACACAGCGAATGTGTCGCACAGCAATGAGGTCACACAGCGAATGTGTCGATCAGCAATGAGGTCACACAGCGAATGTGTCGCACAGCAATGAGGTCACATAGCGACAGGGTCATGAAGCTATTGCATGAATCACCTTAAAAATTATGTTTTTAGGCCCTAGGAAATGTGTTATTAATTCATTACTCTGTTCAGATTTATTGGTTAGTCATCTCAGGGACGAACGGATTAACTAGTAGGTGCATGTTTATTGCTTACTCATCTCAGGGGCGAACGGGTTAATTAGTAAGGCACTTCTAGAAGCTAGTAAGGTCCAAGTGTAGTCATAAAACAGACTACAGTCTCCACACAAATTAGCAAAAAAATGAAACACATTTAAAAAATACAAAATGGACAAATAAACCAGATTAAAACACTGATTAGATGTTTGAGAATGGCTGTGAATAAAACCAGAAGAGATTGAGTGAGAAACGACGTGATCACAAGAACTGTTGGAACAATACCCATCGTCAAATTTATTGAGAAACAAAGAATGAGATGGTTTGGACATCTAATGAGAATGAAACCAACGATGCCAGCAGCAAGAGCGTACAACCTGAAAATCGAAACACCAAGAGGCGGGAAAGACCGAGAAGAAGATGGACTGAAGGAGTCACTGACATCTTAAGACTGCATAACATCACGGCATATCAAGCTGTTTGCCAGCGATCGTCTGATAAACTGTGACGCCTATTGACAAAAGAAGAAAAAGAAAACACTGAGAGCAAAAAAATTAATTAATTAATCATGTGAATAATTTCCACCTTGAACTTACTTTGACAGGTTGAAAATGCTGACAAGTTTGCGGCCCAAATTTTTCGCCTGTTTGAAGCCTTCTGAGAAAAGGATGACCTCAGCAATGAGGTCATTGTCCGGCTTAGACATGGCAACAGGCCTGAAGAGCTGCTTTAGGTTGTCTGGGAGTTTCTGACGACCTCCGTAACCTTTACCAGCAGGGTTCATGGTGATGAAAATCCCCGAGTTATGGTCAATGTTCACCTGAATATTGGACATGCCAGGTTTTTGCGTAAGGAAATTTCATGTTTAAAAAAAAAAGAAAATTAAGATATGTAAATAAGTGCAGATTAACTGTTCTAGCCTACTACAGGTTTTGGTTTCAAACACCATCATCATCACCAAGTGCCAACTTCGGGGTGTAGAGTGAACAGTGGATGTCCATACAATTTTACTGTACATTCTGCCAGGTTCTTCTTCTTCTTCACATTCTTCTTTGTCTGCCCTCTATCCCTCAGTGAAGCCTAGGCTCTCAATCAACACCCACCAAGTGGCCATATCTTTTGGTACTTTCATGCAGCTCACACCATGCCCTCCCTCTCTTTTTTATTTTTATTCTCTAGCCTCCTTCTCCATGTATTTTTCCCTTTTTTCTATGTCTATGTGGGTTCCAATGCAAAGACATTCTAGTCATAATATGCTCAGATGTTCTTAAAGTGTGTTTTATCCAATGCCAGCACCTTTTCTGCACCTCTTGATTCGCTGGAATGTGTTTAGTTCTCTGCCAAGGGCAAGGTTCTACCCTAACGATATCCTAGTGTTTCTGTTCTTTCCTAACTGTGATGTCTTTTTGTCTTAAACTTTTTCTTCATTAAAGTTCTGAATGGGCAGTTGTATCATGTGACCAGACCCTTTACCATATTCATTTTTATTTTCTTCCAATACTGTGTTTATACTGAGATTAACTAGAGCTCCCTAATTTTCTTTATCCCACACTTGTGAAGACTCACATCCTAAAGGTCTCTGCTGCATCTTCTGAGTAAAGGTCCGTGTTTCTACTTTCTACAGTGGCAGGAAATTAACTATAACTATTAACCAGGACTATAAAAGTAAAGGACCATTTTCCAAGCCTTTAGGCATATTGGGCATATAGGGCTAGACCTATATTTTATAGATCAATCCGAACTTGATGGATGATGAGGATTGCACCACGCCGGTTAACTTTACTTCCCAGGACTGCTCCTGGTATCAACTCAAGGCTGAGTCAACCTGGCAGGCAAAGTCAGTTTTGAAAAAAGCCTGGTTCTGTCAGTGTCAGGACTCAAACTTATGATCTTCCAATCCAAATGGGAGCATCTAGTTGCTACACTGTGGCAACTTACCGACTAGAAGGGAAATTATTTCGGAAAAAAAAGGAAAATTATGTTTGTATTATTTTGAGCTGCTTTTAGTCCATGCTGTGTGGCATAGGTAATTAGGCAAAACTGTCCAACATGTTCTCTTTTGATCTACCTTTACCTCTCTTTCCTGCAGCGAAGACATATTCCAGTTTTCTTGTCTCACAAAATGTCCAAAGAAAATAGACTATCTTCTTCTGATAAGGGTAATATTCTCTTTGTGAGTTTTTTTTAAACCACATGATGCAGGTAATTAGTAGTGATTTAAGCAGATTATGAAACATACATCGGTAGGTGACCATTCTTCCCCATGGACCATAGAGATGTGCTGTTGGTTTTGGGACAGCGTCTGCTATGACTGTAAAGTCCAATGTGGGAGTGGCAGTCTCTGCCACATAAACCCCCCCCCCCTCCCCAAATGTGGATACTCCAACATTCTGAGGTTGGTTTTCTCTCAGAGGATGCCTCTCTATAGCTTGCTGTAGACTGTGATAAGAATGAATATGATAGTTACATGTTTTTCCAGGAGCTCCACAGAATGAGTTCTATTCTTGATGGCATCTTGGATCAGCTGGATCTGCATGGACACCGCAGACAGGACAGCTTCCTCCAGACGGTTGAACTCATCGAAACAGCCCCAGGCTCCACACTTGACCAGACCGATGAAGATTCTCCCCATAGACTTCACATCTATGCCCTAGGTGACAGACAAACAAACACATACAGTGACACACAGTATACAGACAGTATTCAGTCAAGGAAACAAAATCAAACATACATCATAATCTTCAAGTCCCTTCGCAATCTCCCAATGCCTCTCCACAATCTGTGATCTTCAACAACACGTACTAGTTGCCACCACTCTATGCCATGACAAAATGCTGTCAAGAATAGTCTCTTATTTTTTTCCTTTGCCTCTTTTCCCCCAGATCTTTTCCAGTCGTCACAACATGTGCCAGTTTTCTTCTTATCATAACCTGACCAAAAACGATGACATGACTGTTTCTTTCTGACATTCATGATAAGTTGTCTTCGAGCCCTCGCCTTTTTCAAAACATTATGGTTGCTTTTTATGGCTGTCCAAGGAGATCTATGAAATCTTCTGTAAAACATTATCTGTGATTCCTCATTCTAATAATGATTGAATTCTGATTCAAATGTTCTTTCAGGGTCATGATACAAAGAGTCTAAAATCCTTGTTATTGGTCCTTCCCTGTCTTCCTCTCCCTACCAATATCCTTTCCTGGTGAGGTGCTCCAGTTATTCCCTTCTCATGACAGACCAAACTCTTTTGCTGAAGCATGTGTTGACATGTAACAAAAATGTAAGTTATAAGTTAATCGGAAACTATGAGCTCCAGATTACTATTACCAATCATGACACAAGCTGTCAAATGGGTCGGATCTGTGTGCTAGGATGTCAGTGCGGACAACAAGTAACAAGTATGGCACACACTGTAAGTAAAGTCCCCCGTGTGGGTTCCGGGGCCCCATTGTGGGGAAAACAAGAATAGACCTACTGCCTCCCCAAAAGCATGTCGTAAGAGTCGACTAATTGGGGAGCTTCCTTTGAAGTCGGAGTGCATCTGCCGGAGAGGCAAGGAACCAACAGTGTGTATTCAAGAGAATGAGATCTGTAGAACTGATGCACACGCAACACTCAGCTTCTGGAGCAGGACTGCAGTTCAGTAGTGAACGAGCAACCAGAACCTTCCGCCAGAGTTTACAGCTGGTGAACGCGAAGAAGAAGAAGATTGTAAGTAAAGTGAGCAAAGGACCCTTTTCTACACCTTCAGGCATTCTGGGCATATAGGGCTAGACCTATATTTTATAGACCAGGGTGGCACTTTGTGGGTGATGTGGTCAACAGCACACCGGTCACCTTTACATCCCAGGACTGTACCTGTCTCTTCTTGAACTTCTCCTCCTCCACGCAGCATGGACCACGGCACCCTGTTCCCATTAATCCACATCAATATCTCTACCCTTCATGTTCCTCTTGCACACATCCTCTACCCATCTATAATTCACCATCGAGGATGTCCTTAAGGACACCCCAGAAGCAGCTTGAGAACAAAGCAGTTTTTAAACATAGTCCTATTCTTGTTTCCCTTCACTAGACATCTGACTAACAATGCAAAGCTTTTCTCAGTGACATTGTCAAGCCTCATTAACATTCAAGTGCAGTCAACACCAAACAAGAAACATAAACAACATGCTGGATGGACAAAAAATTCAAGAAGTACTTTCTAAAAGTAGACATTAGATCACTGACCTCATCACAATTGAACACCAACACCTGCCTTCCAAACAATCCCCCAAGAGCCTTCACCGACTCTGTTTTTCCAGTTCCTGCTGGACCATAAGGGTTGCCTCCAAGACCCATGTGCATACCTGTTTGGTCACATTCATAATGAAACTTATAATCATAATCAAGTTCTCAATATTTTTTTTCTTCTTCTTGGGGTTCAGTTCCATATGCTCTGGGCAGACCGTCAGGTGGGCAGCTCTATGAACTTGCATGTTGGCTGCAAGTCTCTGTAGTTCCACATAGCTTACTCTGCAGACTTTGCTCCTGAGGTCAGGTTTCTCTTCATAGTTGTGAGCATTGTGGGCAGGCCTGCAAATTGTACTCAGGTGTTTGCGATCCCGTCTGACATGCGCACTTTAGGGACTGTACAGTCGTTATTGTATACATGTGGTAGCTAAGCTTGCAGTGTCGTGTTCCTAGAGGGAAAATTGTTATCTATGGTTTTCTGTTGCGTCTGCTAATGGAGTCTCATTGATGTTTATTTACTGTTGGTTTGCTCTCTAACAATTTGAATACCATAATAAAATCAACCAAACCAAAACCACTTCTTAAAATAATCAAAATGGAAAGTTTCACTAGGTGTGATACAGCCCACCCCCCCCCCCCCCCCCCCCCTACAGCCCACCCCCCCCCCCCCCCCCCCCCCCTCCAGAAAGGAACACAAAGAAAAAATACTAAACCCAGACTCCTGCCATCCAGAAACATGAGAACCGTACACAATAAACTTCACCTTGTGTCAGAGTCAGGTAGCACTTGTCTGTCAGTGGTGTGTGCACAAGTTTAGCAGCATTGCCCTGGTATTCAAAGGTGTACTCAAACTCTGCATCCACCATCCTAATGACACTCAGTCCGTCCTTGCGTGTGTAGTATCTGCAATCAGAAAGATCAGCCATCAGAACCACATCTTCGACATCTCACCATTTTTTTTTTTAAAGTATGGGAATATCCCGAGTGAAGTCAATTCTTCATTTATTCATTCTTTCACTCACCGCTTCATTCTCAGACTTTCAATGTCATTTAGGCAATCTTGTTTCAACCTTCTCTCAAATGTTAGTCTTCTTGTTTTGTTAATGACAAAGAAATAATTTTAAAAATCCACTAATCAAATTTCCCAGAAAAGGTCTGTCTGTACAGAAACAGATTTTCATTCATTGTTCTGTCGTGCCATCATATGCCACATAGGGCTGGCTGACTTTTCCTCCATTCCTTTCTACACTGTGTAATCATTTCTTTATTTTTTGAAAATCCTGCCTGTTCGTCAATTGGACTTTGGCTTTATGCCAGGGCCTGGGTTTCGCAAGTGCATCCGTTTTACTGGCTTATTTGTGTGCAGTTGGTTATTCCTCGCCGCTCGAGCAAATGTGCTCCAACTTCAAAGGAAGCCCCATAATTAGTCGACTCCTGTGGCATGCTTGTTAGGCAGGCAGTGGGTCTATTCTTGTTTTTCCCACAATGGGGTCCCAGAACACACACAGGGAGCAGTCAGTTCAATACCATGGACATCAGCCCAGCACCTCTTACATCAATGTTCATTTTAGGGTGTTCTTTTTGGTGTCCCCACATCCTCAGTCCCTTCGTTTCCCATTTTAGTGCCTGTCTGGTAGTTCTCTGTTTCACCTCTTCTCAGAATGTATCAAATATAGTGCCACCATTTCTGTCTTATACCTGTCGATACTAGTGGTTTCAGAAACACACAGCAACTAACTAAACCTACCTGAGTTGTTTCTGCCATTGCCATTCCTGTACAGACCTGACACTTGCCTCGATCAGCTCATGAAGAACACCCATGTTGTGGATTGTGTCCAGGATCAAAGCCTTCAGTTTCAGTTGCAGCGCTTGGTGGACACAAGGACATTTACATTGGTTTTATCATTTATGTTTCAACAATCGCTTATAGGACTCCACACTGCAAGCAGATCAAGCTTCGAGAAACTAAACATCATCAAACGGCTATGCCATTAAATGCCACATAAGGCTTACAGTCTGGTCCACCATACCATTCTACCCAGTGAAAAACTTTCCATATCATGGATAGAATCCAGTCCAACATTTTTGGTCTCTCCCAACATTCACATTGGATTTTTCTTTGGTGACCTCATTTCTTTGGCTCATCTCCCACCCTTTTCCCATTTCAGTGCCTGTTTGGTAATTCTAGAAAAATATGCTCTTTACTTACAAGGGGAAGTCAATAAGTAAGTCTTAAAATGTTATTTAAAAAATAATAATAAAGATGATAACAACTTGAAAATCATTCATTTTTACACATACACTGTCCCTTTATTTGTTAACATAGTTTCCACCAATACTGATGTGCTTTTCCTATTGTTTTATCAGTCCTCCCAAACCTGCTTCACAGAACTGCACACTCTGTTTTCTAAACCACATTTTTATTTCACATTCAACTTCTGAGTTGTTTGCTAAATGTCTCCCGCCAAGGTGGTTTTTCAGTGGACCAAAAAGGTGGAAATTGCTAGAGGCATAAACAGGAAGTCTTTCCTTATGAATATCCTTTGCAGGCAGTCCTTTTGCCCCACCCCAAAAAAAAAACAGGACAACAGCACATTGTTCTTTGAGGGTACACTCTGTAAGTACAGTTGACATTTTGTTTTTATGCTGCGAATGTGCATGCAACACCTAGTGCCACCTGACAGAGATATTAAGTTTGATGTTGCTGTCAACTAATGACACCTTTAGAAACAACCAACTATATTTTCCTGCCATCTCATAATCATTCGTGACTTACTTATTAACTTCCCCTCATAAAAACATACAATACCCCATTGAAAATCATGCTACAGAGAAAAGTGGAAGGTAAATGCGCAAGAGGAAGTGTACGTTTAAGGAAGTAAATGATCTCTTTCCATTTTCTGTGGCATAATGAGAATAGACCAGCCTTCCCATTTCCTGGTCAGGTAGGCAGTTTCTTTCAGGCAGATCATGATGTCAGCGACATTCTGCAAAGGACCTGCTATGTGATGTTATGTTTTGCTATGTTATCACACTCAGTGTCACTACACATTGGGCGTTCCCATGCATGCTCAGTCCTCCAAAGCAGCAGCCACTCCAAGGTACTTCTACTATGTGACAATAATGAATGCTTATGTTGGACTTAAATGTCCAACAGTTGATTCACCACAATTCTTGTCCTGATGATCTGATTATCTACAAAGATGGTTCTGTACTGAGAGGGAAGAGAAGTGCCTGGGGTTTCGTAGCAAAAACCCAATGAAAAACCTTTAGTGCAGGACAGCCTGGCATATGATACCACAACATCTAGCATGAGAATGGAGGTAGAGGCCAACAGTGCAGCTTGCCGGTGGCTGCAGAACAAGTTACATACACATGTCATAATTGTAACAGACTCTGAAAATATGCTGAAAAAGCTGAAGACAAAACAGCTTCGAGCAGAGTGGCAAGCTTCACTTGCAAGGTCACAGGTAGTGAGCATACTCTGGATCTTTTCTCCATGTGGTCAGAGCCCTTTGGGAACAAGTAACGAAGTCAGAAGAAAAACTAGATTATTATGGGCTGGAGAGAATGATGCATCTGGGTGTGACCGGAGGGTTTGGCTAGCACACTACGCTCAGAGGAAAGGCAAAATGGACATACAACCAGACTACGACCGGCACCATTAGTATTGGAACTCTGCGCTGGCTGCTGAGATTGGGGACAGAGCGTGTATGGAAATGCCCCGAGTGCTGTGATGTCAATTCTTGACTCAACTTAACTCAATGTATGCTTACTCTTTCACTTCTCTTTAGCTGGGCTCACCTGAAGATTCAGAGCTCTGGTCTGTGCCTCGCAGATCCACACTTGTGTATGTCTCCAACTGAGTTTCTGTCTCCTTCAGCAAATCTCTCAGCCCATTCTTCTGAATGGCTTCTTCGCAGTTCTCTGTAAATTTTATGTACTCAGCCAAACACAAGATCTGCAACAAACAATTGATATGCCTATCCATGGAAGTCAGTTAGTTGAGGAACTAATAAGTCCCCATGAAAGCAGATTTTTTCACTATAGGAAATTATCTTCTGCTTCTTCTTCATCTTCTTTTTCTTCTTCTTCTTCTTCCTCTTCTTCTTCTTAGCATTTGCTAGCTGTAAACATCAGCATGAAGTTTTCGTTGTAGGTCCACTCCCGAGCCTCAGTTTTGTGTGCTTATTCATTTTACCAATTTTGTGTGTGTGTACACAGAGTGGTGGTTCCTTGCCTCTCAGACAGATGCATTCTAACTTTGAAGGAAACACCCCTAACTAGTTGCCTTAATGACATGCTCGTTGACGTGAAATAGGTCTAATCTTTTGTTCTCTAAAATGGAGCCCCAGAAACCATACAGAAAGGAAATGTTCTAAAAAGTAAAGGCAGTCAGCATGGTATTGACTGCATCACTCACTGATTGCTGATTGGGCGATAAATATGTGGGCAAGCACCATATAACCAATAGCCTCTAGGTATAAATACAGAACTTTCATCATCATCACACTGCTGTGTCATTATACATGTCACAAAGGGCTTACAGTCTATTCCTCACTTTTGCGCTATCTAGCACAATCCTAGTGATATCATCAATAAAATCTGGCCCAGCCTCTCTCAAGATCTACTTTAAAGTTTCTCTTGGACTTTCTCCTGTGTTTCTTTTTCAATCCATTTGTTTCCAATTGGAGTGCCTGTTTTGTGATTAATGAGACTTATTCTTTACTTAACACTAAACTAAACATACATGGAGAAAACAGCCCTAAACCACTATAAAGAGTAACAACCCACCTGGGATGGGTACTTGCTGGGGTCCAGACCCGCATGGCTTGATCTGGCTTCCTTCAAACACACAGTTAGCAGCTCTTTCAGTGTATCCTTCATCTCCTCAGCCAGTTTTCCCAGCCAGATCTGAAAATTATATTTTTTAAATCTACCTTACAAAAACATTATATATATATACCCAGTTTACTAATAAATCAGTGTATATTATTTATAGGAAATGTGGCAGTGCAGTAAAGACAATAAGATAACTAATCTCAAACAGTAGAATGAAACAGTCAACATTTATAAACATGATATAGGAAATAAACATCAAGAGGTCAGATAAAAAAAAGTGGACAAAATAGAGTGTGTATGTGTGTGTGTGTGTGTGCGCACGTGCAGGCATGCCTGCATTTATGTGTGTGTGTGTAATAGATCACTTCTGTGAAGTAAAACAATAATAAGTAAATGAAAATTGGTTTATTTAAAATCAGAACTGACAGGCTTTTATCTCCACAGAAATCTCATGAAATAGCAAAATTATAACACTACACACTCCATGATGGTGGAAAAATCAACAATAATATTATAACTGTCTAAAATATGAATATAGACATTTTTAAAATGCAGCATCTAAAATAATGACCAAAATTGTATATTCAAATTGTGGGGTATTCAAAGAACAGGGGGGCAAAGTAGAATCTGAAATGACAACAATGAGAAATGGACAGGACTAAATTTTTACACATTTGTTCAACAAATGGAAGAACAGAAAGATGGCGGGCTGAGTGTGCTCGTGCTTCCATCGATACACCTCCACGACCCTAACGGGCCAAGGGTTAAATTATGTTTGTATTAAAATTTCAATCTAGAGGAAATAAAGAGAACAGTGGGAAAGAAAACTATCGTGAATCAAGAGTTGAGGAAACAAAGCCAGCGCTGGATAGTACAAACATTGAGAAACCTTCATAATAATATACTAGAATGTCTTTGTACTGGAACTCATAGGGCCAATGGAATAAAAGGAGACCACAAAACTACAAAGGGGAGGGCAATTAGATGAGGTGAACAAGATGGGGAGGTCATGGGGCGAGCTGCAAGAGCAAGCCAAGGAGAGGATGACTTAGTGTGAGTTGATTGAGGGTCTATGCTTCTTTGGGGAAATAATGAGTAGGAGAAGAAGATGATGAAGAGGAGGAGGAGGATGAAGAAGAAGAAAAAGAAAAAGAAGAAGAAGAAGAAGGAGGAGGAGAAGGGGAAAGAAGGAGGAGGACAAAGAAGAAGGAGGAGGAGGAAGAAGAAGAAAGATGCAATGTAATCAAAACTGCCTGTGTTTGGAGTTTTGTATGCTGAATAGAGAGCAAACAAACAGCGCTGGACTCACCTCGACATCTGGTGTGATTTTGACTTTCCTCTTCAAGGACACAACTTCCCCATCCTGAGACTTCATGGCTACAATATGGCTACAATCATCATCAAACTCCACCGAGTGGATGCCAGCAAACAGCTTCTTCAAGTGGGACTGGATAACTGGATGCCAATCAACAGGATCATTTAAATTTTTTAGCTTGCTGAGTCATTTATTATTACTAAGAACACATTCCCAAGTGAGTTCTGGGGCCCCATTGTGGGGAAAACAAGAATAGACCCACTGCCTTCCCAACAACCAAGTCGTAAGAGTTGACTAATTAAAGGTTTCCTTCGAAATCAAAGTGCATCTGCCTGAGAGGCAAGGAATCAACAGCCTGCATACAAATAAGTCAGATCTGCAAAATGGATGTGCACGCAACACTTAGGTTCTGGAACAAGTATAAAGTCTAGAGGTGGATGAACAACTAGAACTTCCGCCAGAGTTTTCAGCCAGTGAATGCGAAGAAGAAACACTTAGAATGAAGGAAATCTAAAACTAAATAAGATATTGCAGGATATGATACATTTTGGTCAAATTTAGGGAGCCGCCAAATTGCATTCTTATTACAGTGAGCAGAATAAGCCTTGTGGGTAATTGGGCATGAGCTACAAAAGGACTCACCGGTGGGGTTTGTAGCCTGGCCAAGGATCTCAAGGAGGTCATCATCTCCAATGAAGTAGAACCGAGGGAACTGAGAGCGCTTTTCCTGCACACACAAAAACAAAAATCATTTATGTATATATGATATATATATACACAACATGCATACATGCACACACACATATATATGAAACCACTAAATAGCTTTGTGCGCTGCCTAAGAAGAATTACTGGCATTAAGTGACAGAACAAGATTGCAATCACTTAGATACTGACAAGAACAGGTATTGCAACAGTCTTCTCAATGCTCAGTCTATGAAGGCTCAGGTGGTTGGGTCACAGCTGGGGAATGGAGGATGGTAGAGTCCCTAAGGACATCCTCTATGGTAAATTACAGGTGGATAGATGTTGAGGCTGACTTTTACTACAATATAAAGATGTGTGCAAATGGGACATAAATGATACAGGTACTGAGGCGGATTCGTGGGAACAAAATGCCATGAACCATTTTGTATGGAGGGGGCAAATCATGAGTGTAATAAGTATGAAGGGAAACAAATTTTGCAGAAAGGAAGAGAGCAGTGCATCTGAGAAGAAAAACACCAAATACAAATGATGTCAACAGTCATCCTGAAATCCTATGGTATCATTGTGGAAGACTTTTCTTACAGCTGATGGTTATTGCTTTCTCTCTCTCTCTCTCTCTCTCTCTCTCTCTCTCTCTCTCTCTCTCTCTCTCTCTCTCTCTCTCTCTCTCTCTCTCTCTCTCTCTCTCTCATATATATATATATATATATATATATATATATATATATATATATATATATATATATATATATATACACATATATATATATATATATGAGTCAGGATTTACATATGAATGTTCTTGCAGTTTGCCAGGTGGGATGAAGAATAACTGTTGTTACTGCCTTTATGTAACACTCTTTTTTTAGAGCAGTGTAGGACAAGCGTGGTCTCCAGTGAAACAAAGTTGTGAAAACAGACAGGAAAAAAGAGAGAGAAAAAAACACAGGAATTTCTGATTCCTGAAGTTTTATTTGACTGTCCTCCCAAACAATAGCATCTCCTCCTCCTCCTCCCTTCTCAGTACCATCCTAGTAGGCCCTCAATTCTTCCCAGGAAGGTCAAGTGAGGTGACATTTTCATTTATTTCATCTAATAACTTTTATATTTTAGTATTTGTAGTATATAAATTAATTTATGCAGCCCTATCAATGTATAATATGCCAATAAAAATTAGATTTTTACATGGGAACGAATGTATTGGTCTTCCTTTATTTCTTTTGGGAAATAGTGTTTGGCATGTGTCCAAGGATGTGGAATAGGTTAAGTAACGTACAGCAAGAAACCACTGAATAATGACCGCTGACCTCTAGGAATTCATTGAGTGACTTCTGACATCTCTGTAGTTGGTCAAGCATGGTCATCAGCAAATTTCTCAGCCCAGACTGGCTGGCCAGGGATAGCACCCTGTTATCTCTGCTCACATCTCTCATAATGGATCTGCAGCACACACAAAAACAAACTGAAAACACTGGAAGCAACTTGTTTATTCACTCAAGTGAAACAGGAAGTAATAACGCAGTGATCTACAGCCATATCATGACAAGATATAAAACCAAACGAAAAGTAGAATTAATTGTCTGACTGGGTAAAATATTTTTGTAGCGAAGAAAGGCTTTCAGCTCGGACAAAGCTGATCAAAGTCTGGATCAAAAATCACTTTCTTGATCTGATAAACAGAGGAACAATGAGAATGAATGATGTGGGGAAAGACAGGGAGACTTAAGAGAGACATGATATAGAAATACAGTATGACAGAGAAAGAATGAGAGAGAGAGAGAGAGAATGAGACCGAGTGGAAGAGTGAGAGAGAGACAGAGAGAATGAGAGAGGATGAACAAACAAACATTATTTTCAAAGGGTCACAAATTGGGCACGCAGGCCCGTACAGCAGTTGTTTTTATCAAGAAAGCATGTTATATTCAATCAATAATATGCATATTATGAATATGAAGAAAATACACTAAAGCATGAGTGGTAAAATGCACTCTTACACGTACACACGTACACACATACACACACCACATAAACATGCCCACTTCCTCACTCACTAACACACACATACATACACGCCTACATACACACCCACATACATACATACATAGAGAAGAGAGAGGGGGAGAATGAGAGAAAAAGGGGGAGAATGAGAGAGAGAATGAGAATGAGAGAGAGAGAGACAAAGAAAAAATGAGAGAAAGAGAATGAGAGAATGAGAGAGAGAAATAATGCATTATTACGACCAGAAAGTAACAACTAGAAATAATACATGACAGAGTCTAAGAATCGCTGATACCTGAAATCATCATCCACACGTTTAAAGCGACTTTGCTCCTTGGGCAGAGCACCATGGCCAAAGATAGGCTCTAGGTAAACCCACTTGCGCTGAATCTGGTTGAGGTTATGCAAATACTCATCCAGGTCTGCAAGCCGCTGCTCCCACACGCTGGCTTTGTCCTCAAAACTCTTGTAGTAGGGAGAGTCCTTCAGGGACTGCAGAAGGCACTTGTTGTCACCAACCTGCGACAGGGAATGAGATCATGGTTAACTCCTTTAGAACATACATTTATACCACTCATTAGTAATCAGTGAGGATGATAAATTCAGCACTGGTCAGATCCATAGGTGTTCCTACCTCCTCTTCAAAAGCTCCACAAGCATAGAGCAACTGATGACACCAGTTTTGTGTTTGTTAATCAAACAACTTGTCCCCTTGTTTAAAATTTTGCAGCTTGAGGTTACGCTCTCATGTTCATTAGTCTAGACAGGGATTTGGTGTCATACCCTTTGCCGTATTCCTCTTCGATTCAAGTGTGGTGCATGATATTCTATTTGTGTGTGTATGTATGTGCATGTGTGCATGCATGTGTGTATGTGTGTGGGTTCACTGACTGTAAGCTCTGGTGGAAAGTCCTGGTTGTTCATCCATTTGGACTTCGGCTTTGTGCTAGGGCCAGAGTTTTGCATGTACGTACATTTTTACTGGCATATTTGTGTGCAGTTGGTTGTTCCTTGCCGCTTGGGCAGATGCACTCCTACTTTAAAGGAAGCTCCCAATCAGTCGACTCTCATGTCATGCTTACTGGAGTGGCAGTGGGCCTATCCTTGTTTTCCCACAAAGGGGCCCCAGGAACCCACACAGGGAGGGCATGGAGCTGATAACATGGCCTCTGTCCAGTCATGGACCAGCCACTAAAACCATCAACTGTGAAATCGTAATTTTCCAAGTCTAGGTTCCATATGAGAAAAAAAAAAAAAAAGGTAGACCCGCTGTCCCCAACAAACAGGTCACAAAATGGCACTTATTGGGAGTTTGCTGAAATTGGGTGTGTCCGGAAAACAGGTGTATACATCCCTGCCCAGCAGGAAGCTACAAACCAACTTGCCAACCAATCTTTTAGTGTAAACACAGAATAAGAAGAAGCCAAAAAGGGAAAGAACAAAGAAGAAGAAGAAGAAGAAGAAGAAGAAGAAGAAGATCAGTCACTGCTTTTCTTCTTGGCACTGACCACACTGGTAAGTATTGGTGGCAACTGCCGTGAGACAGAATGATCTTCTGCCTGCCGTCTGCTACTTGCAACTATTACCAACATTATGAGAATCTAATATGCTATAGTTACAAATACCTTGGACGGCCAGAGTAACTAACAACGATTGCTTGAAAGAGGCTAAAAAAGTGGATCTCTATATACAACAATTAGAAAGAGACAAAAACTGTTTTATGGCCACATAATGAGAAAATAGACATTGGAGAACATCGTGACAACTGGAAAAATCAGTGGGAAAAGAGGTAGAAGCAGACAAGGAGAGATGATGGGTGGGCTGAAACGATGGCATGGAGAGATATCATCAAGAGAGCTGTTCCAGGCAACCAGGGATGAGGGATGATAATCTGTAAAAACGCATGAGCATCTATGCCAGTTGACAGGGTACATGATGATGATGATGATGAATATGCTATAAACTCTTTTGTGGTGGGGTTAGGGTGGGTGGAGGGGGAATAGGTTCTTTGCTTTAAAATTTAGCCTGCGCATTATCTGCTTCAGATAGAGCAGTTGATGAAAAAAAAGGATAAAACAATTAACTGTATGTATCATCATTGCTGGTGTCTGTGGCTTGGGCACTGTGAATGCACTTCGTAATGCTGGGGTACCAGGTTCATATCCAGCTGCAGACAATCTGTCTTGCACTGGTTTTGACAGGGGACCGAGAGCTGACCATTCAGAGGCAATGGCAAACTACTGAATGTAAAATGTGCCCAGAAAACCACATCAGCCAAAAAATGCTGGCGTTGGTTCTGCAACGTCCTGTAAAGGGTGCGCAACTAACTTTTTATAATCATGTTGGCAAACACAACATGAATTACTAACCTGACTGACAAGGTCCTTCCAGTCTTTGATGATGTTCATTTTAGTTTTCTTGCTGTCCTCATACTCCGTTAGAGCAAATACAGCACCTGCACCCCACAAATCCAACTCTCTGATGGCTTCTCGGATGGTTACCTCCCCCTGGGCTCTGTGATTCAGTTCCTGCCAAGGAAACAGATGAAAGATAATTGTGCTGTTTCATACAGATAAGAAGTGCTAAATGCAAAAAAAGCTGTGACTGTAAAACTGAACAGACAGGATAACAGAGCTCATAAACATACAAGGTCAACAGGAACACAACACAGACTGTGACTATAAAACTCAGCGGACAAGATAACTTAGCTTATAAACATATAAGGTCAACAGGAACACAACACAGACTGTGACTATAAAACTCAGCGGACAAGATAACTTAGCTTATAAACATACAAGGTCAACAGAAACACACAACACAGACTGTGACTATAAAACTCAGCGGACAAGATAACTTACCTTATAAACATATAAGGTCAACAGAAACACACAACACAGACTGTGACTATAAAACTCAGCGGACAAGATAACTTAGCTTATAAACATATAAGGTCAACAGAAACACACAACACAGACTGTGACTATAAAACTCAGTGGACAAGATAACTTAGCTTATAAACATATAAGGTCAACAGAAACACACAACACAGTGACTATAAAACTCAGCGGACAAGATAACTTAGTTTATAAACATATAAGGTCAACAGAAACACACAACACAGACTGTGACTATAAAACTCAGCGGACAAGATAACTTAGCTTATAAACATATTAGGTCAACAGAAACACACAACACAGACTGTGACTATAAAACTCTGCGGACAAGATAACTTAGTTTATAAACATATTAGGTCAACAGAAACACACAACACAGACTGTGACTATAAAACTCAGCGGACAAGATAACTTAGCTTATAAACATACAAGGTCAACAGAAACACACAACACAGACTGTGACTATAAAGCTCAAATGGATAAGATAACAGAGCTTATGAACATACCAAGTCAATAAGACCCCACAAATATGAAATAGAAAAGAATGAACAAGCCTTGGGGGGGTGGGGGGTGGGGGGAGGGGTTAAAACTGGGCATGCATGCCTATCTACATTCTGCCCTTGTTCCTACATTATTGTATTCATACATCTGTTAACACAACAGGAAAATATACCGATAAATAGCCACAAAGGAAGACAGACAGACAGACTGAAAAATAAACTTACAGGAAGACACAGAAGCAATTAGATATTTAAACATACAGACAGATCACAAGATAGATAGATTATTGCTGGATAAGACAGACAAAATAATGTAAATGATGGAGACGATAGATTAAAGCAAATGATGGACAAGACTGACAGATTAAAGCAAATGATGGACAAGACTGAGAGATTAAAGCAAATGATGGACAAGACTGACAGATTAAAGCAAATGATGGACAAGACTGAGAGATTAAAGCAAATGATGGATAAGACAGACAGATTAAAGCAAATGATGGACAAGACTGACAGATTAAAGCAAATGATGGATAAGACTGACAGATTAAAGCAAATGATGGATAAGACAGACAGATTAAAGCAAATGATGGATAAGACAGACAGATTAAAGCAAATGATGGATAAGACAGACAGATTAAAGCAAATGATGGATAAGACAGACAGATTAAAGCAAATGATGGATAAGACAGAAAGATTAAAGCAAATGATGGATAAGACTGACAGATTAAAGCAAATGATGGATAAGACTGACAGATTAAAGCAAATGATGGATAAGACTGACAGATTAAAGCAAATGATGGATAAGACAGACAGATTAAAGCAAATCATGGATAAGACAGAAAGATTAAAGCAACTGCCTGAAAATTCTTGAAGCTACTGAAATAGAATGATACATAAATTAACTGATACTGATTGGCGACCAGAGAAGTATCATAAACAAAAGGAGGCAAACAGACACATTCGATTAGATAAAACTGTTGTATCCAACCTTGATGGCATCCGCATTCTTGATGATGTGTCCACTGGCAGCCAAAATCTGGCCAAAAGTGAGCTTCTCTAAAGTTGTCCCCCTTGGCATTTGCAGCAGACGGAACATTTCCAACCAGTGATCTTGTGACAGTGGCTCACCTCGCACCCACTTTAGCACGGGCAGAACATTCTAGACATAAGATATTCATGTGATAAAATATTTCCATCATTAGGTCTCAACCAAAATGTTGGCAAATAACGCTGCACAGCAGGGCTGTTCAACTAAGTTTACCCAGGTGCCAAAGTGTTAAAAACAGGGATCATCATGGGCCAGAGGCCTGACCCCCAGTGTCGAAGGGTCATTTATTTAAGACAACTGGCAATGACCAAGCAAGAAAATGTATCAAATTTTATAAGAAAGTGCCGCTGGAATTACATCGGCCATGCACTCAGAATTGATAAGTCAAGATTCCCCCCCACCCCTCTCTCTCCATCAAGACCTCATATGGACAACAAAAAGGAAAAGAAAACCAGGAAGACCAAGGGAGACTCTGCATAGAACCATCATCAGGGAAGGTTCAACTATGGGCCTAATGAACATCCAAGACGTAAATCTGGTGGCAACGAACCGCCAGACATGGAGAGCTATAACCTCTGCCCTATGAGCCACCTTAGGCTCAAGAGGAAAGACTAACTAATGATCCACAGGCCACCCGTTAGGCTCTGAGGGCTGGATCCAGCACTACCCCCCCCCCTCCCCAGTTGAATAGCCCTGATGTAGAGGTATGCAATAAATAAACTTTAATGACAGCAATAAAGACTGTTACAACTGACCTAGGGTTCACAAGCTGACCGAGCCTAAAACAGGTAAAAAACAATGTTCTGGGAAGTAAAGATGGCGGCCAGCCTGAGACTGACCAGATTACTGTAAAAAATATAGCTCTGGCACAGCATTGGTGTAATGGCTAGATGCTAACCAGCAGATCGTAGAGCAGCGGGTTTGAATCCAAACAGTGCAATGTAGACCTGTGAGGAACCGATGGTCTACACACAAATAGGCCAGATGTGTAAAATGATGTAAGCACAAAACTCAAGTTCTGGAAAAAAACTAAAGTGCATGAGTGGATGAACAACCAAAACTTTCTGCTGGAGTTTACATCCAGTGAAGACAAAGAAGAAAAAGAAGATATACTGATAAACTGTTTGAAGTAATACAACACATGATGCGATGGGTTGGACAAACTTGGATGAACCATTGGACAAATATACCATTTATTGTCTGTAACTGAAATAAGTAAGCTGATGACTTCCTGTAGTACATTTGCCATCCACTATTCTCTTAAACATTTATATTAGCAAGATTTTATATCAAATTCATCATAATCATGTTAATTCTCGTACAGAACATTACAAAAGACAAATACAGTTCTAGTGTAACAGGGACAATCTGCTTTAACACTGTACAAATATACTCACGAGATATATAGGGCACTTAAGATCTTGCATACATCAAACACACAGCCCTTTGTCAGCAATATTTTCTATTAAATGGCTTCAATTAGTTGTTGTGTGTAGCCCTCAAGGTGACACAAATGTGACCCATATGGAACCTGAGACTCACAGTTTTACATGCTTGCTGTACAGAGTGTAATGATGTCGATTCTTCTTCACAAATCATGAATAAAAGGAACCAAACATTAGCAAAGACACAACCTCAGAAACAAAATCAAAATCCTAAAATACTAGAATTTGCTTTCCACTGAAGACAGTTTTTTTTTTGCTTTTTTTAAATGGAGTCATATTTTATTTCGGGTGGAAGGGGGTGGGGGGGTCGATGGTATTAGAGCTTTACGTGGAAGAGATTGGGGCTTCACTACACAGCAGTGGGTACAATGTAGCCAACCTGGATCACGGAGCTGGTACATCATTTAACTTTTTTATTTTTTATTTTTACAACTAAGAAATAACTTTACCTTGTATGTCTCAATGTCCTTCTGAATTTTGACAGTCATTGTGGTAGTGTCCCTTGTCTTCAACTTCTCGTACCAACCAACCAGGAACTCCTCAAATAGATATGACCTTGACCTGAAAACAAATATTTTTAAAGCACAATGAATAAAAAAAAAAAAATTATTAATTAATTAATTAACGACGAAATGACATTACACGCTCTGCTTCCTTCCTCAGTAGCCAATGAAGAGTCTGCATGATAGCAGTACCGGTTGCAACCTAATTAAAAGTCTGTCTGTTTTCCCCCTTAGTGTTGAGTATCGTAGAGAACCTCAACTCACCACCCTCCCACTTCCCACCAGCCCTCCACGCCCCCATTAGTCTTTCAACGTTCTGATTCTCTGTTGGTTCTGTACACTCCCCCATCTGATCACAGAGAGCCTTCACCACATCCACTTTATTATAAAGTAGCTCCCCGCCCATAGGAGCGGCAGCAGCTAATCTATCAGCCTGCCTTTTACTCCGTACACCCATATATCCTGGACTAAATGTCTGTTAATCACAATTTGTATGTAGCCATCCCTACCCTAAGCTGATTATTTTTGCCATTTTAAATTTAAGTAAACCGGCCATGAGGCTCCAAAGATTTTGGCGAGATTTATTTTCTCTTGTTTGAAAGCTAGATATGGTCAAGGCCATTTAGAAGCAAGTGAATAATGTCAAGGCACGAACAGATCATTACGGTTTGGAGCAAACAGTTCAGCTAGGGTTGACCAGGGGATGTGGTCGACACTCTACACTCAAAGGACACTCAAAGTGGACAAATAATCACACAGCTAATGGCACCACCAGAACTGGAACGTTTCGCTGGCTGCTGAAGATGAGGATGGAGTGATTATGGGAATGTTTGAGTGCTGTGACTTTGGTTCTTAGCTTAGCAGTCAACACTGAGACTTCAATATGGTAAAATGTTAATTCTGTACATATGCTAGGTGAGAGTATAGTGAATTAGGAGTACCTTCCCTTTGTCACCTTCTTTCTTTTTTAGATAATTTCTGACATTCCTTCTAGACAATTCTTAAAATTATGTTGCCGAGACAGGATTAAATTTGCAGAAGAAAATGTTTTGCTGCTGAATGAACTAATGCAAGAAAATCAAGTGCAATCTGACCTGAATGAACTAATGCAAGAAGATCAAGTGCAAACTGACCTGAATGAGCTAATGCAAGAAGATCAAGTGCAATCTGACCTGAATGAACTAATGCAAGAAAATCAAGTGCAATCTGACCTGAATGAACTAATGCAAGAACATCAAGTGCAATCTGACCTGAATGAACTAATGCAAGAAGATCAAGTGCAAACTGACCTGAATGAACTAATGCAAGAAAATCAAGTGCAAACTGACCTGAATGAGATCCAGTCCTCCTTTGCCAGGTTGTGTAAATCGTTGTTGAACTCCTCGTAAAGTGACCACATGTGTTCATAACGCGTCATGTCCTCCTTCAACTCTGTCATGGTGCTAAAGTCTGGATTTTCCAGATCAAAGTGGTTGCAGTCAGAGCTAGCAATGAGAGTACGGTCAGAAACATGTTATGATACAAGCTGTGTCCAGTAGACAATAACATTATTTTTATTGTCCAAAGGAAAACATTTCATTTTACTTAAACAGTTCCACAAAACATGTGTTGTGTGAATCCTAACCTCAAACAAAGTATTTTAGCACTCTTTACAAGTAGTTAAAACATGCTAAAGAATTCCGGCATTCTCATAAACCACTTTTACTGACTGAAGTCTACCTCTGAAATTACACACAGTATAACACACAAATACCACTTTTAAAAAAACATACTGGAGGAAAAAGTCAACAGCAAGCAAACAAGAGGTAGACAACAATACAAGTGGGAGGACAATAAAAAGAGACAAAAAACGAATGGCATCTCAGAGAGTATACTACCAGGACAGTAAAAGAGTGTGTTGGACATCCATTGCACCAACCTTCATTATGGAGATGGCACCTGCCTGATTAATTCTCTTCTCCTTCTTCTTTTTCAGTATTCAGAGTCCTTGAGGTTCACTGCAGTAGATACAACCTGCCTCCATTTATCTCTCTGATTAGCCTTTTTAGTTGGTGACTCCAAGTGTTTGCATTTGTAGGTCTACATGCATATAATCTCTCCATGAAACTTTTGGTCTGCCTCATGGTCTACACCCATTCAACTCTTTCGTGTATGGCAGTTTTTTGTTTATCTATAATTTGTCATTCTCTCTGCCACTGATTGACTGAAATTACAAAATAAAAGACTGAGACTTAAGACACACACATCTGGATTTTTCGGCCCATCACATCCAGTTTCAGCAACATTCTAACACACATCTGGATCTTTCGGCCCATCACATCCAGTTTCAGCAACATTCTAACACACATCTAGATCTTTCCGCCCAACACATCCAGTTTCAGCAACATTCTAACACACATCTGGATCTTTCGGCCCATCACATCCAGTTTCAGCAACATTCTAACACACATCTGGATCTTTCGGCCCATCACATCCAGTTTCAGCAACATTCTAACACACATCTGGATCTTTTGGCCCATAACATCCAGTTTCAGCAACATTCTTATCAGTCACCTATCCCAACATGCTTGTCAGGGGGCAGTGGCTCTGTTTTACCCCCCCCCCCCCCCCAACTCCCCCGCCCTTTTTTTTAAAAATAGGGCTCTAAAACCTGCACACAGGGAGTTCTGTGTCTGAAGAAACTTACATAAGTTTATTCATGGTCTCCTCTAGCTCCTGGTACTCCTGACGCTTCTCTTTAATGATGGCCACCGCTTTCTTGCAGGTGGCTTCATCTCCCTCCAGAGCATCATCGCCAGGTTTCAGCTGGTGCCACCTGGCAGAGAACTTCTCCACTTCCTGTTGGAAGGCTTTCACCCGCCCCTGAACATTACTCTTCATCACATCCACCTAGAGAATGATAGAAAGAATGAATGAATCAATGAATAAAGAACTGACATCACTGCACTGAGGACATTCCTACACATGCTCTGTCTCCTTCCACTGTGGCCAATGAAGAGGCGACATGCTAACAGTACAAGCTGCAAGCTAATTTAAAGTCTGCCGATGTTTCCCCCTCAGTGCTGAATATATTCCAGAACTTTCACACCAACCCCCCCTCCCCCCCCCTCTCCCCCAACCACCTGGAAATATGTCAACTAAATCAAATTCAACACATCCTTGTGGATACCAACCTTTCTTTGTCTCTTGTCAACAACTGTTTTGTTTTGCAGTTTAACAGATGATAGGTGGCCAAGCTAGGGTGCACTCGGTTGCTAGGTTGGTTGTGATGTTGTGAAGTTTTAGGTTGTCAGTTATTTCTTCTATCTATATACTCCTAGGTCTTCCTCTGCCTTTTGGTGTTTCCACTATCATCTTGTTTGCTCTCACTGCTGGCATTGTTGGATTCATTCTCACTCTCACTAACTAGCTGAACCATTTCAGTCTTTGTTTTTCAGTAAATTTAACAATATGTACTGTTTTAATACATCTTCTAATCTTTTAATTTCTCTCATGATCTCTTTTTTTTTTTTTTTTTTGCAGCACTTTTCTAGCATCTCATTTCATATGTGGTTAGTTTTTTCTCATGTTCTTAGAGTACTAACAAGTCTGACACTGGTAGCTTAAATTTGGAATAAAGATTGTGTTTATAATATATCTATTTATTACTGTTGGGTATTGCAAGACTGATGTAAACTGACGCATGATTATACTGAACTAACTCATCCAACTGTTTGTGTACATTAGTCATAAAAATGAAACGGAACAGCACTTACACAATGAGAAACAAAATGACACAAAAACATAGTGTAAAGGCACTGGTCTCCTAAGATTTATAAAAATGGTGATGGTTTCCTGCCCCACAAGGTTTATTACAACGTGCTTAGTTTGTAGTCCAGTGCCTTACGATTGATTTACTTCCTACTGAATGTGGTAAAATCTGTCAATCCTTTTCTTCTCTTAATCTCCTACTTACCTTCTTCCTCTCCTTTATCTTGCTTTTCTCTTCTTCCCGTACTCAACCATCTTCCTTCACTGTATTTCTCCTTCTCTACAATTTGTTTTCTTCTTCCTTTTCATCTTTTTTTTTTCGTTTTCTTCCTCTTCTTCTTCTGATTGACATATAATATATTTCAGAAAGCAGCTGAAGAGCTCTAAAGATTTGCACTTGGGTTTGTTACCCCTGACATTTTTTAAGTGGATCTGGAAAACTGAAAATTGACTGACCTGTTCTTTGACCATGAGCTGATGAGACTCCATCATGATCTCAAACTTGTCCCACCTGCTCTGTAACTGGGTGAGAGAGTCCACACCTGCACCAGCCACAGAACGGAGTAACTTGTTCTTGCTCTCAGCTTTCTCAAACAATGGTTTTACCTACAGTAGGATATACCATAATGCATTTCTTGCTCTCAGTTTAATCAAACAATGGTTTTACCTACAGTAGCAGATACCGTAATTCATTTCTTGCTCTCAGTTTTCTCAAAAAATGGTTTTACCTACAGTAGCATATACCACAGACAATGGTTTTATCTACATACATAAGAACATATCCTAAATCATTTCTGCTCGAAGCTTTCTCAAACAGTAGTTTTATCTACATCAAATACATCCTAACTCATTCTTGTTCTTAACTTTCTTAAACATTGGTTTCATCTTCTTCTTCTTCTTCTTCTTCTTCTCTTCCACCTTGTACCTCAGTGAAGTGTCAGGGGGGAGATGTAACGTTCATTGATAAGCTCTGTCAAAAGCACTATTAAAATTTTTGTTTATTTCTATAAGGCCATCACTCCATCTTTTCCTAGGTCTTCTGCTTGCTCTATACCCGCTGTAACATTTCAGTGTGGCTTTCTGTGGTAGATGGTGCTAAGGCATTTTTGTTAGATGTCCAAACCACTTCATTTGTTGTTCTTTGATAACCTGTAAGACTGGCTTTATTTCTAGCATTCGTCTGATTTCGTGATTTTGTATTCTGTCTCGACTTGAAACTCCTGCAGCTCAACTAAAACATTTTACCTCTGTTTTTACAACTCTTTTTGGTTTTATCTACATTCAAATATATCATGAATTACTACTTGATGTCAGCTTTCTTGTACAATGGCTTTATCTGCATTTAGAATAATCAATAAACCATTCTTGATTTCAGCTTTCTTGTACAATGGCTTTATCTGCATTTAGAATAATCAATAAACCATTCTTGATTTCAGCTTTCTTGTACAATGGCTTTATCTGCATTTAGAATAATCAATAAACCATTCTTGATTTCAGCTTTCTTGTACAATGGCTTTATCTGCATTTAGAATAATCAATAAACCATTCTTGATTTCAGCTTTCTTGTACAATGGTTTTATCTGCATTTAGAATAATCAATAAACCATTCTTGATTTCAGCTTTCTTGTACAATGGCTTTATCAATGTTAGTGGGTAAGTAAGTAATGTAAAGAACATTTGTCCATATCTTCAGGCATAGTAGGCATATAGGGCTAGACCAATATTTTATGGACCAATCAGCACTTGGTGGGTAATGTGGTCAGCACGTCAAGGGCTGTCTTTACTTGCCAGGACTTTATCTGGTACGCATTTAAGGCTGGCTCAACCTGGGAGCCAATGTTAATTTTTTTTTTTATACGGTTATGTTTTAGTTATGTCTCTACCTGGATTAAAAATATCAAAAATAATTTCCTGATCTCAGCTTTCTCAAACAATGATTTTATGTTGACGAAAAAATATCAGAAATAATTTTTAAATACCATTTTTCTTAAATAGTGGCTTTATTTACAACACAGTATATATTAGAAATAATTTCTGGACTTTGTTGTTTTTTGTTTTTTTTTGTTTTTGTTTTGTTTTTAGACAATGGTTTCATCTAGATCAAAAACATAATCTTCTTCGAACCTACATGAAAGCTATTGTGCAGTCCACATCTCCCTACAATCCATACAGCTTTATCTATATTGAGGTTGAAACAGGCCAGATTGCTTCTCTGTTAGTTTAGTGTTGGAGTACGTGCTCAGCATTTTCTGATGCCACATTGCTGGGACATATTGTCATACTTCCTACACCAGTTTTTACTAGTTTCTTTCACACATAAGCAGACTGACCTCCTTCTTGGTGACAATAAACTCTGCATGCTTGGAATTAGCCTGCCCAATCTCCTCCACTGTCTGAGGTCTCTGGGAGAGTGTATCGGTGGCACTGGTGACAAAGCCATCAATCTGCCCAATGTCATTGGTAATAGACTTGCGGAGGGAGTTCAGCAAGGCATCAAACAAATGCTGGACATGGTCATCGATCACAGCTTTTACTGGAGTTGTGTTTACTGTGATACAATCCACTTTGATTTGGCTGTAGGGTATATCAGGAAATAGTACAATCAGTGTGGTCCATTTTTATTTTAAAGAGGCATTTTAAAACAATGCTTACATTTGAACAAAGAACGACACAAACAATAGATTGCACAATTTATTGCCTGGCATATTTCGCTTTATCTCGTCAGGTGCATACTAAAGTAACAATTACATAAATGAAGCAAATAAATAAGTGCAATTTCAACAACAATCAAACATGACTGCCTGTTTTTACCAGGGCAGCCGTGAAGAAAGAACCATCTCTTTCTGTATACAGAGTTCCGGGCGCAGGTGACAAATAATGGATGCTTTAAGAAATCTTAGCGTTCTGCCATTGGTTGACATATGAAGGATTTAAAATGCGTTTTTTGAGTATGAAATGCGTTCTGATGTTTACATTGTTTTAAAACAATGTTTACATGTTTTTAAAATTATGTTTACATGTTTTTAAAATTATGTTTACATGTTTTAAAAATTATGTTTAATCTTAAACTATGTTTATATTTTAAAACCATACTGATTGCTGCATTGTTAGGGAAGAAAGAGGGAAGGGAGGTGGAGCAAACTGGCTTAGATGAATGGTGTCAGCATCTAACAAGTAAATGTTATGAATGTTTACAAAAGAAAAAACGATACATTCTCTGTAACCGTTGGGTAGTGCATCAGATATCCAGCCTTCTCAGATAGGGACAAAGAAACTCAAAAGAAATGCATCCAGATTAGATGCTTAAACAATTCCTTTCTGGTGCTGATCTGTTCATACAAAGCAGATTCTTCTTCTTCTCAGCATTCGCCAGCTGCAAAACTCTGGTGGAATGTTTAGGCTTTTCTTCCAATTCTGGATTTTAGTCTTGTTCCATAACTTTGGTTTTGTATGTGCATTCATTTTACAGATCTAGCTTATCTGTATGCAGACTGCTGGTTCCTTGTCACTCAGGCTGATGCACTCTAACTATCAACAAAACCCCTAATTAGTCTCCTCTTACAACATATTTGTTAAGGAGTCAGTGGGTTTATTCTTCTTCGCCCCGGATTCGAGATCAGGTTAAACAGTTTCAGGAATACTTCAAGAGGCTTTTGATGTATGATGTTCTGAATAATTCTTGGTGAAAAAAAAGTGAGTTGCATCTTATTTAGAGAAAACTGCCATCGCTTTCTTATCTGCTCTCAAAACCTTTTTGGAAATCAAAGCAAAATTTTTGCTACAAAAAAGTTAATAAATAAACTCATCATTCTGTCTTGCCATTATATGTTGTAGAGAGCTCACAGTGGTCCTCCATCGCATTCCATCCTGCTGAATAACATGGATGCAATCCAGCAAACATATTTGGCCTCTTTCAACAATGTTCATCTAAGGGTTTTGTTTAAGCATCTTCGTCCATAAGCTTTCCATTTCAGGGGAAAACCAATCCAATACCTTGCTTTGCATTTTGCTAAGACACGCACTGTCTCTTACCTGGGCAGCTTTTCAGCATCTCTGCCTCGAACTTTCAAGGCTCTGAAATTTTTCTCCCAATCTGTGATGTGGACCAGGTGCTCCTGCACCATCTGATCTAGGTCAACTGTTCCCAGAACCACCCAATCCTGATGGAAGAAAGCATACATGCGTGAGCATCTTTAATAGTTATAGGTATGAAAAACAAAATGTATACCGCCACCTACAATGAACACACGTTATTTCATAATTGCAGAATGCCCTAATATAACTAAGTGATGTGACTGAAAAGGGTTTCTGAGATGCCTCTCTAAACCTGCGATCTCTAAGAGCATTCATCAGGTTATGAGTTGACATTCCTCAAAGGCTGTCAGCAATATTTCTGTGCTATCTTCCTCTATCTCACCTTCCACAAGTCTTTCCAGTGGTCATAAAATGTTCCAGTTTCCTTCTTTTCATAAATTAGAGGGAAAAGATTTTGACTGTTTCTTTCGATGTTTGTGATAGTTTTCTGCAAGCCCTTGCCCAAAGGAGACAGGGACACAGTATAATTTTAATTCCAAATGCAAGACAGGACAAACTGGCATTCACTGTTGTGTGCATTATCATGTTAGTCAGGAAAAACTGGCATTCACTGTTGTATGCATTATCATGTTAGTCAGGAAAAACTGGCATTCACTGTTGTGTGCATTATCATGCGAGACAGGAAAAACTGGCATTCACTGTTGTGTGCATTATCATGTAAGGAAAAACTGGCATTCACTGTTGTGTGCATTATCATGTAACGAAAAACTGGCATTCACTGTTGTATGCATTATCATGCGAGACAGGAAAAACTGGCATTCATTGTTGTATGCATTACCTTAAACTGTTCTTCAACAGCAGCCAGTCGGGCAAACAAGGCATCAGCTTTCTGGTAACATGTGACAAAGCACTGGCCACTGCGATCAATGATAGCAGGGAAGATGAGGTTTACTGCTCCGTCACCGACACCCTTGAAGTTGTTGGGAATGCTGATGAACTTCTTCATTTCTCTGAAGTATTTAGCTTTGATCTCTTCAAACGGTGGTCGGAACTGTAATCTGTGTTGCCTATTGCAAAAATAAAATAATACATGAATGAGTTAATACATGCAAGAATGAAAGAATGAATTAATTAATGCAACGATGAATGCATAAATTAATTAATGGAACCATAATTTATTGTATTTTAGGTACATCTTACTTTGTGGGCCCAGAAAAAAGTGCCTTACCTTCCCATTCATAAACTGCTGTGTTGTAGGGCTTGTGCTATATTGCATGTGCATCAAGCTTAGTGACCGGCCGACAACATGCAGCATTTTACTAGTTGTCACTGGGTGGCGATATCGTGTGTTCTATAATACAGGATGTGAGTGCTTTTAATGGTCAGGAAACATGCATAACTGGCCCTAACCCCAACCCTCCTACATCTCACAAGAGAGTGCAGCAAATCTCTCACGAGAGAGTGCAGCCTACAACCAGTTCTGAATGTTTCGGGACCATTAAAAGCGCTCATATCCTGTAATACAGAACACGCGATACCGCTGGCTGGTGACAACAACTAGTCAAATGCTTCATGTTGTTGTGTCACTAAGCTTGACACCCATGCAACATAACACTCGATAGCAAAAAAAGAATCCTTTACTTACTAACATAATACTTGGCCAAGTTTCAGCTAAAAGTTACCTGTACGTCAGCTCCACTTTGATCTCCGGTAAGTTCTCATTCAGTGCTTCCAGACCTAGAAGGTACTGGTACTCCAGAGCTTTGTACAGCTGCCTGTCCCAGTGAGCCTTCCATGGAGTCATGTTGTCGTTAGAAAAACCCTGTGTGACGAGGTTAGCCATCAGATGACGAATGTCCATAAGCCCATCCTTCCATCGCTGTTGTTGTCGAAGCAAGTCAACGCTCATCAACTGCTGAACCTGAACAGCCACAAACAATTTTCATCAATGTTTTTAAAATCGTAAACATGTTCTGGAAATGTTTATTTCAAAAAATTTGAATTAATTAATTAATCAAGAATTGACTAATGTAGACAGTAGTCACACAAAGTGACTAGAGAAGACAGTAGTCACACAAAGAGACTAATATAGGCAGTAGCACAGACTGAACTAATCAGACACACACTGAACTAATGTATATAGTAGCCACACACAAACACACATGCACACACTGAACTAATGTATATAGTAGCCACACACAAACACACATGCACACACTGAACTAATGTATATAGTAGCCACACACAAACACACATGCACACACTGAACTAATGTATATAGTAGCCACACACAAACACACATGCACACTAAACTAATGTAGGCAGTAGTCTAATGTAAACAGTAGCCACAAGCACATATGCATGCATGCACACACACACACACACACTGAACTAATGTAGACAGTAGTAACACATACTGAACTAATGTAGACAAAAGCCAAATACACTGAACTAATATAGGCAGTAACCACACACACTGAACTAATGTAGGCAGTAGTCACACAAAGAGACCAATATAGGCAGTAGTCACACAAAGAGACCAATATAGGCAGTAGTCACACAAAGAGACCAATATAGGCAGTAGTCACACAAAGAGACCAATATAGGCAGTAGTCACACAAAGAAACTAATGAAGGCAGCAGTCACACACAATAAACTAATTTAGACAGTAATCGCATACACACACACACTAAACTAATTTAGACAGAAGCCAAACTCGCTAATGTAAACAGTAGCCACTCAGACTGAATTAATCAGACACACATTGAGCAAATGTATACAGTAGCCACACACATTGAACTAATGTAGGCAGTAGTCTAATGTAGACAGCAGCCACACACACATTCAATGAACTAATGTAGGCAGTAGTCTAATGTAGACAGCAGCCACACACACACATACAATGAACTAATGTAGGCAGTAGTCTAATGTAGACAGCAGCCACACACACACACATACAATGAACTAATGTAGGCAGTAGTCTAATGTAGACAGCAGCCACACACACACATACAATGAACTAATGTAGGCAGTAGTCTATTGTAGACAGCAGCCACACACACACATACAATGAACTAATGTAGGCAGTAGTCTAATGTAGACAGCAGCCACACACACACACACATACAATGAACTAATGTAGGCAGTAGTCTAATGTAGACAGCAGCCACACACACACACACATACAATGAACTAATGTAGGCAGTAGTCTAATTTAGACAGCAGCCACACACACACACATACAATGAACTAATGTAGGCAGTAGTCTAATGTAGACAGCAGCCACACACACACACATACAATGAACTAATGTAGGCAGTAGTCTAATGTAGACAGCAGCCACACACACACAGACACATACACACACACAATGAACTAATGTAGGCAGTAGCCATGCACACTGAACTACTGTGGACAGTAGCCACACACACTGAACTAATGTAGACAGAAGCCACACACACTGAACTAATGAAGACCGTAGCTACACACACACACTGAATAATGCAGACAGTAGTCACACTCATTGACTAATGTAGACA